GCTGCCCTCTCCTTGTGTGATTTCTGATTCCTGAAGTGTGTGGAGCTCACCTCTCCCTCCCAGGATGTCACATCAGCTTCAGGTGTCAGGGCATTGCTGCCTCGTGCAGCCGATTGATCCTGGCGTTGTCTTCTGGATTTCTTTCAAATCTCTGCTTCAGTGGTGAGCCACATTTTCTGGTAATCAAATCTCATCAGCATCAATGTTCATCTGCAGAGAAGTTCTGTCTCTGTGGACCTCCTTGTTTCTTGTGTTTACACCAGCCTGGCTCTGCTCTGTGCTCCTCAGAGCTCAGGGATCAGAACAAGAACAGATCCTGATGAGGTGGAAGATCAACTCTATTGTTTGATGGCCATTCCAGAGGAATCCCTGACTGATGGAATGCAGAGGTGTTGGTAGTCATGGCTTTGCCTTTGTGTTCTGCTGTTTCAGACACTTTGTTCTTGAAGGAGCCCTGTGATATTTGTGTGCAGTGAGGTGAAAATGTGTTGCTGTTTAACATTACAGGCACTGAGAAATGGGAAAAGGATCCTTTGGGTGCAGTCTTTGAAAATCAAATAAATAGATCTAATGATCAATGAAGGTAAAGAAAGTGTGTGAGTGAAAGAGCTGGAGAATTGCTGTTTATGGACACTTTGAGTGCAGAGTGGCCAAAATCAGGCACAAAGACCTGAATCAGAAAATGCTTTTATCCATATTTGTTAAGATTCTTGAAAGAGAGATGATAAGGGATGTGAAATATCTGTGAATGAATAATTTCTTCGTTTCCTCACATCTGGTAGCTGATAGAGGAGGCAATTTTTATTTTCTGCTTTTCATCATGGCTGGGGTAAGGGATCCTGGGGAGGGGATGGGGACAGCCTGTTTGTTCTGTGGCATTGTCTGGGAGCCACCAAGTCATCTGCAGGGCTGGAGCACCTCTGCTCTGAGGAGAGGCTGAGAACTGGAAAAGAGAAGGTTTGGGGTGATCTCATTGTGGCTTTCCAGTGCCTGCAGAGAAAAATGGAGAAGGGACTATTGACACTAACCTGGGGTGGCAGGGGGACGTGGCTTCAAAGTGACAGAGAATAGGTTTAAATTCAATGTATGGGAGAAATTATCCCCTGGCAGGGTAGGGAGGGGCTGGGGCAGAATTCCCAGAGCAGCTGTGGCAGTGCCCAAGGCCAGGCTGGACATTGGGGCTTGGAGCACCCTGGGACAGTGGGAGGTGTCCCTGCCATGGCAGGGGTGGCACTGGAGGGGCTTTAATGTCCCTTCCTACCCAAACCATTCCATGTTGACCAAATCAAGTAAAAATATCACTTAATATCCTTTTGGATTTTGCTGGCAATGTAGTGATTGGATCTTTGAGCAGCTTTGTTTTGAGGTTCCCCCAGCTCAGCACCCAGCCCTGGGAGATACTTTGGTTGTTTTGGGGAAGCTGCTGGGCACACTGAGCAGCCTTTGTGTGGCTTCTGTGGTTTGCTGGGACATCACTTCAGCAGCTGTGAGTTCACATCACCTTCTGAATCTCTCTGTGCAACTTCTCCATTCCTCAGATGTCTGATGGAAACAATAATTTGCTCTCTGCCAGCTTTTGTGGTTTGGCACATCTGGAGGTTGCAGCACTTTCATGAGTTCAGCTCGAAGTGCTCCACAGAAGAGTTTGGTCCCAGTGACGTTTCTGTGGCACCAGGGAGCTGAGCTGTGGCAGCTGCAGGGCAGGGGTGGAGCTGGCAGGGGAGGGAAGCCCCTGTGGCTGCAGTTTTGGAAGGGTTTCCCTTGGTGTCGGTGGCCCATGTGACAAATGTCACTGCAAAAGGTGGCAAGGCTGAGGCAGAACTGAAAATAACTGAGGTACAGTAACAAAAGATTTTAAACCTGATTTTTAAACTGGGATTCTGAGTGAGTGACCCCTGAGGATTTGCAAATGATGTAAATAACTAATAAATAATTCACTAATATACCACTTATCTTCTGCAAAGTGTGATGGCCACAGAATAGAAGAATTTAGACTGGAGGGGATTTCTAGAGGTTAATGTGGTGCTTTCTTCTGGCTGATTCTTAGATGAGATCTCCAGAATATTCTCTTAGGTGAAATCTCCAGAATATTGTCATAGATGAGACCTACAGAATATTATCTTAGAATAGAAATAAAACATAATCCCAAGGTCTTGGTCCTGCTGGAAGTGGTGCTGCAGTATCAGAAGTCATGGTTAAGGTCAGTGATGATGGTGTAACATTCCAGTGCTGGTCACTGGTGGGCCATGAGCATCTGAACAATTTTTGGGATTTTTTTGTCCTGTAACTCACCCAGCAGGTATTGCTGAGCTCCTTGCTCAGCCTGGCAGGGCTCTGTGCAGAGCCAGGACTAAACCTGTGTGTAAACCTGCAGCATGCTGCAAGGATCAGTGTGGGCATTGCTCATTTAAAAACTTTATAAACTCCTTTTTAAAAGCTTAATAAACTCCTCCCTGCTGAGCAGAGAGGTGCCTCAGCCCTCTGGGCTGCAGGGAGTGTGTAAACACAGAGTAGGAGGGGAGTTTGTGCTGCTGTGCAGGGTGTTGGTGGCTGCTGGGACCCTGGACTGGGGCAGGGGAGGGCAGTGCTCCAGGCCCAGCACGTGCCTCAGCTGCTGGGCTTTGGCCTCGAGTCCAGAGTTGGACTCTGGGGGTTTCTTCTTGAATTTGCTTCCTCCTCTCTGCTCAGCAGCTGAGATTTGAGAATGAGAAGCAGGAGAAGGATTTTTCTGCAGTTACAACATTTCCAGTCCATGGCAGGCACTGATCCCTGCTCTGGGCCAGGGACAGCAGCCAGGGCACGGCTGGAGCTGGGCCAGGGCAGCTCAGGCTGGAGCTCAGGGCAAGGCTCTTCCCCCAGAGGGTGCTGGGCACTGCCCAGGCTGCCCAGGGAATGGGCACGGCCCCGAGGCTGCCAGAGCTCCAGGGATGCCCAGGCTGGGGTTAGTGGGGTCCAGGAGCTGGATCAGTGATCCCTGTGGATATTCCAGCCCAGGGTGGGATTGTTGGTGGGTCCAGGAGCTGGATCAGTGATCCCTGTGGATATTCCAGCCCAGGATGGGATTGTTGGGGGTCACTGAGCTGGATCAGTGATCCCTGTGGATATTCCAGCCCAGGATGGGATTGTTGGGGGTTCAGGAGCTGGATCAGTGATCCCTGTGGATATTCCAGCCCAGGATGGGATTGTTGGGGGTCACTGAGCTGGATCAGTGATCCCTGTGGATATTCCAGCCCAGGATGGGATTGTTGGGGGTTCAGGAGCTGGATCAGTGATCCCTGTGGATATTCCAGCCCAGGATGGGATTGTTGGGGGGTTCAGGAGCTGGATCAGTGATCCCTGTGGATATTCCAGCTCAGGATGGGATTGTTGGGGGGTTCAGGAGCTGGATCAGTGATCCCTGTGGATATTCCAGCCCAGGATGGGATTGTTGGGGGGTCACTGAGCTGGATCAGTGATCCCTGTGGATATTCCAGCTCAGGATGGGATTGTTGGGGGGTTCAGGAGCTGGATCAGTGATCCCTGTGGATATTCCAGCCCAGGATGGGATTGTTGGGGGTTCAGGAGCTGGATCAGTGATCCCTGTGGATATTCCAGCCCAGGATGGGATTGTTGGGGGTTCAGGAGCTGGATCAGTGATCCCTGTGGATATTCCAGCCCAGGATGGGATTGTTGGGGGTTCAGGAGCTGGATCAGTGATCCCTGTGGATATTCCAGCCCAGGATGGGATTGTTGGGGGGTCACTGAGCTGGATCAGTGATCCCTGTGGATATTCCAGCTCAGGATGGGATTGTTGGGGGGTTCAGGAGCTGGATCAGTGATCCCTGTGGATATTCCAGCCCAGGATGGGATTGTTGGGGGGTTCAGGAGCTGGATCAGTGATCCCTGTGGATATTCCAGCCCAGGATGGGATTGTTGGGGGGTCACTGAGCTGGATCAGTGATCTCTGTGGATATTCCAGCCCAGGATGCCCATGGTGGGATTGTTGGGGGGTTCAGGAGCTGGATCAGTGATCTCTGTGGATATTCCAGCTCAGGATGGGATTGTTGGGGGGTCAGGAGCTGGATCAGTGATCCCTGTGGATATTCCAGCCCAGGATGGGATTGTTGGGGGTTCAGGAGCTGGATCAGTGATCCCTGTGGATATTCCAGCCCAGGATGGGATTGTTGGGGGGTCCAGGAGCTGGATCAGTGATCCCTGTGGATATTCCAGCCCAGGGTGGGATTGTTGGGGGGTTCAGGAGCTGGATCAGTGATCCCTGTGGATATTCCAGCCCAGGATGGGATTGTTGGGGGGTCCAGGAGCTGGATCAGTGATCCCTGTGGATATTCCAGCCCAGGATGGGATTGTTGGGGGGTCCAGGAGCTGGATCAGTGATCCCTGTGGATATTCCAGCCCAGGATGGGATTGTTGGGGGGTCTGTGCAGGAACAGGAGCTGGACTTGGATCATCCTTGTGGATCTGTTCTGTGCTTCTGTCAGTTTATTTATCCAATAGTTTCAAGTTTATGCTTTATTTTTCTGTTCTAAATGACTCAGTTTTCATCAAATCAAAGTGTTGGTTTTTCTGCTTTGTGTCAGTGTAACCTGAATGTAAATTTGCCAGGTTTATACAGGAGATTTTCCTTGATTCCCACCTGAAATGCTGCTGGCTCCTCATGCCTTGAGTCCCTCACCTGAAACCACTGTGAAATATGAGCAGAAACACTTGTCTAAGGCTTTGTGTGTCTTAAAAGTAATTGCTGGTTGTTCCTTTCCTGTGCATGTATAAATCTAACACACAGAAATAAATCTGTGTGTAATAATACATGTGTGTGTATAATAATGAAAGTATATAATGTTGTAACTGCTGGGAGTGTTAAAGGTAAATCATCCTCTGGAGCTGCATAACCTTGTTACAGGCTCTCAGTCTGGAGCAGAAAAATGGCTCTAAACTGTGATTATAATAAAAATAGCAGCAAAGAAAAGCATTTCCTCATGGCCTTTTCTCCCTTCTGTGGATAGGTGCGTTCCATGGATGAACTGAACCACGATTTCCAAGCGCTGGCTCTGGAGGGACGGGCTATGGGAGAGGTAAGTGAGAGGCCTGGAGAAACAAATCTGTGTTTTGGGAGGGGCAAGAAATGAAATAGCAGCTTTTGAGGCTGCTGGGATGAGTGTGATGCTGAGGGTTCTCTGTTCTGCCTGTGAGGTGTGCCTGTGTGTGTCTGTGTGCGTGCCTGTGCGTGTCTGTGTGTGTGCCTGTGTGTGCCTGTGTGTGTCTGTGCGTGGTGTGTCTGTGTGTGTGCCTGTGTGTGTGCCTGTGTGTGTGTGTCTGTGTGTGTCTGTGTGTGCCTGTGTGTGTGCCTGTGTGTGTGTGTCTGTGTGTGTCTGTGTGTGCCTGTGTGTGTGCCTGTGTGTGTGCCTGTGTGTGTGCCTGTGTGTGTGCCTGTGTGTGTGCCTGTGTGTGTCTGTGTGTGTCTGTGTGCGAGGTGTGTCTGTGTGTGTGCCTGTGTGTGTCTGTGTGTCTGTGTGCGTGGTTTATCCAACTCCAAACCTGCCAGGCCCCGAACCCGCCAGGCCCTGAACCCGCCGGGCCCCAAACCCGCCGGGCCCCGAACCCGCCGGGCCCCGAACCCGCCGGGCCCCAAACCTGCCAGGCCCCAAACCTGCCAGGCCCCAAACCTGCCAGGCTGGAATCCATCTCAGAGGGAGGAACAGTTAAACTTCCACCTGTTGGCTCTTCCAGCAGGAGAGAGTGGCTGCACAACAACAGCTCCAAATCCAGCTGGGAACAGGTGTCCCAAGCCTTGGAGCAGGTTTATTTTGGGATTCACTGAGCTCAGACCTCGTTGGGCTGTGGGGCATTGTCTGCTTCTCTGTTTCCAGTCCTGGCCACCTTTTTTTGGCTCTTGCAGAAAGGCCAGGGCTGTGTTTAGGGTTTGCAGTAACTGGGCAGGGTGAGCCAGGGCTGCAGGAGGAATGAGAGCAGGGCACAGATAATGGCCCTGCAGATGGAACTTCCCAGACCCCCCAGCCAGAGTTAATTTGATCTGTCACAGCAGCAAGGAGGTGGCACATTTAGGGGGAAATGCCCACTGGTTTTCTTGGAAAAAAGAGAATTTATCTGGTTTTGGAGTGACCTGAAAGAACAGCTTGTTCCTGTAGGTTCCTGGAAGTTGGATGGAAAGACTTCTTTGCCTTGCCTGGTTCCTTCTGCCTTTAGTGAGTCCCTTGTGGAAGGACAGAGGAGAAAATCATGTCTGGTAGGAGGATGTTCATGTGTGGCAGCTCAGATTGATGCAAGTCTGATGCTCCTCTCAAGCTCAGACCAGTTTATTTCCATGTTTAATCCATCCTGTCTGTTACCCAGTGCATGAGCCAGGTGTGAAAAATAAAAACCCCTGGAACCCTGAAGTAGCTGTTGTGGAGAAAAAGAGCAAACCAGGACTGTGGTGTGGTGGGATTTATAGGGAGGTGCCCTCTCTCAGGTCAAAGACCTCCTTCCTTCCTTCCCCTGTTTCTTCCTCCATCCCTGCTTTCCATCCCTGCCTTCTTTCTCTCCCCCTTTCCTTCTTTCTCTCCCCCTTTCCTTCTTTCTCTCCCCCTTTCCTTCTTTCTCTCCCCCTTTCCTTCTTTCTCTCCCCCTTTCCTTCTTTCTCTCCCCCTTTCCTTCTCTCCTTTTTCTTCTGTGGAAAATCATAATCCAGGGTTGGATTTTGATGTGACTTGAGAGGAAAATCCATTTCTCCAGGTTGGATGAATCTACCCCAAGACTATTACTAAGAGGAGGTGAAAATGATTTTCAAAGGAGCAAACCTGACATTAAAAACCTGCCTGAAGCTGCTGCACAGCAGCTGCTGTGCTCCATGTGCAGCTTGCCTGTGGAATGCTGGGGGTGGGAATGTTCTCAGAGATGAGTTTGTGACGCCTCATTTGGGCAGGAGGTTCATTCCCAGAGAGAGAGAGAGCCCAGGCTGCCTGGGAGCAGGTTCACAGTGAGCACAGCACTCGTCTGCTTGTCAGGACACAAGGTCACTGAGCTGGAACGCCTGAAGGAATTCCTAAAAATGCTGACTTCTCCCACCTTTTGGTTTATTTAGGCATTTCTGAGGGTTTGGGTTTGTGTTTTGGAGCTTTGCCTCCCAGTGATGACTCATTTTTTCCCCCTTCTTGTAACTGTGATGCAGAAAGTTTTGGCAGTGGCATCCTTTTGTCACTGGGCTTTTGCACATGCTGGAATGAGCGGGTTTTTCTGGGAAAGGTGACATCTCACCCTTCTCTTTCAGCTAAACCACTGTTTCTTGTCTCTTGGGGCTTTTCTCCCTCAGTCTCACAGTTTCCATTCTTTACCCATGGAATTTTCTCTGTATCTCTCCAAGGCTGATTGCAGGAGATCCCACAGGATCTGTTTTGGCTTTCAGGACCGTGGTCCTCACCTGGATTTTGTGCAGTTTAGATGCCTTAGAAACCAGAACGTGGTTTCTACCCCTTCTGCTCCTGGAATGAGGAGACTTGGGGAGAAAGGCAGAGAGTCTGAAATAAATGATAGTGGAGAAAGGTGAGGAAGACCATTTCTGCATTTAATGTTAGATTTCTTTTATCTTCTGGTTTCCTTGCTCCTTGTTAAGCACCGTCATAATTTCAGTGATGGAAGGAGTTAGTGCAAACATCAGAGCAGTTTGTTAAAGAGCACTGTCAAACAGTTACATCTCTTATCTATCCTGCTCTCAAAATGTAGATAATGCTTGGAGATCAACAGATATCCTTATCTGGGAGCATTAAGAATAATTTAAAAGCACCCACAACTTCCTTCTCTCTTGGGGCTGTTTCCATCCTCAGACTCCCAGCCTTACATTCCCCAATTTCCAGCGAGTGGAAGTGCAATATTTTCTCAAGCAGGGATTGAAAATGGTCCCAGAGCCCCTTTTCTCCACTCTGAACTGTGAAAGCTTTGTGCTGTTGGTAGTGACTGGTCAGTAATGTTAAAGCAGCTCTGGGGCAGGGGATGTTGTGCCTCTGTTCCAGCAGCTGCTCCAGGCTGTTCTCTGGGATGAAGAACTCACCTTGGAGCTTTGTCTGGCAGCTCCATGTGGGATTTTGGTGCTGTGGCTCAGCCCAGCACATCTGGCCCTTGATCCCACAGTCCTGCCCCTTATCTTTGCCTTAACACAAGCCCTGCAAGTTCCCTTTGTCCCCCAGCCTCAGGATGGGCAGCTGCATGTCTGCTTTTCCTCGCTGAAATCCCTTGGGTTTCATTATCCCTTTGCAGCAGGAAATATGGGTGCAGTGTCTCTGGGGACAGTGGGCAGCACAGAGGGGCTCTGAGGTGCAGCTGGGTTTGTCCCCAACCCTCCCAGGCGTTTGGGACCTTGGATTTGGAGTAGGTTGTGCAAAGTCTGTGTCTGGAGTCAGGAGCAGCTGGGTGAGGTGCTGGTGAAACTTAATCCCGAGGGTGGGAGGAGGATGGGGACACAGAGCCATGAGGCAACTGGAGGTGCTTAACTCAAACCTGGAGGTGCTTAACTCAAACCTGGAGGTGCTTAACTCAAACCTGGTAGCAGGGAATTGCAGCCTGCCCTGCAAGAGAAATGCTGGTAAGAAAGAATGCTGCATTTCACTGGAAGTGTTTAATTACTGCTGGGCTGCTGCCCTTGCAGGGGGCAGTGCTGGGATCACTGAGAGTGGGCAGTGAAATTCCTGCAGCCCCTGGGGATCCTTGTAGGGGAACTCTGGGACATCAGAACCTGGAGAGGCAGGGACAGGGGTAGGGGACAGCAGCCAGGGAGCTGGGCCAGGGCAGCTCAGGCTGGAGCTCAGGGCAAGGCTCTTCCCCCAGAGGGTGCTGGGCACTGCCCAGGCTGCCCAGGGAATGGGCACGGCCCCGAGGCTGCCAGAGCTCCAGGGATGCCCAGGCTGGGGTTAGTGGGGTCCAGGAGCTGGATCAGTGATCCCTGTGGATATTCCAGCCCAGGATGGGATTGTTGGTGGGTCCAGGAGCTGGATCTGTGATCCCTGTGGATATTCCAGCTCAGGATATTCCATGGTTCTGGGCCCATGTCCATGGTAAATGGTGCAGCTGGGCAGGTTCTGGAGAAGCCCCTGCAGAGGGACACAGTCCCAGTGGTGCTGAGACGGGGCCTGGACACTTTTGTACCTGGATTAAAGAAAACAACCACAAATCAAACAAAAATGAAGGAAAAAACCACTCCAAACTAAACCCCTGTGCCTCTGCTTTCCATGCTACTGATGTGCTGTGTTCCCATAAATTTATGATTTATTGGCCCCATAAATTGATGATTCATTGGCAGCTGGGGAGTCCTGGCATTGGCAGTAATGTTTGGGTTGGGTTTTTCAGTTTCTCCAGTGCTGGCTGCACTGAAGATGGGAATGGAGCCAGGATGGAAATGGGAACAGTGGGGCCGGGATGGAGATGGGAACAGTGGGGCCAGGATGGAAATGGGAACAGTGGGGCCGGGATGGAGATGGGAACAGTGGGGTCAGAATGGAAATGGGAACAGTGGGGTCAGGATGGAGATGGGAACAATGGGCATGGGATGGAAATGGGAGCTGTGTGGTCAGGATGGAGATGGGAACAGTGGGGTCAGGATGGAGATGGGAACAGTGGGGCCGGGATGGAGGTGGGAACAGTGGAGCAAGGTTGGTGATGGTACCACAGCAGCCCCCTGGCACTTCAGGAAAGCTCAAAGCAGGGCTGGGAGCAGACCTGAGCAGGAGCACAAGGAATGGTCAGACATTCCCAATCCTGTGCTCCCTTTCCTGTTCTCTCCCCAGAGCTGTGAGCAGTGGGAGTCCCAGAGCAGGCAGGGAATGCCAGTTCCTTGCAGGGCAGTGCCAGGGATGTGCAGGGCAGGCACTGCTGGCACCGCTGCCAGGTGCTCCCCTCCCTGTGCAGGGCTGGCACTGCTGCCAGGTGCTCCCCTCCCTGTGCAGGGCTGGCACTGCTGCCAGGTGCTCCCCTCCCTGTGCAGGGCTGGCACTGCTGGCACTGCTGCCAGGTGCTCCCCTCCCTGTGCAGGGCTGGCACTGCTGGCACTGCTGCCAGGTGCTCCCCTCCCTGTGCAGGACTGGCACTGCTGCCAGGTGCTCCCCTCCCTGTGCAGGGCAGGCACTGCTGGCACTGCTGCCAGGTGCTCCCCTCCCTGCCCGAGCTGGAAGGGCTGATAACATCTGTGGTACAAAGCAGGACCTGTACACACCCATCAACACCGCTCTGCCTTCCCTGCCTGTTGCTGCAGACAAACCCAGTTCTGCACTGCACAGATGGCTGCTTTTATCTTAATATTTGCTTTGTCTAAGGGGGATCAGTTTTCTTAATTTGTCTAATTCATAATCCCATCTCAGTGGGATCTCTGTGCCCTGGCTGCTGGAAGAATTGCTTTTGTTGATGATGGGTAAGTCCTCCCCTCCTTCCCTGCTCTGCCAAATTGAATATTGGCCTAACTGGTAAGTCCTTTGTAAGAGGGCTTAGCAGGATTATTTTCATACTGGATAGGGTCAATTTTAATAAAAACCAGGGAATGAATAAACCACTCTGATTTTAAACCACTGCTTGTTCTTTTGAAATTTCCAACCTGCACATCTGCATGAGAGTCATTTAAAATACGCTTTTTTTTTTCTTCCATTGCAACTGACAACTTTCCCTGAGGAAAAATTCATTGTCTTAGCAGCCTGTTGCATAATTGCAGCCGATTGCTGCTTGCTAATGCTCTGTGTTGGTTGGAGCAGCACTTGACAGAACAAAGCCCCCTCCCCTGGTTAGCATCTGTTAATATTGGCTTTGGGGTTTCCCTGATATCTGTAAATAGCTCTGGAATCTCTGTGTGGGGTAAACTTCTCTCTTCTGTTTGTTTCTGCTGATGGTGCAGAGCTTCCAGTTGGAAACTTGGTGTTTCTGGTGGGGAGAGGTGAAACTGGAGGGGACAGGGCTGGGCTTTGTGCAGGAGCAGGGGGTGTGCAGGACACAGTGAGAATTCAGATGTTTTGTGAGCCTTGGGTGTGAGCCACTGCAGAATTCAGAAGGTGTTGGGGTGCAGTTCTGCAGGATTGTGCTGGTAAAGGTTTTCTCTTCCTTAGGAAAGGGGAGGAGGAGAGCAGGGCAGAGAGGGCAGGGCTGGATTAGCTGCGGGTCCCTCTCCAGCAGGAAATGCTGGTGCAGCCCCGGGTGTGCTGGAGCTGCTGCAGGGGTGGGAGAATCCCAGAGTGCTCTGGGTGGGGAGGGGGCTCAGAGCCCACCCAGTTCCACCCCAGAGCCACCTCCCACTGTCCCAGGTGCTCCAGCCTGGCCTTGGGCACTGCCAGGGCTCCAGGGGCAGCCCCAGCTGCTCTGGCAATTCCAGCCCAGCCCCTCCCCACCCTGCTTCTTCCCAAGTAGAAATAAAGGATGAGAGGGGTTTGGGCCCTGCAGGACAGGGCAGAGGCAGGAAAGAATGAGCAGAACAGAGAAATTTCCAACCTTAGCAATTCCATGATTTTCTTTTTAGGGATACAGGAGAGGGATTTCTACAAGGGATGGAGGGCCAGGAGGCAGGGAATGGCTGCCAGTGGCAGAGGGCAGGGCTGGATGGGATCTTGGGAATTGGGAATTGTTCCCTGGCAGGGTGGGCAGGGGCTGGGCTGGAATTGCCAGAGCAGCTGGGGCTGCCCCTGGAGCCCTGGCAGTGCCCAAGGCCAGGCTGGACATTGGGGCTGGCAGCACCTGGCACAGTGGGAGGTGGCCCTGGGCTGCAATGAGCTGGCATTGAAGATCCCTTCCCAGCCAAACCACTCTGGCATTCCCATTCCTCAATCCAGGATGGAAACCAGCACCAAAAACCATTGCAGCAAATGGAGAAAGGCAAGGAAAGAATGATTTCCTGGGTGGTTCCAGGTGCCCCCAGTGCCATTTGCCACAGGGGTTTGTAGCCTGGCAAGGCCTGGTTGGAGAGGTTTGGGCTCTGCCAGGGTGCCCAGAGCAGCTGTGGCTGCCCCTGGAGCCCTGGCAGTGCCCAAGGCCAGGCTGGGCATTGGGGCTGGCAGCACCTGGCACAGTGGGAAGTGGCCCTGCCATGGCACAGGCGGCACTGGGTGAGGTTTAAGATCCTTCCCACCCAAACCATTCTGGGATTCCATGATTGGAGCTGTGGCTGCAGAACATTTTGTGTCCTGCTCTGTGAGGTGTTGTCAGGGGTATTGGGAAGTGTTTTAATTGTAGCTCAAATTCAGTTGAATCAGTTTGTGCTGCTTTCTGTTCAAAATTCCTTGCAATGCCATGAGCAGAGTTGTTATTTCTGCACTGTGGCAAGAGCAGGAATAAAAATAGCTGCATTTGAAGAGATATGGGAATGACAGAAGCTTAAAAGAATTTGCAAGACACCTGAGGTGTGTTGATGTTTATAAATACTGGAGAGCAGTGGCTTGGCTTGTCCCCCCCTCCTGGTGCAGATGGAGGAGCAGGTTCATCTGTGTTTGGGACTGATTGCTGCTCATGGGAGCCTCCTGCCCTTCCATTTGGGGTTGTTTTGGGATGGCAGGAAGGGGTGCATGGGGCAAGGTCCCTGTTTTTATCCTCGAGCAGCCTGCACCGTGCTGAGGGCGTGAGGAGAAATCCTGTCTGAAATCACTGCAGACTGATTGGTTTTGTAAACAAACAGCTCTTTGTTGAGCTGGGGAGGAAAGGGAGAGCACAACTTTGTGATTGTGCTTTAAACCAGCACGGGAGAGGTGTGAAATCAGTTCTTGCTGCTTCCTCTGCATCCAGCAGCTGATTTACTCCTCAGTTCAGTCTTAGATTTGCACTTCTGCTGCTGGAGTTATCAGCAGGAGTTGGTATCAGTCTGGATATTGAATTTGATATCAATCAGGGCATGGAATTTGATACCAAATCGAGATACTGAAGTGGTTATCAGGATATTTAATTTGTTATCAGTCAGGGTATTGAAACAGATACCAATCAGGATTTATCACCACTCCTGATCCAGAGGAGAGATCCCCAGAGCTGATGATTCTTGTTTGTTCCATGGTAATTTCAGGCACATTCAGGTTCTTTTCATCTTCAGTGCCTTGAGTTTTATCCCAGCTTGAGGCAAGGCTCATTTCATGGTTAATTTGCTGTGAATGTGCTGCTGGGAATTCCATCCATCCCATCCACAGGATTTACTGGGATATTGTCCCCTGGTCACCTCAGGGCTGGGAATTCCCAGTGTGGAGGTGATCCCTGGTGAAGCTGTTCCCAAACCCCCTAAAGAACGGGAGGAAGGATTCAGGAGAGGGATTTTTACAAGGGATGGAGGGCCAGGAGGCAGGGAATGGCTGCCAGTGGCAGAGGGCAGGGCTGGATGGGATCTTGGCAATTGGGAATTGTTCCCTGGCAGGGTGGGCAGGGGCTGGGCTGGAATTGCCAGAGCAGCTGTTCTATGTCCCCCTCCAGAGCCAGGACCCCTGGGCTATCCCAGCTCAGGGTGGCTCTGTCCCATTCCACACATGGCAGGTGCTGCCCTCCCTCCCATCAGTGTTCCCAAAGAGCCCCTGCAGCCCCAGAGTCCCCAGCACGAGGAGAAATGGGGACTCCTGAGCTTTTCTCTCCCTGATTTCCTGTCCCTCCAGCACAAGGAGAAATGGGAATTCCTGAGCTTTCCTGTCCCTCTGGCAAAGGAGAAATGGAAGTTCCTGGGCTTTTCTCTCCCTGATTTCCTGTCCCTCTGGCAAAGGAGAAATGGGAATTCTTGAGCTTTCCTGTCCCTCCTGCAGAAGGAGAAATGGGAATTCTTGAGCTTTCCTGTCCCTCCTGCAGAAGGAGAAATGGGAATTCTTGAGCTTTCCTGTCCCTCCAGCACAAGGAGAAATGGGAATTCTTGAGCTTTCCTGTCCCTCCTGCAGAAGGAGAAATGGGAATTCCTGAGCTTTCCTGTCCCTCCTGCAGAAGGAGAAATGGGAATTCCTGAGCTTTCCTGTCCCTCTGGCAAAGGAGAAATGGGAATTCCTGAGCTTTCCTGTCCCTCCTGCAGAAGGAGAAATGGGAATTCTGAGCTTTCCTGTCCCTCCTGCAGAAGGAGAAATGGGAATTCCTGAGCTTTCCTGTCCCTCTGGCAAAGGAGAAATGGGAATTCCTGAGCTTTCCTGTCCTTCCTGCGAAGGAGAAATGGGAATTCTGAGCTTTCCTGTCCCTCCAGCAGAAGGAGAGATGGAAGTTCCTGGGCTTTTCTCTCCCTGATTTCCTGGCCCTCCCGCAGCAGCTCCCATTGGCAGGCAGGAATTTATTCCCAGATGATCTCAGGAAAACTCACAATATTTCCCCCCTCTTTCTTTTCCTTGTGAGTGCAGAGAGGCTGGAGAGTGGCTGTGAGTGTCTGATGTGTGGGGGGCTCCTGGAGCTGGGAGGACAATCAGGAGTGGGGAGATGGAATTGTTCCCTCAGCTTTCACCTGGGAGATGTCAATATTTGATGATCTCAGTTCTGTGTAATGGTTGATAGCTGATAGAAGGGAGACGCTTATGGGGTTTATGTTTGCATTTTATACTTATTTTAATCATGCTTTGCTTTGTTCTGTTCTTTTTCTTTTGTTTATTTGTTTTTTGTTTTGTTTTGTTTTTGTTTTTTTTTAATTGCAGCAGCTGTTGCCGGGTAAAAAGTTTTGGGAATCTGATGATTCCAGCAAAGATGGACCAAAAGGGATATTTCTGGGAGATCAGTGGAGAGACAGTGCTTGGGGAACATCAGGTAGCTCAATTATTTCCTTAATTTAGTTGGGGTTGAATACAGAAATCTGCAATTTATTTACTCAAAGTCCATGGCCAGGCTGGATGACACAGCTTTGAAAAGATTTAAAAACCCATCTGGCTTATATAATAAAAATAAACAGAAAATCTCACTTTGCTTTGTGATAAAATTAGGATATCCATGGATGTCAGAACATTGTCTAATGTGAATATGTGTAAATTCATGTCTATCTGCTTAAAAACCTTAAATTACCCTTAAAATTTGAATTTCTGATGTGTTTTCTGCCTTGGGATGGATCAGCTGAAAGTTTGAACAAAGGTCTTGGACAACAAGATGAATAAAAAAAATCCCTTCATTTTAAAATACTAAATCAACCAAACAAAACCCATCATTCAGTTAAAAAAAATCAAAATGATGTTTTGAATTAGTGTTGAGTTAAATCTGCCAAAGATTTTCTTCTTGCATCAGAGACTGTCCCTGATTTTGGACTTGATGGGAGAATATTTAGGAAAATAAACAACCTGCAAGTGCTGGGTTTGAAATGCTGATCTTTGATTTGTTCTGTCCATGGGTTTTGTGTCATGAATCTGCTCCTGAAACTCAGCTGGGGTCTGGTGCAGCTCCCAGGAAATGGCATTTGCAGCTCCCAGGAAATGGCATTTGCAGCTCCCAGGAAATGGCATTTACAGCTCCCAGGAAATGACATTTATAGCTCCCTGGAAATGACATTTGCAGCTCCCAGGAAATGGCATTTACAGCTCCCAGGAAAGGGCATTTGCAGCTCCCAGGAAATGACATTTACAGCTCCCAGGAAATGGCATTTGCAGCTCCCAGGAAATGGCATTTACCTCACTGTTGTGTGGGGTTTTCCCTGATGAAAATACCCCTTTTTAAATTAGTACTAAGACTTTGTTTTATTATTTCCACTGGAAAATGGCCATGAAAAGGGGACAGAGCTTCTCCAATGTGCCTGCCTGGTTCAGTCTGGGCACTGGGGCATTCTGGGTGCTGCTGCCTGTCCCACCCTTGGGAGCACCTTGTATCTGCCTTAATCCAGCTGGAGCTGAGGGGGATTGGGGCTGAGCCAGGCTTTGGGACCAGCTGAGCTTGGGATTTTCTCCCCCAGGCCCTTCTCATCCCTCCCTGTGCTGGTTCCCATTCATCCCACAGCTCTTCACTCCCTGCCTGTTGCCAGGAACAGAGAATTCCTTTCCCCTTTTTCCCTTTTTTCCCCCCTTCCCCCCCGCCTTTTTCCCCCCTTTTCCCCCCCCTTTCCCCCCCTTTCCCCCCTTTTTCCTCCTTTTTCCTCCTTTCTCCCCCTTTTTTCCCCCCTTTTTCCCCCCCTTTTTTCCCCCTTTTTTCCCCCCCTTTCCTCCTTTTTCCCCCCTTTTTTCCCCCCTTTTTCCCCCCCTTCCCCCCCCTTCCCCCCTTTTTTCCCCCCTTTTTCCCCTTCCCCCCCCTTTTTTTTTTCCCCTTTTTCCCCCCTTTTCCCCCTTTTTTCCCCCCTTTCCCCTCCCCTTTTGAGGTCTCTCCCCTCCCCAGGCAGGGATTTTTGCAGAGCCCAGCAGGGTTTGGAGCCCCCCAGTCTGCCCTGCTTGGACCTCAAAGCCTCAGGGATGGCAAAGGGCTGGGGTGGTGCAGGACAGGGGGATGAGGAAGGAGAAATGAACTCCTCAGGAACCTTTCCTTGAGAAAAGAGCAGCCAAAAAAATCTCTGATCCTGACATGGTGGAGCAGCAGGATCATGTTTTAAATGACAAGCCAAAACTTGTTTTCACTGTGCTAATGCAAGAATTGTACTAAAACTAAAAACTAAACCTTTGGGTTTTTAATTGCAACCTTTAATTCATCTTACATTTCTGACATTTTATGAGTTCAGATTTTAAACCTAGCTCTCACTTGCAGGTTTACATGTTGTAGTATTTAAAAAATGAGAAAGCCATCCTGGTTTAACGAATGGACATCAGCAGAATCACAAAGTTGGCACTTCTGAGTGCAAATAAGCCCCTGGGGAGTACATATTGAATGATTTAATTTGCCTCCTTTGAATGGTTGGATGTGCTTGTGAGAGTTTCCCATGTTTTGTTCCAGATCACTCTGTTTCCCAGCCAATTATGGTGCAGAGAAGACCTGGGCAGGGCTTCCATGTGAACAGTGAAGTGAACTCAGTGCTGTCCCCACGCTCTGAGAGCGGAGGGCTGGGGGTGAGCATGGTGGAGTATGTGCTGAGCTCATCTCCTGGAGACTCCTGCCTAAGGAAAGGAGCATTTGTAAGTGCCTCATTGCCTCATCTCTGTTCTTTCCTCCCTTTGCTGCTTGGTTTGCTTGGCTGTGAATCATTTCTAGGGCAGAGGTTTCTCTCTTTGCTCTCAGTTCAGCTCTTCTCTCAAACAGGGCAGGTTTAGTCTTTGCCTTGGGGGTGTGGGGTGGGAGATGGGAAGGTGCTGGCATTCCCTGGATCCTTGGAAAAGCCCCCCAGCAGAAACAGCCCATCCAAGCTAATCCTTGGAAAAGGTCCCACAACCTGCACTGGGCCTGTGGCTGCCTTGGTGTGTGATGGTGCCACAGGGGTCCCAGGATGAGGGAAGGGACGAGGATCTGACTCCACGTTTCACAAGGCTGATTTATTATTTTATTGTATATATTATATTAAAACTAGACTAAAGTAATAAAAGCAAAGATTTCATCAGAAGGCTAGTTAAGAATAGAAAAAGAAAGAATGATAACAAAAGTTTGTGTCTTGGACAGAGAGTCCAAGCCAGCTGACTGTGATTGGCCATTAATTAGAAACAACCACATGGGCCAATCCCAGATGCACCTGTTGCATTCCACAAGCAGCAGATAACCATTGGTTACATTTTGTTCCTGAGGCCTCTCAGCTTCTCAGGAGGAAAAATCCTAAAAAAAGGGTTTTTCAGAAAATATCACAGCTACATTGGTGCTGATCCCAAAAATGGGATTCCAGCTCCAAACCCTTTACCTGGTGCTAATGTCATGGCATAATGCTCATCCTTGTCCTGGAGGTTTTCCTCATGCTGTTTTTTGGGATAAACCCCCCTAACAAATAGATTGGTGTCAGGCACCCTTCCCTGGAGCTCCTGCTTGTGGCTGGATGTGTTTCCCAGCTGGGGTTGCTGGGCAGGCTGGGGAATGGCACCCCCCTTTTGTGGGGTGGGGAAGGGGCACAGCCTGCAGTTCATGGATGTGGGGAGAGCTGGCACCAAACCCAGCCTGGAGTGGGGAAAGGGCTCCAGAAATGTGGGAGAGCCTCCTTTGGCTGCTGTCCTCTGCAGCTGCCCTCAGCCTGCTGGGGTTGCTGGCCCTCACTGGGGCTGCCCAGGGAGCTGGGAGAGCCCTGGGGCAGAGCAAGGAGGATTTTTGGGGAGAGCCCTGGGGCAGAGCAAGGAGGATTTTTGGAGAGAGCCCTGGGGCAGAGCAAGGAGGATTTTTGGGATGTGAGCCCTGGGGCAGAGCAAGGAGGATTTTTGGGGAGAGCCCTGGGGCAGAGCAAGGAGGATTTTTGGGATGTGAGCCCTGGGGCAGAGCAAGGAGGATTTTTGGGGAGAGCCCTGGGGCAGAGCAGGGAGGATTTTTGGGATGTGAGCCCTGGGGCAGAGCAAGGAGGATTTTTGGGATGTGAGCACTCAGAGCAAGGAGGATTTTTGGGATGTGAGCCCTCAGAGCAAGGAGCCAAGTTTATCCCAGCTGGGGCCAGGGAGGAGTGTCACCACAATCAGAGTGACAGTGGTGACACAGCTGTGTCTGCTGAGCACCCCCTTGTTTGGGGTTGGATTTACAGGTGGCATTTCCAAGGAATATTAAGGAAACACAATTTGTTTTCTTTCAGAAGCAACAGCAAAAGATTTTTGCTTTTAGAACAATTTCTTTTTCTCTAAATATGAGGGAAAATCCCTCCCTCCAATCAGAGAGAGTGGGAAAAGGGTTCAGTGGATAGAGGCAGAAATGCTGTGTGCAGAGCACTTCTCCCTCCAGTCAAGTGGAAGGCAGGCTTTGGATGTTTGTCCCTGTGGCAGCACCAAAGCTGCCTCTGATAAATATGTTTATATGCCCTGTGCTGGTTTTTATCATAAATTATGTTGTTTTTCCTCTCCCTTTTGTTGTTCAAAACACTGCCCCAGGCATCATCACCCTTTATTCTCCTCCCAAGTGCAATAAAATGCAGACACGCTGCAGATGTAACAGCACTCATGGAATGCTCAACAGAACAGAAATCCTTTTTTTCCCTCTTTTTTTTTTTCCCTTTTCTCCCAAAGAAATGTGCTTCAGGATCACAGGGGCTAATGATTGAGGCAGTGATTTATTTGAGTGTTTCTGAATCAGCTGTGCTTTGGAATTCACTGTTGATGCCTCCAAAACTGAGGTGATTTTCAAACACTTGTCCAGTCAAGAGCTGTGTCTGACACTGAGCCAGGCTCTTCAGAGAGGCACTAATTCACTTTATGCCCCTGCAGCATTTGCTGGTGTTGATTTTGAAGTGCTTAAGTCCCATCTAGAAAGAGAACTCCTTAAAATTATTTTGGGATGGGATTTTTAGAGCCTATAAAAGCAAACCTTGAGTTACTAAATGAAGAAACCTGAAGAGATGAAGCAGCTCTTGGAAGAGTGAGAGCTAATTCCCTTATTTCTTTGATTATTATTGAATATTTTGCATTTTTAACGATTTTTTTGGGTAGGAATTAATGTTTACAAGTGACTTCTTTTATGGTGACACGTGTCTTTGATTTGTTACCATCTTGGGGTAACAGGAAAATTGATCTGAAAACTCAGCTTATGAAAACAATGTCTCTTTTGCCCAGGGGCCAAGGGATGCAGAGAGTGATGAGAATGACAAAGGGGATAAGAAAAGCAAGGGCACGTTTGATGGAGATAAACTGGGAGATCTGAAGGAGGAGGGGGATGTGATGGATAAATCCAATGGTTTGCCTGTCCAGAACGGGATCGACGCCGACGTCAAAGACTTCAGGTGCGTGCATGGGTGCTCAGTAATTCATCAGTTAATAACAATCACTGCTGGGGTCTAAACTCAGCCCTGCAGGCTCCACGGGGGGAGAATGGGAAGGGGAAAAGTGAAAATTCAAACATTTGAATGGGGAAAGGAAAAACTGGGCCTGGAAGTGAAGCTAAGGCAGGAATTGATGGGGCACATCCCAGAGGAGGTGTCAGGGCCCCATTCCCAGGGAAGCTGGGCCCTATGGGGGTCACTGCAGCATCTCCCTGCCCAGCAGAGGCTGAGGGAGCTGGGGCTGCTCAGCCTTGAGGGGAGCCCTGAGCCCTGGATATCACCGAGTGTCCCTGTGTGTCCCTGTCTGTGTGTCCCTGTGTGTCCCTGTGTGTCCCTGTCTGTGTGTCCCTGTGTGTCCCTGTGTGTGTGTCCCTGTGTGTGTGTCCCTGTGTGTCTGTCCCTGTGTGTCCCTGTCTGTCCCTGTGTGTCCCTGTGTGTCTGTCCCTGTGTGTCCCTGTGTGTCCCTGTGTGTGTGTCCCTGTCTGTCCCTGTCTGTCCCTGTCTGTCCCTGTCTGTCTGTCCCTGTCTGTCTGTCCCTGTGTGTCCCTGTGTGTCCCTGTGTGTCCCTGTCTGTGTGTCCCTGTCTGTCTGTCCCTGTGTGTCCCTGTCTGTCTGTCCCTGTGTGTCTGTCCCTGTGTGTCCCTGTGTGTCCCTGTGTGTCCCTGTCTGTCTGTCCCTGTGTGTCCCTGTCTGTGTGTCCCTGTGTGTCCCTGTCTGTCTGTCCCTGTGTGTCCCTGTCTGTCTGTCCCTGTCTGTCTGTCCCTGTGTGTCCCTGTGTGTCCCTGTCTGTCTGTCCCTGTGTGTCCCTGTGTGTCCCTGTGTGTCCCTGTCTGTCTGTCCCTGTCTGTCCCTGTGTGCAGGGCTCAGAGCAGCCCCAGGCTCTGCTCCAGGCCCAGCCATGGCCCCAGAGCCATGGGCAGGGCCTGAGCCCAGGAGCTGCCCCTGCCCAGGAGGCAGAGCTGCCCTGGGCAGTGCCAGCCCTGAGCAGAGCCCAGACAGGGGCTGGAGTCTCCTCCCTGGGACATTCCAGAGCCACATGGACACTCTGCTGTTCCCTGAGCTCTGGGATGGCCCTGCTGGAGCAGGGGGTGACACCAGTGACCCCATAGGGTCCTCCCAGCTTGACCCACTCTGGGGTTCTGTGACAGGGACTGGTGAAGACCAAACACATCCCTCCAAACACCCTCCCCATCCCTGCTCCCTCAGCTCTGGCTGCTGGGTGGGCTGGGATATCACAGAATCCCAGAGTGGGTTGGGTTGGAAGGGATCTTAAATCCCATCCAGGGCCACCTCCCACTGTGCCAGGTGCTCCCAGCCTGGCCTTGGGCACTGCCAGGGCTCCAGGGGCAGCCCCAGCTGCTCTGGGCACCCTGGCAGAGCCCAAACCTCTCCAACCAGGCCTTGCCAGGCTACAAACCCCTGTGGCAAATGGCACTGGGGGCACCTGGAACCATGCAGGAAATCATTCTTTCCTTGCCTTTCTCCATTTGCTGCAATGGTTTTTGGTGCTGCTTTCCATCCTGGATTGAGGAATGGGAATGCCAGAGTGGTTTGGGTGGGAAGGGATCTTCAATGCCAGCTCATTGCAGCCCAGGGCCACCTCCCACTGTGCCAGGGGCTGCCAGCCCCAATGTCCAGCCTGGCCTTGGGCACTGCCAGGGCTCCAGGGGCAGCCACAGCTGCTCTGGCAATTCCAGCCCAGCCCCTCCCCACCCTCAGTGTGAGAAACTCCTTCCTTTATCTGTTGCAGATGATTTGATAAATGAATGATAAAATCTCTTTTATAAAACCCTTTGGATCAGTTGGGATCAGCTGTCCCATCTGTGTCCCCTCCCTGTGTGCCCCAGCCCCTCCCTGGTGGGGTGAGGAGCAGAGCAGCCCCTGGCTCTGGGCATCCCTGTGCTGCTGTTTGAGGGTCCCCAGGATGAGGGAAGAGATGAAAATCTGGACTCCATGTTTCAGAAGGCTGATTTATTATTTTATGATATTATATTAAAAGAAAATGATATACTAAAACTGTACTAGAGAAAAAGAAAGGAGACATCAGAAAGCTGGAAAGGAAGGAATTATAAAATCTTGTGACTGACCAGAGAGTCTGACACAGCTCACCATGATTGATTATCAAGTAGAAACAATTCACATGGACCAATCAAAGGTGCACCTGTTGGTAAACCAGCTCCAGACCACATCCCACAGATAATTATTGTTTACATTTCTTTTCTGAGGCTTCTCAGGAGAAAAACCCTAGAAAAGATGTTCATGAGATGTGTCAGTGGCACATCCCTGTGCAATCAGCCCATGCACTCCATGGCTTTGGGAAGGGTTTTCCATCCTGTGGAGTCCCCAGGATGTTCTGAATGTCCTCAGGGGGAGAGGGTGGGAACACCTGAGAGCTCAGGGCTGGGTGTGATCCCAGTGATTTTCACACCCATTTTTAATCCCTCTGTGTGGGATTCCCATGGAAGCCCCCATGGGAAGTGTTGGCTCTGCTGCTGTCCTGTCCTGTCCCCACCACAGCTGGGGTTTGGGGTTTGTTCCTTGCACCTCTGCAGGCCTGAAAACCTGAAATTGTGGCCCTTGATGCCATTGATACATTTGTGTTCCTTGCTCATTTCTGGATCTCTTGTGGTTCCTCATGGCCTGTAGGAAAACTGGAGAAGCCAAAGAAATGGTAAAATAAAATGTAGAATCCAAACAAAGTGCTGGGAAATGCCCATTCCTGGCTCTTCCATGGATATGAAGCATTGCCATGAAGTCCAGTCCCATTTTGGGTGGTCAGGAGCCCATGGCAGCTGCTTGGAGTGGTGTAAAGTGAGGTTTGGTGCCAGAGCTCCACACAGTTAAAAATCACCAAATACTCCATTAAATATGAGTATCTGGGGAGATTGTGGCTTGTTCTCTCTGGCTCTCACCTGAGGAGAAAACAGAAACTGAACTTTTTACATTTTTACTGTAACAGGTGTTTGAGGCTGGCACTGGGGTTTGTGGGTTATTTTTGTTTGTTTTTAAAATCCATCAATTTCTTTGTAGAATTAACTCAGGGAGCTATTTCAGCCCATGTTTTTTCCTTATCCCCTCTTTATTACACCACCTGCAGGCCCTTCTGGTGGCTCTGATGCTGGGCTGGAGCATTCCTGCTTTTATATTTTTTAAATACATCAACTTCTGTGTAGAATTAACTTAGGGAACCGTTTCAGGACATCTCTTTATTTTTTTTCTTGTCTTCTACAACACTTGTGTAACTTCCAGGGAGTTCTGCTGGGGCTGGGGGTGTATTGCTGCTGTGATGCTGGGCTGGAGCAGTCCTGCTTTTATTTTTGTTTATTTTTTTTAAATACATCCATTTCTCTGGAGAATTCACTCAGGGAATTATTTCAGATCATCTTTTTTATTTTTTCCCCTCTTTACTCCAACACCTCCAAGCAGTTCTGGTGTGTTTAGGGATGTGATGTTGGGATGGAGTATTCCTGGCTTTATTTTTTGAAATACACCAATTTCTCAGTAGAATTAACTATTTCAGACCATCTCTATTTTTACTCCTCTCTTCTACAACCCTTCCAAGGAGTTCTGGTAGGTCTCGGGGTGTCATGGAGCATTCCTGGTTTTAATTTTTATTTTTTTAAATACAGCAATTCTCCATAGGATTAATTTGGAGAACTATTTCAGATAATTTCTTTATTTTTCCCTCCTGCATTCCACTACCTCTGGGCAGTTCTGGAGGGTTTGGGGATGTGATGGAGCATACCTGGTTTTAATTTTTATTTTTTTAAATACAGCAATTCTCCATAGAATTAATTTGGAGAACTATTTCAGATAATTCCTTTATTTTCCATCCTGTAACTCCAGCACCTCTGGGCAGTTCTGGTGGGTCTGTGGATTTGATGGAGAATTCCTGCATTTATTTTATTTTTTTTTAATACAGCAATTCTTGATAAAATTAATTTGGTGAACTGTTTCAGACCATGACTTTATTTTTCCCTCCTATACTCCACAACCTCTGGGCAGTGCTGGAGGGTCTGTGGATGTGATGGAGCATTCCTGGTTTTAGTTTTTATTTTTTTAAATACAGCAATTCTCCATAGAATTAATTTGGAGAACTATTTCAGATCATTTATTTAATTTCCATCCTGTAACTCCAGCACCTCTGGGCAGTTCTGGTGGGTCTGTGGATGTGATGGAGCATTCCTGCATTTATTTTATTTTTTTTAATACAGCAATTCTTCATAAAATTAATTTGGTGAGCTGTTTCAGACCATGACTTTATTTTTCCCTCCTATACTCCAGCACCTGCTGCAGGGTGGGTTGCTGGGCTGGAGCTCTCCTGCCCTGTTTCCCTTCAGGAACATCCCCCAGGAAGGGCTGGAGCTCTCCTGCCCTGTTTCCCTTCAGGAACATCCCCCAGGAGGGGCTGGAGCTCTCCTCCCTGTTTCCCTGCAGGAATATCCCTAGGAAGGGCTGGAGCTCTCCTGCCCTGTTTCCCTTCAGGAATATCCCTAGGAAGGGCTGGAGGTCTCCTGCCCTGTTTCCCTGCAGGAATATCCCTAGGAAGGGCTGGAGCTCTCCTCCCTGTTTCCCTTCAGGAACATCCCCCAGGAAGGGCTGGAGCTCTCCTGCCCTGTTTCCCTTCAGGAATATCCCCAGGAAGGGCTGGAGCTCTCCTGCCCTGTTTCCCTGCAGGAATATCCCTAGGAAGGGCTGGAGCTCTCCTGCCCTGTTTCCCTACAGGAATATTCCCCAGGAAGGGCTGGAGCTCTCCTGCCCTGTTTCCCTACAGGAACATCCCCCAGGAAGGGCTGGAGCTCTCCTCCCTGTTTCCCTACAGGAATATCCCCTAGGAAGGGCTGGAGCTCTCCTGCCCTGTTTCCCTGCAGGAATATCCCCCAGGAAGGGCTGGAGCTCTCCTGCCCTGTTTCCCTACAGGAATATTCCCCAGGAAGGGCTGGAGCTCTCCTGCCCTGTTTCCCTTCAGGAATATCCCCCAGGAAGGGCTGGAGCTCTCCTCCCTGTTTCCCTACAGGAATATCCCCTAGGAAGGGCTGGAGCTCTCCTGCCCTGTTTCCCTGCAGGAGCATCCCCCAGGAAGGGCTGGAGCTCTCCTGCCCTGTTTCCCTACAGGAATATCCCCCAGGAAGGGCTGGAGCTCTCCTCCCTGATTCCCTACAGGAATATCCCCCAGAAAGGGCTGGAGCTCTCCTCCCTGTTTCCCTTCAGGAATATCCCCCAGGAAGGGCTGGAGCTCTCCTGCCCTGTTTCCCTACAGGAATATCCCTAGGAAGGGCTGGAGGTCTTCTCCCTGTTTCCCTGCAGGAATATCCCCCAGGAAGGGCTGGAGCTCTCCTGCCCTGTTTCCCTTCAGGAATATCCCCAGGAAGGGCTGGAGGTCTCCTCCCTGTTTCCCTGACCCGTTTTCCCCCACAGCCGCACGCCCGGGAACTGCCAGAACTCGGCCAGCGAGGTGGATCTGCTGGGCCCCAACCAGAACGGCTCTGAAGGCCTGGCCCAGCTGGCCAGCACCAACGGGGCCAAGCCTGTGGAGGATTTCTCCAACATGGAGTCCCAGAGCGTGCCCCTGGATGCCATGGAGCACGTGGGCATGGAGCCGCTGCAGTTCGACTACTCCGGCACGCAGGTCCCCGTGGACTCGGCCGCGGCCACCGTGGGGCTCTTTGACTACAACTCCCAGCAGCAGGTACAGAGCTGAGCCCTGAGTCTGATCCCTGAGCCCTGATCCTGAGCCCTGAGCCCTGATCCTCATCCTGAGCTCTGATCCATGGTCCTGATCCCTGATCCTGATCCCAATCTGTGAGCCCTAATTCCTGAGCCCTGATCCTGAGTCCTATTCTTGATCCTGAGCCCTATCCCTGATCTCTGACCCCTGATCCTGATCTCTGAGCCCTCATCCTTTAGCCCTTAGCCCTGATCCTCATCCCTCATCCTGATCCTTTAGCCCCAGTCCCTGATCCCTGATGATCCCTGATCTCTGATCCTGAGCCCTATTCCTGATCCTGATCCCTGAGCCCTTAGCCATGAGCCTGAGCCATGATCCCTGACCCCTGATCTCTGACTCCTCATCCTTTAGCCCTTAGCCCTGATCCTCATCCCTGATCCTGATCCTTTAGCCCCAGTCCCTGATTTCTGAGCCCTGATCCAGCCCTGTGGCTGCACTGTGCTTGCTGTGGGGTGGGATGAGCTCAGGATCCTGTCCTGGGAGAAGGGATGGAGGAAGGTTGGAGATGTTGTCATTGTCTTTGTGCTGTGTGTGTCCTTCCAGGGAACTGAGCAGATCAGCCTTCCATGGCAGCTGGAATAATGAGAATTCCCCCAGCAGTTCCCACAGCACTGCTCTCTCTGGTGGTCCTGGCTGTCTGAGGAGCTGGCATTGAAAAAGAGCTTTAAAGTAGCAAAAATTGCTAAAAAAAAAAAAACCCAAACACTCACCCTGGAGCTCAGGAAGTGACTGAGAGCCAACAGCTGCTCAGCCCAGGTGTGAGCCCTGCACTGGGCTTTGCTGAGCCCCATGCTGGGTTTTATTAAGCCTCAAATTGGGCCCTTCTGGTCCCTACATTGGGCCCTGCTGAGCCCCACATTGGGCTTGGCTGAGCCCAGGTGTGAGCCCTGCTGAGCCTCACATTGTGCTTTACTGAGCCCCACACTCAGCTTTGCTCAGCCAGAGCAGCCTGAGGCAATTACAAGTTGAAACTTTCTTCTACCTGAGCCTGGTTTAAACCCTAAGGGCAGAGTCCACTACTACAAACCTTTATCTGAGCCTGGCTTAGGTTTGTTTGACCTTTCTCCCACACAAGCCCAGACTCCCTTGGCTCCTGCTGAATGCTGGGCCTGGCTCCAGCAATCGACTCCTGCTCTGCTCCTGTTCCTGCTCGTTTGGGTAATGATTGGAAACTTTATTGCTCTCCCTTTGCAAGTCTGATATCCCTCAGAGTGGAAGGGAATCCTTTGTTGGAGCTGATTGCAGGGATATATAACTCTCCCTGGCTTCCCTGAAATATCTGATTTTTTTTAGCAGAAGAGCCTCTGGCACTCTGGAGTGAGGGAAAGCATTGCCAAGTTTGTGCTGAGTTATCACAGCCTTAAAAGCAATGTAAATATCTGGGTTGGAGCTCAATTGGCTGCTCTGTTCTACAGCATCTTTGGGAGGTTAATGATGGAAAATTTAATGATTAAACTAAATAGCTGCTGTAGAGTTCAAAAAGAAAAAAAAACCAGATAGTTCCAAGTCTTTGTCTTGCTCTGGTGTAAGGCCTGGGATGCCAGAATTACTTCTAAACCAGGAAAGTTGGGTGTTTTTTAAAGCATGAGGGCTCCACAAGTGAGCTGCTTCTGGAGAAGCATTAGAGAAGGGACTGCAACAGCACGGGTGGGAAGCCTCGAATTTGCATTTTGTCAGGGTTTTCTATTTAAGTGAAGGCTCATTTACAAGTTTGAGGAGTTTTTATTTGTTTCCTTCAGCCTTTAAAAATTAAGATTTGGCATGTCTGGCACCTCACTGGTGGAAATAAACCCTGCCAAAGGGAGGCAGAGCAGGGCAGGGTCCCTGTTTTGGGGAGATGAAGTGAGGATTTCAGGCTGGGTTTGCATTTTTTATTTCATACCGAGTGGATGGGCACTGTCCATGTGGAGCTGAGGTCACCTCTGTGTCACCAACTGTCTGGGAATCATGGAATCACTGAGCCTGGAAAACCCTCCCAGAGCATCCAATCCCAGCTCTGCCCCATCCCCACCTTGTCCCCAGCCCAGAGCTCTGAGTGCCACCTCCAGGCATTCCTGGGACACCGCCAGGGCTGGGCACTGCAAACCTCCCTGGGCAGCCCCTGCCAAGGCCTGAGCCCCCTTTGCATGGGGAAATTCCTGCAGTGCCCACCCTGAGCCTGCCCTGGCCCAGCCTGAGGCCGTTCCCTCTGCCCCTGTCCCTGTTCCCAGCTGTGCCCTCCTGGCAGGAGCTGTGCAGAGCCACAAGGGCCCCCTGAGCCTCCTTTGCTCCAGGCTCAGCCCCTGCCCAACTCCCTCAGCCCCTCCTGGGGCTCCAGCCCCTTCCCAGCTCCATTTCTGTGCTGTGAAGCCCAAATCCCCTCTGATCTCTCCCTGATTTTGGGGGAGCAGTGGGGACACAGCTGCTGCCCCTCAGTCCCACCCAGGCTCTGCTGGGCTGGCAGACAAATCTGTTATTTTCAGTTTTCAGCCTTGCTGCAGCTTCCACCTGCAGTGAAAGCAAACAGGAGCCTTCAGTCAGCCTGAGGTGCTGTAGTAAAGGTCAGGGATCACTCCCCAGCCAGATGTGCCCTCCCAGGGCAGGTTGATGTAAATCCAGGGGGTTGTGCCCATTCCCCTAATTCCTGATCCCCAGAGCCAGGGGTCCTTGCTGCCCAGTGCCACTCTCAGCCTGGAGGAAAGGAATCTGACTTCTGCCATTCTGTTGGCAGCAGGAAATCTGTCCTGAACAAGGGATCTCCTCCCTGAAAGTGCCTTTTGGGGCTGTGGGGAAGTGTCCCATCCTTGGAGGGGATTACAGGTGAGCCCAGCTGCAGGCAGTGTGAGGAAGAGGAAGGTTTTACCCACATCTGATCTGATTAGGGATGTCAGGTGTTGATATTGCTGAGGGAAATCTGATCTTCCAGAATTCCCATAACTCTGGGGTTCTGCTCCCTTGGAATTCCCTCAGTGAGCTCCTCCACTTGCTGGAAATCATCCTTCATTTGTCTGCTCATGGAACAGCCTCACTGAAATGTTGGATGATCTCCCTGAACTCCTCTGGAACCGTGTCAGGCCTTTGTAGCTTTTCACTCCAAATGCATTTTCCAGCAGCCTGAAACACCCCAGGTGCCCTTTCCTGCTATCTTTGTCAATTCAGGTTAATATTGCAGTGCAGAGGTTCCTGTCCTTTGTCTGCTCCCAGTGCCACCTTTGAGCACTGAACTCTGGGTTTGGAGTGTGGGGCTGTGCTCTCAGCAGATGGAGACAGCCCAGCAAGGCTTCAGCAGCTCTCCCTAAATAAAGGGAGTTGATGATTCCCAGAGCTCCCTTGGTTATCTGCCTCAGGAGAGGCTGCACTTGGGATGCTTTTTCTTGGCTCTGCTTCCTTGGACAGGCTGCAGGATGAAATCTGCAGCTGGGCTGAGTTTCTTCTGAGGGAGCTGAGCAAGGCTGTGAATTCAAGGGGAGAGGGAGAGGTCACAGAATGCTGGAATGGTTTGGGTGGGAAAGGACTTCAAAACTCATCCAATTCCAACCCCTGCCATGGCAGGAACACCTCCCACTGTCCCAGGCTGCTCCAACCTGGCCTTGGGCACTGCCAGGGCTCCAGGGGCAGCCACAGCTGCTCTGGCAATTCCAGCCCAGCCCCTCTCCACCCTCCCAGCGAGCAATTCCCAATTCCCAAGATCCCATCTAAATCCCTGCACTCTTAGTTTAAGGCCAATCCCCCTTGTCCTGTGCTGTAAAAGGTCCCTCTCCAGCTTTCTTGCAGACCTTTTATGTCTGGGAGTCAAATTTTGCAGGGATTAGATGAGCCCCCAGAGCAGGCAGACAGCAAAAAGAGCCAAGAGCAGCAGGTGAAATATTGATGGTGAAGTGCTGAGGCTCTGAGGGGGTGTGGATTCCTTTCTCCCAGCTTTTCTGATTCCCACGTGGTTCATTGAGTTGCATTTGGGAAGTGTGGAAGTCCTCACATGTGTAAAGTGAGCAGAAGTGGTTTTAGGAAAGAAAAATGCTTTTTGTGCCCTCAAGACAAGGAAATAATAATGCAGCCATTTCCTCTCTGCTTCACTGTGATGGAATCCACATCAGCAGGCTGGAAAAGCATGTGAGAACTCAGGGGTTTGGTGAAATTGTGCAGCTGAAGGAAGCTAAAAAGTTGAAATTGCTGAGCTGATACAGCAGACCCCAACCCTGAGGTTGCTGCAAAGGAATCCACACTTCAGGAGGAAGCAGTTTAGGGGATTTCTAGGGTTTTTTCCCCCATATTTGCTGATCAGTGAAATGTTGCTGGTCACTCCCACAGAGCCACTGCCCCTTGTTCCATGTTCTGCTGCTCCTGTTGTCCATGATCTCCCTGGTGTTTTGCACTCAGGGATGTTCCCAGAATTCCCAGAATTCCCAGAATCACTGGGTTGGAAGAGACCTTCAAGACCACTGAGTCCAACCCAGCCCCAACCCCTCAACTCAACCCTGGCACCCAGTGCCACATCCAGGCTTTGTTAAACACCCCCAGGGATGGGGACTCCACCACCTCCCCGGGCAGAACATTCCAGAACTTTATCACCTTTCTGTAAAATCCTTTTCCTGATATCCACCCTGTATTTCCCTTGGTGCAGCTCGAGGCTGTGTGCTCTGGTTCTGTCAGTTCTGGAGAAAGAGCCCAGCCCCAGCTGAGCACAGGCACCTTTCAGGAGCTGCAGAGAGCGATGAGGGCACCCCTGAGTCTCCTTTTCTCCAGGCTGAGCACCCCCAGCTCCCTCAGGGGTTCCTCACTCACAGGGTTTGTGTTCCAAGGTGTCAGTGGGGCTTTGCCCAAGCTCCTGGTGACCTGAGCAGAGCTGCCACCCAGCTTTGTGTGACCACAAAAAACACCTTAAAACAACAAAAAGGGCAGGAGAAGCAGGTGTGTTATGCACCCAGCCTGCTCAGGGTGTTTTATGGCCCAGGAGGCAATAAAGGAACTGTAGATCAGATATTTTCCTCCACAAGGAACGTTCTGATAACCCCTGAGGGATGAGCAAACAAAGCCATTGTGAGGGGGAGGGTTTGGCACACAACAGGTTAATTCTGGCTGCCCTAACTGCTGCATTTCCACCTCATAAACCCAATGCTGATCCCTCAGATGTGTTTTCTCCACCTGAACTTGTAAAAAGACAAAAATAAAGGTGGATTTTCTCACACAGCTTTGCTCACCCTGCTCTCAGGAGAACCAATGCCAATTTTTGCCTCTAAATAAAATAAGTAATAGAGTTTTCTTGATGTTTCTGGGCTTCTTCTTGATGGTTGTGGGTTTCTGCCAAAAATTTGGGCAGAATTATTGCTGTGTCTGCCAGCAGTTCACTTGTCTGAAAGGAGGGCAGGATAATAGGTGTGAAAATCGTAGGCATTTGGGCATCCAAGTCTGTTCTGAGGGAGTGGAGGGAGAAATCATTTCTCACAGTGCTTTGTGAAGTCATTGCCACCTAGAAATGATCCCTGGAAGTGAGGGGGGATGGACATGCTGGATAATTTCACAGGAGATATTCAGCTGATGTGTCCTTAAATGCTTTAATTACAGCTGAAGATGGGTGAATTCAGGGATTTCCTCCAGGGAGAGGCAAAAGAAACTGGGAAAGAAAACTTTTAGTAAGGCCCTGAAGAAAGGAAAAAACCCTCAAACCCTCAGCAAAAACACTTCAAGGGAATCCTATTATTTTTATTTAGTGAGGAATAAATTCTCAATAACCTTGAGCAGTGAGCAGGTAGTGTTTGGTGTGGGGTTGTGATCCTGGGGCTGTGTCCCCTCTGCTGGCTCTAAAGGCTTTTAGGGTGTCCCAAACTTGGCTCTGCATCCCTTGGCCATCCCCTTTCCATCCCATTTCCCACTTCAGCCAAACTGGGAGTGCACACTGGTGCCACTGGTGGCACTCCCAACACACTGTTTGTGCCCAGTTTCAGGGCTGTTTGTGCCCCCTTTAAAGGGCTGTTTGTACCTGATTTAAGGGTTATTTGTACCCACTTTCAGGGTTATTTGTGCCCACTTTAAAGGGCTGTTTGTACCTGGTTTAAGGGCTGTTTGTACCCACTTTCAGGGCTGTTTGTGCCCATTTTAAAGGTTATTTGTACCCACTTTAAGGGCTGTTTGTGCCCATTTTAAAGGTTATTTGTACCCACTTTCAGGGCTGTTTGTGCCCGGTTTCAGGGTTGTTTGTGCCTGGTTTCAGGGTTATTTGTACCCACTTTCAGGGCTGTTTGTGCCCACTTTAAAGGGCTGTTTGTACCTGGTTTAAGGGCTGTTTGTGCCCACTTTCAGGGCTGTTTGTGCCCACTTTAAGGGTTATTTGTGCCTGGTTTCAGGGTTATTTGTGCCCACTTTAAGGGCTGTTTGTGCCCACTTTAAGGGCTGTTTGTGCCCACTTTAAGGGTTATTTGTGCCCACTTTAAGGGCTGTTTGTGCTCTCCCTACAGCTGTTCCAGAGGCCCAATGCACTGGCAGTGCAGCAGCTGACAGCAGCCCAGCAGCAGCAGTACGCCCTGGCTGCTGCCCACCAGCCACACATAGGTGAGTCTGCCTCTCCCCAGCCTGTCCCCCAGCCCTCCTCCTGATCAGTTTTGCTTCTGGGTGTCTCTTGCACACTTGAGAAGCCTTTTAAAGGAGTTCCCTGTGTGGCAGGACTGACACTCTCATCCTCCTGAGGGTGCTGTCAGTCAGGAGAGGCTTTGGAAGTCTCTGAGTGAAGCATAAATCAGGGTGACAGCACAGTGAAGTGAGGAGAAATGCACAATTGAATATCAGCTGGATGTGCTGCCAGGGGTCCTATGAGTTAAAAATGTAATTTATGCAAACACATGATTGATATCAAGCAAAATTATTCAAAAAAATTTAAAAATTTATATATATTTATTAATTGGGAATAAAGCACTTAATCATGTGTAGAAACCCAGGAAAACAATGCAATTTTTTTTTAGCACAATAAGCAATTTGTGGTAGTTTTTCCTGCCCAAAACCCCAGTATAAATGTGTTGGGGCTCTCCATGCTCTGTGCTATGCCCTTGTGTGCTCAGTGCAGTTCAGGGATGGAAATGATTCAGCTTTTTAACTTCCTCCCCTTCACCTTCACCTCCCCTGCACACCCCTCTCCTGCCCACCTGGGCTTTCTCTAATCATTAAACTGTTTTTCCTCTCTGAGCCCTTTCCAGACTGACCAGCTGGAATGCTGGGATGCTGTGGTGGGTGTGGAGCTCAGGATGGGGTGGTTTGGGTCCTGATTTACTCACTGTAGGAAATAAAACAGAGTAGCAACAACTCCAGTCTCCTGAGCAGTGTCTGTCTGCCCTGCAGGAGCACCTGAGCTGTTGGATATAAAGGATTTTACCTCTTAAGGAGCACTGAATCCTTGGAATTGGGGTTTTTTTATGCCAGATCTCTTCTCTGCCCATCAACACTCACTGGTTGTCACTCCCTATAGAAAACCACCCACAAAAAGCTTCAAACCACAAAACCAGCCTGACTTTGGTGCTGTCCAGGCAGCACAGGGGGGTTGTGGTGGGGCTGCAGTCCTGTTGAGTTTGTTTGCACTGACAGGAATGTTTTCAGCAGGTTTAGCTCCTGCTGCCTTCGTTCCCAACCCCTACATCATCAGCGCGGCGCCTCCGGGGACGGATCCGTACGCGGCCGGGCTGGCGGCAGCTGCCACGTTAGGTGAGAGCTCCCAGCTCCCTCTGCACTCCCAGCCCTCCCTGTCTGCAGCTGGGGCTCTGCAAGGCAAACATCAGCATCCTGGGCTGGGACAATTGCTAGAATGGTGTGGCTGTGAGTAAAACCAGAGTTTGTTGTTAAAACTGGAGATGAAGTGGGATAATTTTTGTTCAAGGCTCCCAGAGCAAATGGGAAGGGAACAGACACAAATATTGCTCTGTTTTTGGGGTGTTTTGGTGACTGACAGTAGCAGGGAAAACCTCTGAAACTAACCCAGCAGGGAGAACCTCTGAAAACACATTTCTGGAAGGCTGGAAAGATGCAGGATGTGTTTCCTGCCAGGAAAGTTGTGTCTCCTTTCTGTTCAGCTTGTGGTGCACTCTGCAAATGAACTCTTCCCTGAAATTCTGCTGGGAATTTCCACTTCCCAGGAGGTGAACACATCCATTTCTGCTGGGGCTCCCACTGGGAACGTGCCCTTTTCCAGATGGCAGCAAAGATGGAGCCTCTGCTCTTTCTGCAGGATCTTCCTCCAGCCATTCATGTGTCAGTTCCCAAATTCCTCCCAGCTGTCACAGCCAGAGCTGGTGGTTCTGGAGGTGCCAGCTCTGTGCCACAGCTTGTCAGGCACTGTGGGGGACATGGTGAGCATGGAACTGGTGCTGGGGGTGCCAGAAAGCTCTTGCCCAAGCACTGGGGACAAAGCAGGAATGTGCTTGTAGGAGAGGATTTTCAGAGGAGGAACATGATTTTAGGAGAGGATTTTTAGAGGAGGAACATGATTTTAGGAGAGGATTTTTAGAGGAAGAACATTATTTTAGGAGAGGATTTTTAAAGGAAGAACATGATTTTAGGAGAGGATTTTCAAAGGAGGAACATCATTTTAGGAGAGGATTTTTAGAGGAAGAACATGATTTTAGAAGAGGATTTTTGGATTTTTAAAGGAACAACATGCTTCTGGGAGGGGATTTTTAAAGGAAGAACATGATTTTAGGACAGGATTTTTAAAGGAAGAACATGATTAGGACAGGATTTTCAAAGGAGGAACATGATTTTAGGAGAGGATTTTCAAAGGAAGAACATGATTTTAGGAGAGGATTTTTAAAGGAAGAATGTGCTTGTAGGAGAGGGTTTTTAAAGGAAGAACATGATTTTAGGAGAGGATTTTTGGATTTTTAAAGGAAGAACATGCTTCTGGGAGGGGATTTTTAAAGGAAGAATGTGCTTGTAGGAGAGGGTTTTTGAAGGAAGAACATGATTTTAGGAGAGGATTTTTAGAGGAAGAACATGATTTTAGGAGAGGGTTTTTAAAGGAAGAACATCATTTTAGGAGAGGATTTTCAAAGGAAGAATGTGCTTTTAGAGGAGGATTTTCTAACCATGCCTGGCTTTCCTTGACCAAGGCAGAGGGAATGTTCTGTGCTGCACATGAGCACTGCTCTGGTTGGAGTGGGGTGTTTGTGGGGGCTCTCAAGGCTGCCATGCTCTACTTACAGCTTGTAAATTCACTTCAGTCCTCTGGTTTTGGGTGGCTTGCCCCAGATCAGAGGCACAGGCCTGGGCTGTGTGTGGATGTGACACTCTGTGGTTTGGGACACAGCTTTGCTCCAGCTCTTCCCAAACCCCTGCTGAGCCTTTCAGCTTTGAGGCCATTGTGGGGTCAGCTCTGAAATGGGAATTCAGCGACTGCTGCCCGCTTGGATGGAGGTTTTAGTGGATCATGCAGATGTGTGGGAAGAGTTTGGATTATAATAGATTATAGATCATGCAGATGTGTGTGAAGAGTCTGGATTATAATCTGGGTTTTGGCCTGGGCTGCTGGGAGTCCCATGCTGGGATTGTGCAATGCCATGGGGAGATTGGGTGGAGGCAGCACCAGGCCTTGGCAGACGATGACGCCGTGTTCCGTGGGACAGAGCCAAGGGCAGGGGCACAAGGACATTGCTGAGAACCCTCCTGGGCTGGGGAATGGAGCAGGGAGTGAATGAGCTGAGCTGCTGCTGGCCAGTGCCACAGGGGAGTGCAGTCAGGAGGAGCTGCAGGGCTCCGTTCCAGGCAGAGGAGGAGATCTGTGAACGGTTCCTGTACAGAGAGGCTCCTGCTTGGCCTCTGCATCACCTCAGGGCCTCCAGAGCTCCTTTCTGGGTAGCAGCAGAGTGCACAGGAGCAGCAGGTCAGCAGCTTGGTTTCATAGAAAGAGCACATGGAACTGGGCCACGTTTCCAGGAAATAGCAAGTGTTGGCCACAGTGTTTTTATTTCTTTTCTCAGCTCTACTGAAGCTGAGCTTCCTGAGCTTTTGCAGCCTCTGACCAGGAGAAAACCCCATCTAGGCTGTGCTTAATTCAGGTTTTAGACATTTGAACTGGAAATGACACCCCAGGGATACCTAAAGCATCCCAAACTTGGCATCAGGGCCTCTACTTGAGTAATTCTAAATTCATGACTCTTGAAAGAAACCAAACAATGTGTGATGTGCTGGGTGTATTTATAGTGTTATAACACTGGGAAATAGGAGTTATTTTAACCCTCTCACCAGGCTTTGGACCCTAGAAATGACAAGATAAACTTCATGCTGATGTTTATTTCAGAAAAGCATCTTTCCTGTCTGGGCCTGAGCAGGTTTGAGAACCCTTTTTTTTCCCTGTCATGACTGAGAGCAGCACTGGAGGAACAGGAGACAGTTTAAATGTTTATACAAAGCCAAAAAGCCTCACTGATGTGCCTGGGAGTGTTAAATTGGGAGAACTTGGAGGAGCTTCTGAGATGGAAGAAATGAATTTGGAGTTTATTGCTCACAGTTCCTCTCAGAGCAGAGAGGAGACTTTGGTGTGTGTTTTATGGCAGAGATAATCTGTCAATTAAAGTTCTGCCATTATGGCAGGTTTGTCATGATTGTGAGACTGGCAGCTCTAGGATAGTGCTCTTCTCTTCCCAACAATAGCAGCATTTTAAAGAACAAATTTGAATGCAGAGGGAAGAACTTCCTAAAAAAACCCTCATTTAGATTTTAAACTGTGGGGAAGATACTGCTGCCTTTGAATTGCCTTCCATCATTTGAGAAAGATGTCACTCAGAAAACTGAAAACTTGCCTTTTTTAGGCCAGTTTGGAAATTATTCCCTCTGGGGTGGAGTGTTGCAGGTACAAAAGTGTTCCTGTTCTTTGTGGGGAGGTGGATGAATGCTGGGATAACCTGGATACAGGAAAAGCACAGGCTCCCACGGCTGAGGTTTTCAGACTTGGGGGTAGGAAATGATTCCCTCTGAGGTGAGGTGTTCAAGGTAGAAAAGTGTTCCTGTTCTTTGTGGGGAGGTGGTGAATGTGGGGTGACCTGGTCACAGCAAGAGCAGGGGCTCCCACAGCAGGGTTCAGCCTGGCTGGAAGGATCAGGCCTTGGTGCTGAGCTGGAGCAGGTGTGGGTGTGGGCACAGCCTGCCAGGGCTGGGATTTGGGAGCCCCTGCAGCTGGGTTTGTGCTGGGTACCTCACAGAGCCAGCCTGGGCAGGGCTGGGGCAGCCCCTCTGAGCTCAGCTGCTCACTGCCCTCCCTGGAGCAGCACCCTGGGGGTGCCATGCTGGGAATTCCAGGGGATCACCCCACAGATCCCTGGGAATTCCAGGGGATCACCCCACAGATCAGTGATCAGTGGGCATTCCACAGGGATCACCCCTCAAACCACTGGGGATTTCACAGGGATCACCCCACAGATCAGTGGGCATTCCACAGGGATCACCCCACAGATCCCTGGGAGTTCCAGGGGATCACCCCACAGATCAGTGGGAATTCCAGGGGATCACCCCACAGATCAGTGGGCATTCCACAGGGATCACCCCACAGATCAGTGGGAATTCCAGGGGATCACCCCACAGATCAGTGGGAATTCCACAGGGATCACCCCTCAAACCTCTGGGGATTCCAGGGGATCACCCCACAGATCCCTGGGAATTCCAGGGGATCACCCCACAGACCAGTGGGAATTCCACAGGGATCACCCCTCAAACCACTGGGAATTCCAGGGGATCACCCCACAGATCCCTGGGAATTCCAGGGGATCACCCCACAGATCAGTGGGCACTCCACAGGGATCACCCCTCAAACCTCTGGGGATTCCACAGGGATCACCCCACAAATCAGTGGGAATTCCAAAGGGCTCACCCCACAGATCCCTGGGAATTCCAGGGGATCACCCCACAGATCCCTGGGAATTCCAGGGGATCACCCCACAGATCAGTGGGAATTCCAAAGGGATCACCCCACAGATCAGTGGGAATTCCAAAGGGATCACCCCACAGATCCCTGGGAATTCCAGGGGATCACCCCACAGCCCCCTGGGGTTTGTGCCTGCAGCCTCTCTGAGCTCCAGGGGCTGCTGGATTTGCTGTCACAGCTGGATTTCCTGTCACAGCTGGATTTGCTGTCACAGCTGGATTTGCTGTCACAGCTGGATTTGCTGTCACTGCTGCTCAGCCTGGCTGCCCTGCAGGAGAGGCTGGGCTGGGCAGGCTGAGATGGAAGCACAACCCCTGGGTGCTCTCACACAACCCAGTGATGTTCTGAGCACATTCCCAGCTGGATTTGCTGCTGTTCCCTGCCAGGAGCAGGTCTGGCTGTCCAGTGGGACACAGCATGGGCAATATTCAATATTCACCTCCAGAGGTGCTGGAATTTTTCTTTTCCCAGAATGGCCAGCTCTGATGAGAGCAGGAGCTCCTGGAGGGGGAGCAGCTCTGGGTGCTGCTGGGTCTGGCAGTGATGCCACACTTGCCCTCACTGAGAACTCTGTTCAATAATGAGCCTCTCTCCTGTGCTCGGAGCAGCTGAGCCAGACTCGCAGCCCTTTCAAACCCAGCTGCTGCAAACTTCAAAGTCTCCTCTGCTTTTGTACACCCAAGGCTTTGGCAGCAGCCTCTGCCTAGGAGAAAAGCCCATCTAGGCTGTGCTTGGTTGATAATTAGAGCTGAGACTAATACATCCCAGAGAGATGCCCAGATTTTTGCCCAGATGAAGGGATTGCAGCAGCCTGAGGGCAAATGCAGGTTAATGACTTGCATTAAAAGGGAGCAGTTGCAGCTCTTGCCCTGTTGGGTGCAGGAGAACCCTGGGAGCTGGGGTCTGATGTGCATTCAGTGATTATAAACAGGTTAAAATCACTCCCTGCCTACCTGTCTGTGCCTGCTGAGGCACCACAGGCACCACCTTCATGGCACTGATTCATTTGCTGCAGGTTTTTTTTCCATTTTAGCTGGCACTGCTCATGAATTTCCAGGGTGGAAGGTAAGAAATGAGTGGTTGCTGCTCCAGATCTGAGTAGGAGAGGCAGATCAGCCTCTCTGATTCTGTAAATCCAGCAAGGATGGGCTTTGGGGTGAGATACAAATCCAGGTGTTCAGCAGCTGCCTGGAATTAGCCAGCACCTCCCTGGTGTGCACAGAGCTGAGCACCTCAATCCTCAGTTTGGGGAAAGCACAGTAGTTAAAACCAGAATAATGTAATAAGAGTAACTCTTACATGTTTGAAACATGAATTTAATATTTGGCACAACACATGGAATGAATGTTCTGAAGTGTGGATGTGGGAGCAGGAGCTCATCCAGCTCCTTGACATCCTGCAGGATTCAGCTGAGCCTGGTACTGTAAAAATCAAGAAGAAAGGAACAAAAACCAAAAGGAAAAGGGACTTGCAGGATTTTCCCCCGTTGTCACAGCCAGGCTAACACTGAACACTGCTTTCACCTCCCTTTTTGTGTCATCCCTCATTTTCCATGGAATCACACACTTGGGCAGAACCCAAGTGCTGAGATTCTCTCTTTAAGAAGAAAAAATCCTGTTTTTATTCCAGGCATGACCAAGGTTCTCTAAAGATTTGTTTATTCCAGTGTCACACCTGACTCTGGCTCTGCCTGAGCTATTCCTGCTGCGGGGAGGGAGCCTTGGAGTGGGGATGTATTTGGGAATTAAAGGGAACACTTCTGCTTTTCTGCTGACCTTTCCTAAAGATATCAAACAGTCATACTAAAAAAATTATTGGATTCCCATCCATGTTATTGGGTGGGAAGGGCTCCTCCCTTCAGCACTGAGAGCTTCCTCAGCATTATTCTAACTGGGATTATTTAAGGAGAGAGGCTGCCATTCTGCTGTCTCCAAATTTCTGTGCTCTCCTGAGACCTGATAAACACAAGGAATCTTCAAAAGGGAGGCTTTTTCTGCTGCTCTCCAGGGTTGTTATTATTATTTTTAAGCCTCTTAGGTTTGAGGAGGGGATGTGAAGTTTGAGGAGGGAGTGTGGGCAGGGACAGGACGGTGCAGCCTCTTTGAGGGGAGATTTGCAAATGCAAAGCAGGGCTGGAAAAAGCATTTTAATACTTGAGGGTTGATGCACTCCAGCTGTGAAGAGGGTTTGGTAATTTGTTGAGGAGCTGAAGGTGGATGGCAGTGAGCTGTGAATGTCAGCTGGGATGAGAAGTTATCTCTGTGCTTCAAACAAGGTTCCTCTGTTGGGATTGGAGATTTTTGTTCCTTCTCTGTAAAACCAGGGCACACCAATAAAAACATGGAATCACTGCTGGCAGAGTGTGACCTGGTGCAGTGATGAAATTCCAGGTCTGACTTGAAACTTTATAAAATGTGTGCCCCAAATGCCAAATCCCTCTGTGTTTGCAGAGGGTTTCACGCAGATCCCATCAAACCAGCCACGATGAGCAGTGATTTTGGGGTGCCCTTTTCTCCCCCAGGAGCTCACCTTGCCCTGCTGTGTTCCAGGTCCAGCTGTGGTGCCTCACCAGTACTATGGAGTCACTCCCTGGGGAGTTTATCCTGCCAGCCTCTTCCAGCAGCAGGCGGCCGCCGCCGCCGCCGCCACCAACTCAGCCAGCCAGCAGAGCACGCAGCAAACGCAGCAGGGCCAGCAGCAGGTAAGGCTGGCACCTCCTGCCCAGGGACACCTGGCTCTGGCTGGGGAATGACCCCCAGGGATTGGGAACTGCAGCCCCTGGCCCTGCACAGGCCCCCGGCAATCCCAGCCTGGGCATCCCTGGGAGCGCTGTCCAGGCTCTGCAGGCTCTGGGCTGTCCGTGCCCATTCCCACACACCCATTCCCATTGCCCATGCCCATTCCATTCCCCTGCCCATGCCCATTCCATGCCCATGTCCATGCCCATTCCCACACACCCACTCCCATTCCTATTGCCCATTCCCATGTCTATGCCCATTCCATTCCCATGTCCATGCCCATTCCCACACACCCACTCCCAATCCCATTTCTCATGCCCATTCCATTCCCCTGCCCATTCCATGCCCATGTCCATGCCCATTCTCACACACCCACTCCCATTCCCATGCCCATTCCATTCCCATGTCCATGCCCATTCCCACACACCCACTCCCATTCCCATTGCCCATTCCCCTGCCCATGCCCATTCCATTCCCATGTCCATGCCCATTCCCACACACCCACTCCCATTCCCATTGCCCATTCCCCTGCCCATGCCCATTCCATTCCCATGTCCATGCCCATTCCCACACACCCACTCCCATTCCCATTGCCCATTCCCCTGCCCATGCCCATTCCATTCCCCTGCCCATGCCCATTCCATTCCCATGTCCATGCCCATTCCCACACACCCACTCCCATTCCCATGCCCATTCCCCTGCCCATTCCATGCCCATGTCCATGCCCATGCCCATTCCATGCCCATGTCCATGCCCATGCCCATTCCATTCTCATTCCAATGCTCATGTCCATTCCATGCCCATGTCCATGCCCATTCCCATGCCCATTCCTCTCCCCATGCCAATTCCTCTGCCCATTCCATTCCCCTGCCCATTCCATTCCCATGCCCATTCCATTCCCGTGTCCATGCCCATTCCCATGCCCCCATTCTCATGCCCATGCCCTTGCCCATTCCTGTGTCCCTTTCCATTCCCATTCCCATGCTCATTTCCATGCCCATTCCTGTGTCCATTCCCATTCGAATACCAATTCCCATGCCCCCATTCCCATGCCCATTCCTGTGCCCTTTCCATTCTCATGCCCATTCACATTTCCATTCCTGTGCCCCTTTCCATTCCCATTCCCACTCCCATGCCCATGCCCGTTCCCATGCCCATTCCTGTGCCCGTTCCTATTCCCATTCCCATGCCCATTCCTGTGCCGGTTCCTATTCCCATTCCCATGCCCATTCCTGTGCCTATTCCCATTCCCATGCCCATTCCTGTGCCCATTCCTATTCCCATTCCCATGCCCATTCCTGTGTCCATTCCTATTCCCATTCCCATGCCCATTCCTGTGTCCATTCCTATTCCCATTCCCATGCCCATTCCTGTGCCCATTCCCATTCCCATGCCCATTCCTGTGCCCGTTCCTATTCCCATTCCCATTCCCTCTGGGGAACAGCATCAGGGAGAATTCCTTCCCAGGAGGGGTGTTGGGACAGTGTAAGGGGTTGCCCACTGGAGCGGAGTCCCCGTGCCTGGAGGTGTTTTAGGAGAGCCTGGGTGTCACTTTGGCATCACTCAGTGCCATGGTCTGGGTGACAGGGTGGTGTCAGCTCACAGGTTGGACTCTGTGATCTCAAAGGTCTTCTCCAACCCAGGTGATTCTGTGGAAAACCCAACCCCAGCCTCCCCTGACACAGCTGCAGCCATTCAAAACCCTCATGTTCTCCATGACTGATCGTGACCTCAGCTCTGGGTAGTTTTAAATGAACAGAAAACCCTTTGGCCTGTCCTGAAGACAAAGGAACAGGAGCCACCTGTACATTTGTAATTTGATTTATCCATCATGCCTGTGGAGAGAGGCACATGAACATGGCTGGTGGTGAATTATTGTCAGAGCTTTGGGGAGCACCAGTGGGTCAGGCTGGGAAGGGCCTGAGCTGTGCAGCAGCAAACCCTTGGTGCTGTTGGTGTGTGAGGGGGAATCACCAGGAGCCAGAGCTGGCCTTCAGTCCCCTCAGCAGCTCTCCTGTCTCATCCTTGGTTATGGCAGAATAAAGAGCAACTGGCAGCTGAATTTTTCAGCTCAGAAGCTGAAAACCCTTTGAAAACCAAACCCAGTGTCAGGAGGTGTTCTAAGGCCTTTACAGATGCAGCAGGCATGAGCTGAGAGGCTATTAAAATAAAATATCTCAGTGCCAGTGGCCTTTATGGGATGTTTCATTACTTTTATGGCCGTGGAGCCGGCATGAGTGGGGTCAGGAGCGGGATTTGGAATGCAAACCTTGCTCTGAGGGGATGCAGCAGGGATTGTTTGCATTAAAAGTGCTGAGGCAGAGGCTTTGGGAACCTGGAGCACTGAGTGTGGACACTTGATTTGTCACCCTTGTGACATCTTAATAGTGTGTTAATAAACCCACCAGCATTCCAGTGCTGCAGTCTGCACCCCCTGGAATTCTTGGCTCCCAGAGATTCCCTGGGCTGGAGGGTTCCTGTCAGTGATGGAGAGAGCCAGGGAGACTGATTCAGAGATCAGAATCTGATTTTATTATGGGATACAAACACTTAGGTACTATTTCAGGGAGACTGGTAATGTGTACTAAAAGGTTAAAATCACACACACAAACTTATGCATACAACAACATCCCTTGCTTGCAGAGTTTACTGGGATTTTCTTTTCCTGGTAAATCCATCTGATTGAATCTTCTTGCAATCCAGGTCTAATTTTCAAAGTTCCATTTGCTTTTGCCAAGGCATCCTGTTATCAAATCTCTTCTGTCAGCCAGGTCCAGAGTCCATCATCTCTCTTGTGTCCCCCAACATTCCAGTAGCTTCCTGTGCAGGCTCTGGCAGGCTCGGGGGCACCTCCCAGTCACTGAGCCTGGGCATCCTCCCCAGCCTCTCTGTGCACAGTGAGTGTTTCCTGTTAATAACTCCAGCAGGTGACACCCACAATGTCACCTCTGCAGCAGGATGTGCTGGGGACACGGGGCTGGCTCCTTTCATAAGCTGAGCTTGCAGGTTCCTGCACCAGCTCTGAGCGAGGCTCTGCCAAGCCAGGCCTGACCCAGGGCATTGCAGGGTGGCCACTCTGCCATTGTGAGCAGCAGCTCGTCCCTGCAAACCCCACTGTGGGCTCTCTGGTCATGGTTTCCTGTGGTTTAAGTCTTGTGTCACCAGGTCTGTGCCCTCTGCAGGGGCTGGTGGCTTGGAGACACCCAGGTCACCTCCTGTCACCCGCCCCCAGCTCCTGAACTGGGCTGTGTAAGGTTTCTGCGCAGAGGGCTTTTAATGGGGCTGTGACAGGGACCAAATGTTACCTGGGGCGGGCAGGTGGCTGGTACACACTTGTGGCACAGGATGAGTGTTGAAGGTGGGATCAGGGAATTAGAAAGGTTGGAGAAGCTCTCTAAAGATCATTGAGTCCAAGCACTAACCCAGCACTGACCCCTGTTGCAGGCACCACTCTGTGTTTTGCACGCTTCAGGGATGGGGACTCCACCACTCCCTGGGCAGCCAAAGCCTGAACACCCTTCAGTGAAGGAATTTTCCCTGGTGCCCACCCTGAGCCTGCCCTGACCCAGCCTGAGGCCGTTCCCTCTGCTCCTGTCCCTGTTCCCAGCTGTGCCCTCCTGGCAGGAGCTGTGCAGAGCCACAAGGGCCCCCTGAGCCTCCTTTGCTCCAGGCTGAGCCCCTGCCCAGCTCCCTCAGCCTCTCCTGGGGCTCCAGCCCCTCCCAGCTCCGTTCCCTTCCCTTGACTTGCTCCAGCCCCTCCAGGTCCTTTTCAAGTGTGAAGAAAAGTGAATTAAAGCAAAGGAGAGAAGTTTCCCCCCTGGTGCTGCTCCTGCTCCTGCCTGGTGACAGTGGCTCTGTCCTGGACCCAGAATAACCCAGTGGCTGTTGTGTCCTCTGCAGGTGCTCCGTGGAGGAGCCAGCCAGCGTCCCCTGACTCCCAACCAGAACCAGCAGGGCCAGCAGACGGATCCTCTGGTGGCCGCCGCTGCCGTCAACTCCGCGCTCGCCTTCGGCCAGGGGCTGGCAGCAGGAATGCCAGGTACCAGCACTGCCAGGCCAGGAGAGCCTGGGAAATGGCATCTGCCAGGGCTGCCTTGGCCTTGGCCTTGGCCTGGCACCAGCACTGCCTGCTTGTGTTGGGCTGGGGGTTCATTCTGGGCTTGGGTGTGTCCCCAGCTGGCAGCACTGAGGGCTCACGGGTGACCTTGTGGCACAGGTGACAGCAGTGTTATCTCCCTGTGCCTGCACTGTGCTCCAGGAATTGATTGCTCCTGTGGAAAATCACCTCCATGTTTTTCTGTGGACCTTTCAAGCTTATGGGATCTGTATTTTAAACCTCAGAGGTTTCTTAGTCCCGTTCATTCATCTCAGCTCTCCATCCCTGCCAGGTGCTTGACTTAACAGGGGCTTCCTTCCATGATTGCTCTTCCAAGAGGCTTAAAAAGTGGGAAAGAAAAGGGATAAAAGGGAGCAGGGTTTAGTTCTCATTTCTAGCTCTTCATTGGAGGAGCTGCTGTAGGAATTCTGACTCTGATCCCTGAGGCTTTGGGGTAAAGTGCTGCTGAAATTCAGTTATTCAGGATATTATTGTGATGGCAAAGCACAAACCTGAGCTCATTAGAATAATGTGCAGATATATCTTGCTGGACAAATGTAAGGAAATAAGGATTCTTTGGGTTTCAGGTCTCCTTGCTGGCACTGTCACGTCATTGTTGATTCGTTTTTTTTTATTTTATTTATAAGAAGAATGTTGCAGTATTAAGTTACAAAGTGAACTGTGCAGATTTCCAGCAGTCTGCAGATTTCCTTTAATCTCTGTTATTTGGGCTGTATTTGCAAAGCAAATGCACACATATATACAATTATAGATATATGTTTGTACCTGTATTTGCAAAGCAAATATTCCCAGGGAACATTCTCTTAGTGACCCCCCACCTTAGAGAGTCACTGCATTTAATTGTATTGTTTTCATTTAATGGAAATTCCCTGATGAGGTCCCTAAATCACTGTATTCTGTCAGTCTGCTGCTGTGTGTATCACCAGCATTTATGAGAGTTTATTTACATGCATTAAAGAATATTTTATGGTACCAACCTTCCAAAATACAGAAGTGGAAGTTCCCTGTGGGTGCACCCAGGCAGCCCCAGCTCTGAGCAATCCCAGCACATGTTGTACATATTGTGGAGCAGAAATGAAACCCCTTTTTAGCTGAATTAGCACTGGTTACAGTGTAATATAGAAGATTCAGGGGGCAAAAACTCTTTTCTACCTGAAATTCTTAGTGCAACATCGTGGACATTTTTGGGGAAAGCAGGGCTGTTCTTGCCTCCTTTTTTTTTTTTCCATTCAGCTTTTCCTTTGAAAACCCTCTTGCACTGCACTCACCTGGACATGGCTGATGTGTTTGTCACCTGCCCTGTCACCTGTGCTTGCCTCTGCAGGTTACCCAGTGCTGGCTCCTGCTGCTTATTATGACCAAACAGGAGCCCTCGTGGTCAATGCCGGGGCCAGGAACGGCCTGGGGGCTCCCGTGCGCCTGGTGGCCCCTGCCCCTGTCATCATCAGCTCCTCTGCAGCCCAGGCAGGTGAGTCCTGTCCCCCCCTGGGTCAGGCAGGTGAGTCCTGTCCCTCCCTGGGTCAGGCAGGTGAGTCCTGTCCCTCCTTGGGTCAGGCAGGTGAGTCCTGTCCCCCCTGCTCAGGCAGGTGAGTCCTGTCCCTCCCTGGGTCAGGCAGGTGAGTCCTGTCCCTCCCTGGGTCAGGCAGGAGAGTCCTGTCCCCCCCTGCTCAGGCAGGTGAGTCCTGTCCCCCTCTGCTCAGGCAGGTGAGTCCTGCCCCTCCCTAGGTCAGACAGGTGAGTCCTGTCTCCCCCTGCTCAGGCAGGTGAGTCCTGTCCATCCCTGCTCAGGCAGGTGAGTCCTGTCTCCCCCTGCTCAGGCAGGTGAGTTCTGCCCCCCCCCAGTGGTTCAGACAGGTGAGTTCTGCCCCCCCAATGGTTCAGGGAGGTGACATCAGGTCCCTCCCAGTGCCTGCTGTGTCCCCAGTGTCCCCACCCCTCCGTGCTCCGCTGGCAGTGATGACAAACTTGCCCTCACTGAGATCCATCAGGGATTGTTGTTGAGAAACATCCTCTGTGCTCAACTTGGGCTGAGCCTCCGGAGCAGCCACGGAGAGGGGCAGCAGCAGGAGCCTGAATGATTTTCATGGTATCATGAAATCATGCCATGAGTTTCATGGCAGGTACTTAAATTTGTCCCCTGGCACCAGATTTCACACCTGCTGGAGCCTTCAGAATTCCCAGTGTCTCCAGGGAGAGCTCAGAGCCCTTGCAGGGCCTGCAGGGGCTCCAGGAGAGCTGCAGAGGGACTGGGGCCAAGGATGGAGGGCCAGGAGGCAGGGAATGGCTGCCAGTGGCAGAGGGCAGGGCTGGATGGGATCTTGGCAATTGGGAATTGTTCCCTGGCAGGGTGGGCAGGGGCTGGGCTGGAATTGCCAGAGCAGCTGGGGCTGCCCCTGGAGCCCTGGCAGTGCCCAAGGCCAGGCTGGACATTGGGGCTGGCAGCACCTGGCACAGTGGGAGGTGGCCCTGGGGTGGAACAGGATGAGTTTTGAGGTCCTTTTCAACCCAAGCCATCCCAGGATTTGTGCTTTATGACAGCACCATACCTAAAATGGCCTTTGCCATGAGTTGCTTTGTCATTTATTTGGGTTCCTTGGGAGTTCAAGGCTTTTAAAAGGATTTTTCAATCCGTTGGTGTGAGCAGCCCCTGCCAGCACTGGGCTCAGATTATGAAATGGGCCTTTTAATTGTTTTCTCATAGCTCTTGTTTATTTTGCTTTTTCTTTAACTTTGGAACTGGCTGAAAACCAAAAGTCCTCGGGTTCGATGTTCTTGGCACTGAGGTTCATGTTTCATGTGCTGAAGGATCATTTCAATTATTTCAAAACTCTGGTTTCTTAACTGGCCCTTGCAAGTGTGAGGCTGTACTGATTGGGACTCTTGGGTCTTTGGAGAAAGAGCCATTCCTGGTTTTGATCTGTGCAGCTCCAACAGCACAAGAGCAGCAAGAACAGCTGGGCATGGCTGGAGTCTGGGGGCTGTGGGCAGCTCAGATACAATAAACAGAGATTTATGCAGAGTTTGGTCCTGAAAGAAACAAATTGTAGCAATTCAAAGAGATCTGCTAAGTTTTAACTTGCAGAACTGTGGTGGTGCTCACAGGGGTCTCAGGTTGAGGGAAGAGACTAGAATCTGACTCCATGTTTCAGAGGGCTGATTTATTATTTTATGATATATATTATATTAAAACTATACTAAAAGAATAGAAGAAAGGATTTCATCAGAAGGCTGGCTAAGAATAGAATAACAAAGAATGATAACAAAGGTTTGTGGCTCAGACAGAGAGTCCAAGCCAGCTGACTGTGATTGGCCATGAATTAGAAACAACCACATGAGCCCAATCCCAGATGCCCCTGTTGCATCCCACAGCAGCAGATACCCATTGGTTACATGTTGTTCCTGAGGCCTCTCAGCTTCTCAGGAGGAAAAATCCTAAGGAAAAGATTTTTCATAAAAGATGTCTGAGACACAGAACTGTGATGAAAATGGATTTCTCAGTGACTTTTCCGTTTTTCTCCCATGATTGTGTCCCACAGCCGTGGCGGCGGCCGCGGCGTCGGCCAACGGAGCAGCCGGGGGCCTGGCAGGGACCACCAACGGCCCCTTCCGGCCCCTGGGCACGCAGCAGCCGCAGCCCCAGCCCCAGCAGCAGCCCACCAACAACCTGGCCTCCAGCTCCTTCTACGGCAGCAACTCCCTGAGCAGCAACTCCCAGAGCAGCTCGCTGTTCTCGCAGGGCTCGGCCCAGCCCGCCAACACCTCGCTGGGCTTCGGCAGCAGCAGCTCCCTGGGAGCCACGCTGGGCTCGGCCCTGGGCGGCTTCGGCACCGCAGGTGAGGAGTGTGGCTGTGCCAGCACTGCCAGCCAGGGCTGGGACAGAGCAGCAATGGGACAGGGCTGCTGTGCACACCTCTGTGTTGGTATCACCAGTATTGGGGACGGGATGTGCCTTGGCTTGTCTGGCTCTTGCTGCTGAACCAAACAGCAGCACTGTGGTGTTTCACCCACAGACACTTTTGGCTGCCTGGGTGTGTGGTGTTTCACCCACAGACACTTTTGGCTGCCTGGGTGTGTGGTGTTTCACCCACAGACACTTTTGGCTGCCTGGGTGTGTGGTGTTTCACCCACAGACACTTTTGGCTGCCTGGGTGTGTGGTGTTTCACCCACAGACACTTTGGGCTGCCTGGGTGTGTGGTGTTTCACCCCACAGACACTTTTGGCTGGCTGGGTGTGTGGTGTTTCACCCCACAGACACTTTTGGCTGCCTGGGTGTGTGGTGTTTCACCCCACAGACACTTTTGCCTGCCTGGGTGTGTGGTGTTTCACCCCACAGACACTTTGGGCTGCCTGGGTGTGTGGTGTTTCACCCACAGACACTTTTGCCTGCCTGGGTGTGTGGTGTTTCACCCCACAGACACTTTTGGCTGCTGGGTGTGTGGTGTTTCACCCCACAGACACTTTTGGCTGGCTGGGTGTGTGGTGTTTCACCCACAGACACTTTTGCCTGCCTGGGTGTGTGGTGTTTCACCCCACAGACACTTTTGGCTGCTGGGTGTGTGGTGTTTCACCCCACAGACACTTTTGGCTGCCTGGGTGTGTGGTGTTTCACCCACAGACACTTTTGCCTGGCTGGGTGTGTGGTGTTTCACCCCACAGACACTTTTGCCTGCCTGGGTGCTGCAGTTGGCACTGCAGACAAGTCCAGGCCTGCAGGAGCTCTGGTGGTGCTGGGATGGAGCTTCCCCCCATAACAGGGGCTGCTCCTGGGGTTTCCCTCTGGCAGAGAAGCTTTAAGGGGATGGTGAAGGAAAGGAGTCGGTTCTGATGGAGGCTTTGGATCCAGAGCTTTATTCTGGCCCTCAGGCCTCTGAATGCAGCACCAGCTCCAACAGAACTCCCTGAGCCCGTGGCTGCTGCTCCTTTGAACCCCGGGGAGAGGGGCAGGGAAGGGGCAGGGAGGCACCAAGCAGGGACAGGAGGGGAGGGACAAAGGGACAAAGGACACCTGGATGGCCCAGGGCCCCCCAGGGGTAGAGGGCATCCTTTGGATCTGCCAATCACTCGAGGCCCTTCTGGAATGCCAGGAGTGCCAGACAGTGCTGGGAGGGGAGAGGAGAGGGGACTGACACACCTGGGAGGGAATTACCAGGGGAGGGAGCCGGGGTTCTGAGCTAAACCCTGGAATCACACTGCAACACCTGTGGTTCCTCAGAGGCTGGAGGTTGGATGATTTGTTCCAAGAATGGAGCTTGGCACTGTATCTAAGGGAACTTTATAAATAGGTTTATGTGTGTTGGGTGTTTTAGTGGTGGTACTGGTAGTGATATCTTGCATGCTTCGGTGTGTGAGACAAATGATGGACAAAGCTATCCAGGAAATTTTTATTATGCAAGATAGAGAGGTGGGAAATGGATTCACAGAGAGTTCTCAAAATCTTACAGAGATAGTGGATGAAGATATAGCCATGGAGGAAGGTTTTGAATTAAGACTTTGGAACTGGTGAGACATTTTTGAAGAATGACTTGTAATTGCTATCAGACATGACTTACTCCCTTTGAACTGACTGGACTTTCACAGCATTAAAATTGCTGTGTTGTAATATGGCAATGCTTAATGTGAGCAAAAAGATGCTTTAAGCAAGTAATAAGCAGATACATTCTAGTAAAGCTGTGAAACACAAGGTGGTTAATAAACAACACAGTTACAGAAGTTTCTTTTGCATTGAACCAAGGGGGAATTGTGGGAATCACCAACAGGACAGGACCCTTGGGGAACAGCCTCTTGAGCTGTTGCTATCCCAGCATCAGCCTTATGACATGGTTATGGCAGTGAGAAGATGGCAGCAGCTCACACCCCACAGAACTCAGTGTTACAGCTCACTTTAAAAGTTGGGACATGGATGTGGGAGAGGGAGCATGGGCAAGGACCCTGTGGGGATCTGAAAATGCCCACAGTGCCCCCCCAGCTGGGACCACAACAGCACAGGGGGAGGCAAGACATGGAGGAATGCAGAACACTGATTATATGAGGTGTCAAGGAGGCAGCTCCACGTAATCAAAATGCCTGTAAGGCTTTGGATGGGCAGCAAAAGAGGGAAGAAACCCCTACAGAGTGGTTGGAAAGGTTGGGGGGAAATATGAGGCAATTTTCAGGGGTTGATCCTGACATGGTGGCTGGACAGATCTGACTAAAGATAAATTTTGACCAATCACACAAAGCAGAAGCACATTGACAGTAGTTCCATCCAACCACTGTAGACACAGGTACCTTTGGTTAAAGCAATGCTTGCTTATTTCAAATACAATACCTGCTTGTGAGCCTTAAAACACAATGCACAGAGCTCCATTATTAGGCTTAGAACTTCCTAATATCTCACTGGATAAACTTTTCTGTAGCTTAGGGAATTATTCTAGACAAGTGTTAATACACAGACCGTTGTTCTAGTTGTTGTTACATTCTGCTTCTCATATAACTTTTCTGCTCACCAGTCTTATGACAACTGCTCAGCTCTAGTCACAGCTCTGCTGTCTCTGAGCCTGCCTTTTGCAGCTTTCCCAAAACCCTCTGATTTTAAGGATTCCCACAGCTGGGGAAAGGAGCACAAGGAGAACCCCTGATTTCAGGAGTTTGTGCTCTGAGCTGAGCCCTCCTCATCCATCCTGGCCTAACTGGGAATTTTCCTTTAGGGACCACTTCAGGCTTTAAAATCTGCAGCAGTTCTTGGCAAAAATGCTTTTAGTAGGTGATAATTTGCAGTAGCAGTAATTAACTTGGAAGTGTTTTTCCCTGCATGTGGAGTACTGGCTGACAGAAACTGGTTCCAGAGTGTGTCAGCCCCTCTCACCTCAGAGTAAAGGCTGAGGAACTCCCCATGCCTTTAAAAAAGCTGATCTGAGGTGGTTTCTGTGCTTTATCCTGGGAATTGTTCCCTCACACACCAAAAGAATCACTCTGTGGTTGTAGGCATCTCCCATCCATGCTTTGATGGTGTTGGGCAGCTGGAGACCAAGGGTCCTGTCAGAATCAAACCCATCCAGAGATGTCTGTGGTTTTTTAGGGTTTTTTCCCCTTAGGTTTGTGGGGTTTTTTTGAAGTGGAACAATTGTTTTAATTACTGCTCAGTCTCAGGGCAGTAATTATGTCCTGAACTTTGCTGCTCTCATCAGAGTGAGGGGCAGGCTCCAACCTGGCTCCATCAGAGCAGGCTCAGGGAGGGGCTGTTACCTCACAGAGGAACAGTTTGCAATAAAAGTTATTCTAAATATTTCTCTTTAACCCAGCCTTGAGATTGGAACCATCTTGGTTCCAGGTAAACAAAGCATTTGCTTCTCTCACCTCACTTTATTTAACTAATTGAATTCCATGAGTGGTTTGCTCAGTGCCAAGATTCACAAAGTTTGTTTTCCCTCAATCAATGAATAAAACTCTGATCCTGCTGCTTCTGGAGCCTGTGTGCACTCACCAAAAATGATCAGTTCATTGCAGTTAACAATTTCACTGTTTATTAAACAAGATTTTAATGCAGAATTGATTTTTCCCCCTGCAAGTTGACAGTGCATTTAAAGAGTTTGTATTTGCCTATCGAGACAGCTCTTAAAAACCATGGGGGTTAGGAGTGAAATTGAATTCTGATTTCCAGCTCCATGAAGCTGGGGGCAGACAGGAGCTGATTCCTCCTGTGCTGCAGGTGAGCACAGGGATTGCAGGGAGTGTGCAGCAGGCTGGGCTGGCTCCTGAGCCAGCACGGGGAAACCTCCTGGGGCCGGGGCTCAGCTCTGAGCAAACAGCAGGGGGAGTTCAGATCTGCCCTGTCCTGGGAGTGTGGGACAGGGACCCTGGGGAGCTCAGGCCTTCTCCTGAAGGGCCAGAGCAAAGAGCTCAACGTGTCCACAAAGGTCTCAGCGTGTCCCCAAAGAGCTCAGTGTGTCCCCAAAGAGCTCAGTGTGTCCCCAAAGGTCTCAGCATGTCCCCAGGTGCTCAGCGTGTCCCCAAAGTGCTCAGTGTGTCCCCAAAGAGCTCAGCGTGTCCCCAAAGTGCTCAGTGTGTCCCCAAAGGTCTCAGCGTGTCCCCAAAGGTCTCAGCATGTCCCCAGGTGCTCAGCGTGTCCCCAAGGTCTCAGCGTGTCCCCAAAGGTCTCAGCGTGTCCCCAAAGGTCTCAGCATGTCCCCAGGTGCTCAGCATGTCCCCAGGTGCTCAGCGTGTCCCCAAAGTGGTCACTGTGTCCCCAAAGGTCTCAGTGTGTCCCTAAGTGCTCAGCCTGTCCCCAAGTGCTCATCATGTCCTCAAGTGCTCAGAGTATCCCCAAGTGCTCAGTGTGTCCCCAAAGGTCTCAGTGTGTCCCCAGAGGTCTCAGTGTGTCCCCAAAGGTCTCAGCATGTCCCCAGAGGTCTCGGTGTGTCCCCAAAGTCTCAGTGTGTCCCCAGAGGTCTCGGTGTGTCCCCAAAGGTCTCGGTGTGTCCCCAGAGGTCTCAGTGTGTCCCCAGAGGTCTCAGTGTGTCCCCAAAGAAGGGTCCCTTCCTTCAGGGAGATTTTTATCCTTTGACCGTTCTGCTCAGGGATTTTTGGAGCTGTTTCTCCCTATGCTCTGTCACAGGAAATCCTCCAAGGCACTGAAGGCAAAGACAAGATCCCAGATAATTTGTTTGGCTGTTTTCTCATTAACAGTGTGGTTTTAATGATTTTAACTGGTTTTATTGACTCTGACTGCTTTTAATGACTATATTTGATCATTTTGCCAAGCACCAGCCCAGTGCAGTGGAGCTGTGGCTCTCCAGTGTTGGGGCTGGTGGCATCTCTCATTTTCCCCATTTCCCCCATTTCCTGCATTTTCCACATTTTCCCCCATTTTCTGCATTTTCCCCATTTTCCCCTGTTTCCCCTGTTTCCCCCATTTCTCCCATTTCCCCTGTTTTCCCATTTTCCCCATTTTACACACTTTCCCCATTTTCTGCATTTTTCCCTGTTTCCCCATTTCCCCCATTTGCCCAATTTTCCCATTTTCCCCATATTTCCCATTTTCCCCATATTTCCCATTTTCCCAATTTTTCCTGTTTTCCACCTTTTCCCCATTTTTCTCATTTATCCCATTTCCCCATTTTCCCCTGTTTTCCCCATTTTCCCATTTCCCCTGTTTTCCCCATTTTCCCATTTCCCCCTTTCCCCATTTTCCCCATTTCCCCATTTTCCCCATTTCCACTGTTTCCCCTGTTTCCCCCATTTTCCCATTTCCCCCTTTCCCCATTTCCCCTGTTTCCCCCATTTTCCCATTTCCCCCTTTCCCCATTTCCCCTGTTTTCCCCATTTTCCCATTTCCCCTGTTTCCCGCATTTTTCCAATTTCCCCCATTTCCCCAATGTTCCCATTTTCCCCATTTTCCCATTTTCCCCTTTCCCCATTTTTGCCATTTCCCCATTTTTCCCATTTTACCCATTTTCCCATTTCCCCCTTTCCCCATTTTCCATTTCCCCTGTTTTCCCCATTTTCCCATTTCCCCTGTTTCCCCCATTATTCAAATTTCCCCCATTTCCCCTGTTTCCCCCAATTTCCCCCATTTCCCCAATGTTCCCATTTTCCCATTTCCCCCTTTCCCCATTTTCCCCAATTTTCCCATTTCCCGTTTTCCCCATTTTCCCATTTCCCCAATGTTCCCATTTCCCCATTTCCCCATTTTCCCCCATTTCCCCAGTGTTCCCCCTTTCCCCATTCCCCCCATTTCCCCACTGTTCCCATTTTACCCAGTTTCCCCATTTCCCCCGTTTCCCCCATTTTCCCCATTTTCCCCATTTTCCCATTTTCCCCATTTCCCCCTTTCCCCATTTCCCCCATTTCCCCCATTTCCCCAGTGTTCCCATTTCCCCTGTTTCCCCCATTTCCCCATGTCCCCCTTTCCCCATTTTCACCCATTTTACCCAGTTTGCCCATTTCCCCAATTTCTCCCATTTTCCCCATTTCCCCAGTGTTCCCGTTTTACCCAGTTTCCCCAATTTCTCCCATTTTCCCCCTTTCCCCATTTCCCCAGTGTCCCCAGTTTCCCCATTTCCCCAATTTCTCCCATTTCCCCCATTTCCCCATTTCCCCAGTGTTCCCGTTTTACCCAGTTTCCCCATTTCCCCATTTCCCCATTTCCCCCGTGTCCCCAGTTTCCCCATTTTCCCATTTCCCCCATTTCCCCATTTCCCCCATTTCCCCAGTGTCCCCATTTTACCCAGTTTCCCCATTTCCCCAGTGTTCCCCCTTTCCCCATTTCCCCATTTCCCCCGTGTCCCCGTCTTACCCAGTTTCCGTTTCCCGTTCCTGCAGTGGCGAACTCCACCACGGGCAGCGGCTCGCGCCGGGACTCGCTGACGGGCAGCAGTGAGCTCTACAAGAGGACCTCGAGCAGCCTCACCCCCATCGGGCACAGCTTCTACAACGGCCTGGGCTTCTCCTCCTCCCCCGGGCCCGTGGGGATGCCCCTGCCCAGCCAGGGCCCCGGCCACTCGCAGACTCCTCCTCCCTCCTTGTCCTCACACGGATCCTCCTCCAGCCTCAACCTGGGTAAGGGCCCTGCTCTGCTCTCCTGCAGCACCCCTGCTTCCCCCAGGCAGCAGTTCTGTGGTCTCACAATCATTTAGGGGGAGAACCATCTTTAATTCAGGTCCAACCCTCCTGGAGTGTGTGTCCTGCAGGGTTCAGCTGGGAACAGGTTTCCATCTTTGCTCCTCATTTCCTGTCTTGGTTTGAGCCGCCAGGTGTCTGCTGAGGAAGGCAGGAACCTTCCCTGAAATGGAAAATGCAAACCCCCTCTGTCTGCATGACTACAGTTTTGAAATTAAGGGGTTCTCAGGCAAAGATATAGGAATAGAAATAACAGTTCTTTATTAGGGAAAAAATAAAAATAAAATAAAAGCTGATTTTCACCCAGGAGCCCTCCAGGCTTTGGCTCTGCTGAGCTCTGGCCCAGCCGTGCTGATTTTTCATCCTCTTGGGTTCCTGGAAGAGCTGCAGGACATGGAATGAGTTCCTGTCTTGGTTTGAACAGCCAGGTGTCTGCTGAGCAAGGCAGGAGTATCCCCCAAAATGGAAAATGCAAACCCCCTCCCTCTGAATTATTATAATTTTGAAATTAAAAAGCTCTCAGGCAAAGATATGGAAATAGGAATAACAGTTCTTTATTAGGAAATTAAAAATCCAAATGCAAGAGTACAAACCAGCCCTGGCAGAGTGAGAGCAGCCCTGGCCCGCTGTGGGTCAGGGGGTGGCACAGCCCCATCCCATGGGGGCTCAGCCCTCCTGCAGTGCCAGCTGTGCTTCTGCTGGAGCAGGGATCCTGCACAAGGGGGGAGTTTTCCTCTGCAGCTCCAGGGCTGCTGCAGATGGGCCTGGGCTCCCTCTGGCCATGCAGGGCAGCAGAAGCTGCTCCTCTGGCAATGCCCTGGGCAAAGGCTGCTGGGCTGTGCCAGGCTCCCATTGGATCCAGGTAGGAATGCTTGGCTCCTGCCCTGGGCAATGCAGCATCTCCCCATGGGATGCTGGAATTGGATCAGCCCTGCAGGGACACTCAGTGGCCATGGACAGCAGAGATCTCCTGCAGGGAGGATTGGCTGGGGCAGAGATCAAGAAAACTGCCCCAAGCACACCAGAGAACTGCCCAGCTCTGACACACGGGGACAGGACACACAGCCCCATTTCCAACCTGAGACATTCCCTCAGCTCAAAATTAGGGGTAATATTCCCAAGTGTTTATAAAAGAGGATTTTCTTGCACTGGTCTTGGTAACAGCAGCAATGGTTTGTGGAATAAAGTAGGTAAGGAGAGTTGATCTTCAATTTAAATGGTTTTAAAGGGGATGTTTTAAAATACCCATTAAATTGGGAATAATGAGCTTGGAATACAATTCCTCCTTTTAACCAATATTCCCTGGAGCAGTGCTCAGCTTTGAGCTGAGGATTTGGTGAGTTTACCTTGGAAAATTTCCCATCAGTGTGGCCTTATCAAAAGCACAGGAGGAATCATTGTGGGAAGATCCATGACTTTGTGCAGCTGAAGCTTCTCAAAGAGCTTCTGCCTGACCCACAATAAAATAAATCTTAAAAATAAAGAAAGCAAATATTAAATAATAAAGCAGTGCCCATCTGAACCTCCTACAGTGTTCATTCCCTCATAAACAAATCAAAGAGATTATTTGTTGCACCTGTAGCAGATAATTTAATATTTCCTCCAAAAATGCACTTGGTTTTGGTTGTGTCATGAATCTGCTGGGTTTAACGAAACTTCTGCTTCTCAGAGCAGTTCTCCCCTCTCAACAGACTGTGTATTTATGATGTGTGTTCCATGCATGTGTGATAAATCCAGTGCTGGCTCTAGGTTAGCTGGAATAGTCATAAATATGATTCTTGGAGATCAAGTTTAGATTTACCATCGTGCCTTGTTCAGAGCTTTAATAGAACTGGAAGGATTTTGCCTTTATTTATGCAGCTGTAGAGGCCTTGGCTGACAGTTAAATGGCCACAATAAATTAGTGCTGAGGAGGAAGCAGATTCCAAACCTGGGAAGAAGCTGGGTGCCCTTGCAAAAAAAAAAAAAAAAATCCAAAAAATTCTTTGGAATCAAAGAATCCTAAGAATTCCACTGGATCAGAGGAAGGTGGATCTGTCTGGGAACAAACTCTGGAAAGAAATTGGAATTAGCACCCCCAGAAATGGGTTGTGCTCCAGAGGATCAGTGTGGGGCTTCCCATCTTCCCAAAATATTCCTGTCCTTGTGACCTTGTCCCCTCCATGGCTGGTTCCATGCTGGCTGATGCTGTAGGTCAGGTGTCATCTGGGATAGCTCTGATTTTGGGGGATTTCACCTTGAAATCCATGAAAAGTCATTTTATTTTTTCAAGTTTCTCTTTCATTGGTGATGGAGGGTATTGGGAAGGTGAGGTCTGACTTCCTTTGTTATAAAATCAGTTCTGATGGAGAGGAGAAGGCTCCAGGGAGAGCTCAGAGCCCTTGCAGGGCCTGAAGGGGCTCCAGGAGAGCTGCAGAGGGACTGGGGCCAAGGATGGAGGGCCAGGAGGCAGGGAATGGCTGCCAGTGGCAGAGGGCAGGGCTGGATGGGATCTTGGGAATTGGGAATTGTTCCCTGGCAGGGTGGGCAGGGGCTGGGCTGGAATTGCCAGAGCAGCTGGGGCTGCCCCTGGAGCCCTGGCGGTGCCCAAGGCCAGGCTGGACATTGGGGCTGGCAGCACCTGGCACAGTGGGAGGTGGCCCTGCCATGGCAGGGGTGGCACTGGAGGGGATTTCAGGTCTCTCCCATCCCAAACCATTCCCTGATTTCTCTGTTGTCCCACAGGAAGGGATCCAGGATTTCAGGGCTCCAGGGGCAGCCACAGCTGCTCTGGCAATTCCAGCCCAGCCCCTGCCCACCCTGCCAGGGAACAATTCCCAATTGCCAAGATCCCATCCAGCCCTGCCCTCTGCCACTGGCAGCCATTCCCTGCCTCCTGTCCCTCCATCCTTGGCCCCAGTCCCTCTGCAGCTCTCCTGGAGCCCCTTCAGGCCCTGCAAGGGCTCTGAGCTCTCCCTGGAGCCTTCTCCTCTCCAGGGCAGCACCCCCAGCTCTCCCAGCCTGGCTCCAGAGGAAGAAGGAGCAGTTTCTTTGTAGTTTTTGGTAAAGTCTCACTGAAGTCTGGGATCTGACCAAGTCCTGGCACGGAGGAGCTGGATGCACCCTGAGGTTTCAAGCCTTTGGTGAGGTTCAGAATTGTGATTTAGGAAGCTTGTTCCCCACAGGATCTCTGTGTTCCCAGGGTGATGTTGAGCATCCTGGGGAAACCTGCAGTCAGCATTGCCATCAGGAGAGATAGCCAGGGGGGAAAGTGGAGTCACTCTCCATCCCCACGTGATTGGGGCTTCCTCAGAAAACTTCTGACAGATTTTCTGTACTGATTGTGCTCTTAGCCAAGAGATAACAGCCCAAGTGCCAAACCCTCCCCTTTCCTGTCAGGAACCATTTCCACTTCAGTCCCAACTCCTAACTTTGCTCCAGGTGTTGAAATAAAAAGTGGGAATTGTGAGAATTCCAGATGTGTGGGAAGCATTGGTGCCCCATTGCTCAGCTTGTCCCACCCGGGTTTCCTCACCTGGGAAGTGCTTTACTCATCCTGTGGCAATGCTGCTCCTTGCAGGAGACTGGAATATCAGGAATATCAGGGATATCAGGGATATCACCTGGTGGCATTTGGGAGTTGTTGCTCAGGGTGGGAGTCGGGGTGCAGGAGGTGCTGGACACTCCATTGCAAGGCAGCACAAGGAGCTCTCAGCTCTCCTTTTCCTTGGGGAAAAAACAGGAGGAAAAAGAGTCTTCCCCTTCCTTGGGCAAGGAGAGTTCTGGCACCAGCTCCAGAGAAACTTGCCCAGCTCAGAGATGTAGAATCACAAAATACCCTGAGCTGGAAGTGAGCCACAGAGGTCATCATTAATAATTAATTGGGCTGTTATCAGATACAGAGTTCTCATCCAGTTTCCTGCATGGGTGCTTCCTCCAGGTGTTGATGGCTGATGAGTGCAGCTCCCCCAGCTCTGTTTTTATGGAATATTTGAATTCCAGCCCAGCTGCCAGGAGCAGCCTCTCTGCAGCCAGCCCTGCCAAGGTTTCCTTGGAGCTCTCCCCTGTGGCACAGATTCCTGCAGCTCATTTCCCTGGGATTCCCCCTGCCTCACCTGGGCCCTGCAGGTCCCTGTGTGATCAGGACCTGTTCCCTGGACTTTGTTCCACCCAGGAAAATCCGTGCAGGCTCCTCCTGCGCCAGCAGAGGGATCCCAAGCCCTGCAGGAAAGGCAGAAACCAAATCCTCTGCCACCGTGCTGAGCCACATCCTGAAAATTGCAGGGAAACAGCACTGGAAGGTTTAAGTTTGTTCCTATCAAAGCTTCTCTTTGTGGGATGAAGCATCACCTGTCCCCATATTCCTGTTTTGCGGTCACACAGCATCTCTTAGTGTGGCTGCAGATATTTCAGCCATTTGTGAAAGCACTGAGATTTAAAACCTTTCTTGGAATTAATTTATTCGTATTTACCTGTGTTTAATAGTGATAGATTTGTGCTTTTATATCCACATTTTTTATACTTTTATATCTATCGCCCAGCACACTTCTTTTAACTCAGTCCTTGCCAGGGCAGCAGGACAGGTGGGAAAAACCTGAGGGTGGAGGCAAAGGCAGTGGAAACAGCAAAAAAGCTGAAATTTGGGAGTGTTGGGATTGCCACTGCTCTGGTTCAGACATTGTGGACGCAGGAGGAGGAGCAGAAGTTGTTTCACTCTGTCAGAAAGCCACAGTCAGAGATGTGATGTCACTGGATAGAGTCAGAATCACAGAACATCCTGGTTAGAAGGGATCATCAGAGTTCTTTGCTGGAGTGTGTAGCTGTTCCCAGCCTAACCCAGCAGTGCCACACATGCTTGGACACATTCCCATCTCAATTCCTTGGTGGGCAGCTCCGTCAGGAATCACAAAATGGGATCATGGAGGTTGGAAAAGCCCTTTGGGGTCATTGGGTCCCACCTGTGACTGATCAGCTCAGCCCAGCTGAGTTCCATGCCCAGGAATTCCTTGGACACCTCCAGGGATGGGGAACCCAAACCTCCTTGGGCAGTTCCAAGGCCTGATCATCATAAAACAGGATCATCAAGGTTGGAGAAGCCTTCCAGGGTCTTCAGGTCCAACCTGTGACCAGTCTCCACCAGGGCACTGAGTGCCACATGCTCATTCCTTTGGCATCTCCAGGGATGGGGATTCCAAACCTCCCTGAGCAGTTCCAGTGAGGAAATCCTGCCTAGAAATCCCACCTAGAAATTCTTCTTATAAATCCCACCTCAAAATCCTGCTTAGCTGAATGTCAGACCCACCCCCATATTGGAACAGAACTCAGGGATCCAGTGTCACATCCCTGTGTCCCCATGAGGCCCATCCATGTCCTATTCCTTTATCCCCATCCATGCCCTGTTCCTTGTCCCCATCTGTGTCTTGTCTCCTTCTTCCTTTATCACCATCCACGTCCTGTTCCTTTATCCCCATCCATGCCCTGTCCCCTTATCCCATCCATGGCCTTATTCCATCCCTGCCCCATTCCCTCATCCCGTCTTTGCCCTGTTCCCTCATCCCACCCGTGCCCTGTTCCTTATCCCATCCCTGCCCCATTCCCTTATCCCATCCATGCCCTTATCCCATCCATTTCCTTATCTCATCCCTGCCCTGTTCCCTTATCCCATCCATTCCCTTATCGCATCCAATCCCTTATCCCATCCCTGCCCCGTTTCCTGATCTCATCCCTGCCCTGTTCCCTTATCCCATATGTGCCCTTATACCCATCCATGGCCTTATCCCATCCCTGCCCCGTTTCCTGATCCCATCCCTGCCCTGTTCCCTTATCCCATATGTGCCCTTATACCCATCCATGGCCTTATCCCATCCCTGCCCCGTTTCCTGATCCCATCCCTGCCCTGTTCCCTTATCCCATATGTGCCCTTATACCCATCCATGGCCTTATCCCATCCCTGCCCCATTCCCTGATCCCATCCCTGCCCTGTTCCCTTATCCCATCCATGCCTTATCCCATCCATTCCCTTATTCCATCCCTGCCCCATTCCCTTATCCCATCCATTCCTGATCCCATTCCCTGATCCCATCCCTGCCCCATTCCCTGCCCCATTCCCTGATCCCATCCCTGCCCTGTTCCCTTATCCCATCCATTCCCTTATTCCATCCCTGCCCCATTCCCTTATCCCATCCATTCCTGATCCCATTCCCTGATCCCATCCCTGCCCCATTCCCTGCCCCATTCCCTGATCCCATCCCTGCCCTGTTCCCTTATCCCATCCATTCCCTTATTCCATCCCTGCCCCATTCCCTTATGCCATCCCGTTCCCTGATCCCATCCATTCCCTGATCCCATCCGTGCCCTGTTCCCTGATCCCATCCATTCCCTTATCCCATCCATTCCCTTATTCCATCCCTGCCCCATTCCCTTATCCCATCCATTCCCTGATCCCATCCGTGCCCTGTTCCCTTATCCCATCCATTCCCTTATCCCATCCCTGCCCCATTCCCTGATCCCATCCCTGCCCCGTTCCCTGCCCCATTTCCTGATCCCATCCCTGCCCCATTCCCTGCCCCATTCCCTGATCCCATTCCCTACCCCATTCCCTGATCCCGTTTTCTGCCCCATTCCCTGCCCCATTCCCTGATCCCATTCGTTCCCTGGTCCCATCCCTGCCCCGTTCCCTGCCCCATTCCCTTCCCATTCCCTGATCCCATTGCCTGTTCTTGCAGGGGGGCTGACGAACGGCAGTGGCCGTTACATCTCGGCGGCGCCGGGGGCGGAGGCCAAGTACCGCAGTGCGAGCAGCGCCTCCAGCCTGTTCAGCCCCAGCAGCACGCTGTTCCCGTCCTCGCGCCTGCGCTACGGCATGTCCGACGTGATGCCCTCGGGCCGCAGCCGCCTGCTCGAGGACTTCCGCAACAACCGCTACCCCAACCTGCAGCTGCGCGAGATCGCCGGCCACATCATGGAGTTCTCCCAGGACCAGCACGGATCCAGGTGGGCTGGGCAGCCTGGCCACGGCCGCGCCTTGGGGAGGAGCATCCCTTGGGTTTTGTGGCTGTGTTTCATGGTTGTGTTTTGTGGTTGTGTTTCATGGTTGTATTTCATGGTTGTGTTCTGTTGGTTGTGTTTTGTGGCTGTGTTTCGTGGTTGTGTTTCGTGGTTGTGTTCTGTTGGTTGTGTTTTGTGGCTGTGTTTCATGGTTGTGTTTTGTGGCTGTGTTTCATGGTTGTGTTTCATGGTTGTGTTTCATGGTTGTGTTTCGTGGTTGTGTTTTGTTGGTTGTGTTTCATGGTTGTGTTTCGTGGCTGTGTTTCATGGTTGTGTTTCGTGGTTGTGTTTTGTTGGTTGTGTTTCATGGTTGTGTTTTGTGGCTGTGTTTCATGGTTGTGTTTCGTGGTTGTGTTTCATGGTTGTGTTTCGTGGCTGTGTTTCATGGTTGTGTTTCATGGTTGTGTTTCATGGTTGTGTTTCGTGGCTGTGTTTCATGGTTGTGTTTCATGGTTGTGTTTCGTGGCTGTGTTTCATGGTTGTGTTTTGTTGGTTGTGTTTCGTGGTTGTGTTTCATGGTTGTGTTTTGTTGGTTGTGTTTTGTGGCTGTGTTTCATGGTTGTTTTTCGTGGTTGTGTTTCATGGTTGTGTTTCGTTGGTTCCATTTCACAGTTGTGTTTTGTGCTTGTCGTTCTGTTGGTTCCATTTTTCTGGTTGAGTTTTGCAGTTGTGTTTCGTTGGTTCCATTTTGCAGTTGTGTTTTGCGGTTGTGTTTTCTGGCTGTTGCTTTGTTGGTTCCATTTGACGGTTGTTGTTTTGCGGTTGTGTTTTGTGGTTATGTTTTCTTGGTTGTGTTTCACAGTTGAGTTTTGCAGTTGTGTTTTGTTGGTTCCATTTCACAGTTGTTGTTTTGCGGTTGTGTTTTTTTTGGTTCCGTTTTGCAGTTGTGTTTTGTTGGTTGTATTTTGTGCTTGTTGTTCCGTTCGTTCCATTTTGCAGTTCTTATTTTGTTGGTTCCATTTTGCTGGCTGTGTTTTGTTGATTCCATTTTGCAGTTGTGTTTTGTTGGTTGTGTTTTGTTCTTGTTGTTTCGTTGGTTCCATTTTGCAGTTGTTATTTTGTTGGTTCCATTTTGCTGGTTGTGTTTTGTTGGTTCCATTTTGCAGTTGTGTTTTGTGGTTGTGTTTTGTTGGTTGCATTTCACAGTTGAGTTTCACAGTTGAGTTTTGCAGTTGAGTTTTGTCTCACTTCCCCAAGCTGAGGCACCAGGGAATAAGCAGGAACAGCCAAGCCAGTGTCAGGCTCAGAATCCCCAAGGATTGTCCAGTTCAGGGACATTGGCATCTCCAGGGATGGGGACTCCAAACCTCCCTGGGCGGTTCCAATGCCTGAACACCCTTCCAGTGAGGAAATCCTGCCTAGAAATCCCACCTTGAAATTCTTCTTAGAAATCCCACCTCAAAATCCTGTCCAATTCCTGGCCCTGCCCAGACACCCCAAGGATCCCAGCCTGTGCATGCCTGGGGGTGTTGTCCAGGGTTGGAGACAGGTGCTGGTAGCAGGAATTCCTCCTTGAATTTAGCCTGGAGAAAAAGAGACTCAGGGGTGCCCCCATCGCTCTCTGCAGCTCCTGAAAGGTGCCTGTGCTCAGCTGGGGCTGGGCTCTTTCTCCAGGAACTGACCGAGCCAGAGCACACAGCCTCGAGCTGCCCCAAGGGAAATACAGGTTGGATATTAGGAAAAGGATTTTACAGAAAGGGTGATAAAGTTCTGGAATGTTCTGCCCAGGGAGGTGGTGGAGTCCCCATCCCTGGGGGTGTTTAACAAAGCCTGGATGTGGCACTGGGTGCCAGGGTTGAGTTGAGGGGTTGGAGCTGGGTTGGACTCGATGATCTTGAAGGTCTCTTCCAACCCAGTGATTCTGTGAAAAGGAGCTTCCTTGCTTTGTGGTTTGCTCACTCGTCCTGCTGGCACAGCTAAATCCATTTTAAAAGCCAGCTGGACACGAGGCCATCCTCCATTACTCCATTGAGATCTGCTTTGCCTGGAATGAAGATTCCAACATGTGGTCATGGACCTCATGGCTGTGACCACCCCAAGCTGTCAGATGGCTGGATAAAATACCTGTGTTTGCAAGAGCTTTGCAAGTTGTTGATGACTAAAATGTCTTAAATTTGAATATTTAACTTGTGATAGGAAGCTTAGGTTAATGACAGTGCTTAATCTTCACGGTGTGATGGGATTTTTCATGGTCCTTTCTGGAACACACGGGTGAGCCTTTGGGAAGGGGTTGAATGAACAGATGTGCCCGTGGCATCACTCCAAGGCCTCCTTTTCAGATTTATTCAGCTGAAACTGGAGCGTGCCACCCCAGCAGAGCGTCAGCTGGTGTTCAACGAGATCCTGCAGGCAGCCTATCAGCTCATGGTGGATGTGTTTGGGAATTATGTCATTCAGAAGTTCTTTGAGGTGAGTCTGCTCTCCCCTGCAGCTCTTCCTGGGGCTCCTGCTGTGCTGAGGTGTTGGATGAGCCTGGCAAACCCTGCCTTGAGGCTAAACCCCTTCATCACTGACACCATCTCCTCCCCACAAGCTGTTGGATCTTCACTGCTGGGGTGACTGAGGGGTGGGACTCAGATTAATCTGAAAAGTGACACTTTGAGAAGCAAAATGTGTCCCAATAAAGAGCAGCGTTCAGGAGATGCAAATTTCCAGTGGAAGGTGGATGGGGGTTGGAATGAGCTGAGCCTTAAGGTCCCTTCCAGCCCAAAGCTCCCTGGCATTCTGTGAGTGCAGATCCAGCACAGCTTGTCCAGGGTGCTGCCCTGAGCTGTCACTGCTCCTGGACTTGGGAACAAGAGAGAAACTTCTCCAGTAAGAGCAGCTGCTGGAAAGGTGTTGTGTTCCTCCACCCCTCTCCCTGGACACTGCTCTGGTCCTTCACCAGGTGTTCTGGTGCTTGTGCCCAGTATTTGAGAGTCAGAATCACAGAACCTCCTGAGCTGGAAGGCACCACAAGGATCAAATCCAACTCCTGGCCCTGCCCACACACCCCAACAATGCCACTGGGCATGCCTGAGACATTGTCCCAGCACTTCTGGAGTTCTGGCAGCCCTGGGGCTGTGACCTGTCCAGGGTTGGGTGGTCACCCTGGTGGCCCCAGCCCCTTTGGGGTGTGCAGGCAGGCACAGAACACGTCTGGCCGTGCCAGTTCCCCCCTTTCCCGTGGGATTGATCTTTGATCCTTCTCAGTGGGCAGCTCCTGCCTCCAGGGTGGGAGGGCAGTGCCAGTGGCCAGGGTAGGGGTTTGTCCTGGCAGTGACTGTTGCTCCTGTCCCAGTTTGGCAGCCTGGAGCAGAAGCTGGCGCTGGCAGAGCGCATCCGTGGGCACGTGCTGTCCCTGGCCCTGCAGATGTATGGCTGCAGGGTGATCCAGAAGGCCCTGGAGTTCATCCCCCCAGACCAGCAGGTAATTGTAAGTTTCAATTTTAACTTTCTTCTTGATGTTTGATGTTCCTGATCTGTCCCTCTTGTGCCTGCTGTTCCCTTGGTTTGGTTCCTGGCATGTTTGTGGTGTTCCTTGTGTGTGACGAGTCCGTGCCACCGTCCTTGTTGTCATTGTCACCTCCTTGTTCCCCTTCCCTGGCCATGGGGCTGCTTCTCTGTTAATTCCCTGGAAGCAGATCATGTGTGTAGGGAAAACTGAAAATGAGGGTGAATTTTTAAAAGAGATTGTTAAATCCCTTGAAGGAAGAGTTTTGCCTTTAATATTCACTGAGTTCTTGCTATGTGGGTCAGCATCCTGCGCTCCTGCAGGGAGATGGATGAGGAGCTCCTCGTCCTGGCTTTGGAGAGATGTGGCTGATAGCCCCACTCAGAGCTCATTAATAAAGCACTTCCTCAAGGGCTTTAGGAACAATGAATTGAGATGAAAAATACGCTGGGCAGAAAGGGTTGGGAATTGTTGTAACAGGAATCTCAATGTAGGTTATGAAATTAAAAATATGAAAGAGGCTTTAGGGGTGGTCCTTCCCTTGAGGCTGAACCTGAGCCAAGTGTGTCAGCAGGGCTGTGCCCAGGCTCCAGCACTGCTGCTCCAAGGATTTTCTGTCTCCTCCAGAGTGGCATTTTTCAGTACTCAGTCCTCCCCAAATTCCTGGGTTTGGTTCAGTTACAAAACTGAATTCACCCAGATCTTGTCAAAGCATTAAAATGCCCCAAAGTGTCATTTCTGTTTGTGAGTGAAGCTTCCACCCTGCACATGGGATACATAGTCATGTCTAAACTTCATCAATTCTTTAATTATCACCTGTGTAAAATCCCAGCAAGTTCTGAGCCCAGAGCTGAGCCTGTTTTAGTGACAGGTAACCCTGATAACCCAGAGTTTGTGAACTTTGTGCATTTTAAGATTTCCTTCTCTTGAGGGGAGCAGAGAGGAAAATGGAGGATGCACAGGAAAACTCTGGCTCAGTCAGGATTTTTTTAATTTGGATGCTTGCAGGAGGATGCTCATCAGGAAGGAGGGCTTCACCTTCCCAGAGTCCCATCCATGGATGGGCTGGGTTGGAAGGGAGCTCCAGGCTCTGTTCCAGGGCCCCTCCCAGCAGGCCAGGCTGCTAACAGGGGGTCAGGGCAGGGGAGAACCCTGCTGGTTTCTGTGTCCAGCCAAGCCTCACCTCCTGGCCATGGGAGCACCCCTCACTCCTGTGCCATTCCTGCCCAGGCCAGCAGTGCCAGCTGTGCCCTCTGAGCTGGGGATGCTGGTGGTGCTTTTTGTTTGTGCTGTGTCCTCTGTAGAACGAGATGGTTCGGGAGCTGGACGGGCACGTGCTCAAGTGCGTCAAGGACCAGAACGGGAACCACGTGGTGCAGAAGTGCATCGAGTGTGTGCAGCCCCAGTCCCTGCAGTTCATCATTGATGCCTTCAAGGGACAGGTGAGGCCCTGCCCAGCTCCTGCTGCCAGCTTGGAACAGCCTCAGAGTGGCTGGGACTTCACCTCCTGGGAATTCTCAGTTTCAGCAGCTGTTGCTTGCAGGGTTGATTCAGCCACGTGAGAGTCCAGAAACCCCTTGGTCACATCTGTGTTACCATTTCTGGGCAGAGCTGTCAGAGTAAAACCTCCTTGCACAAGTCTGTTCTCCTGGAATATTGAGTGTTTTTGAGTGATGAAGGAAAACAAGGCTCTCCCTAATCCATCTTCCAGTGAAGGTGGTGAGCAGAGTTTTGTGCTGCTGAGGTACCTTAGCCATGTCTGAACTCCATTAATTCCTTAATTATCACCTCACCTGTGTAAAACCCCAGCAAGTTCTGAGCCCAGAGCTGATCCCCTTTTAGTGGCAGGTGACCCTGATAACCCAAAGAATTGGTGAACTTTGTGCATTTCAGATTTGTTTCTCTTTGAAGGGAGCAGAGAGGAAAATGGGGGATGCACAGGAGAGCAAAGTGTCATTCTGCTCCCTGTCTGTGCAGGTGACTTAGAGGAAGGCTGAATGCTGATTCCCAGGGGCCTCAGAGCAAGGAAGAAGCAGGAGTTTCACCTAGAAATGGACAATTGGCCTTGACACTCTCTTCCTTTTTGCTTTTTTATTGCTGTCCTCTCCTGAATTGATCATTGGGTATCAGTTGTGGCTGGCTTTACTCTGCCTGCCTCAGGTCCCAGTACAAAAGTGCTGCTTTAGGGGTGTTTCCAGCCTCAATTTAATTGGCTTTGCAGGGGCACTTTGAAGTTTTGAGGACTTGCCCCAGGGATGTGAGACAGCCAGGGGCTGCTACAGCAGGAACCAGGAGCTGGGAGCTGGGGAAAGTGGGGATTTGGTTGGCTGGGTCAAAACAAGCAGCATTGTGCCTGGAAATTTGCTCCTGATTAGAATTTAGGCTTGGATTTTCCACTGGGAGTTTGGGAAGGCAGAAACAGCTCTGTGAGCTCAGCTGATGGTGCTGACATTTCCTTGACCAGTTGTCACAGTTTTATCTGAACCTTCACACAGCAGATTAAACTTAGCACCTCCAGATGATTTTCCTGCAGTTAATTGCACTCCAAGCCCTGTTTCCCTGCAGGGTTTACTCACCAGTTATTAAAAATGTGTGGCTGTTGATTTAAACTTCAGTGCTTGGATTTGCTGCTGTTGTTAAATCAAAGCAACCAAATGGGACTTTGTGCTTCAGACAGAAAATGGAGCAGCAATAACAGAATGTGTCATGTTCTCACCCACAGATCTGCTAATCCATTAGAAATGAGAAAGATTCTTTGTTGTCACTTCTCCTAAGCACTGTTAAGGCTTTTAAACAAATCCAAACAGTTGAGGAAAATCCTTTGCTGGGCATTTTTAACTTTTCTGGTTCATAGCATTTCTTAAATAGCTTAAAATTTGTGCTGGCAAACAATGTGCTGGAATTATTTGGAAAGAATAACCAAGCTTCCAGCAATGCTTGGTTGTTCCAGGTTGGTTTTTTTTATGAATCAAGAGGTTTTACCATTTGCTTTTCATAGCTGGGGAAGCTGAGCCTTCCCCAGGTAGGGATGGGATGTGCCTGGGATCCCGGTGGGTGTTTCCCAGCTGGTGCTGCCTGGAGCTGGCATTCCCTGCAGGAATCCTGGCAGGTTTCTGGGATTCCCAAGGACTAATGGCACATTGCTGCCTGTCCCTTGTCCCCAGGTGTTTGCTCTGTCCACGCACCCCTACGGCTGCCGGGTGATCCAGCGGATCCTGGAGCACTGTCTGCCCGAGCAGACCCTGCCCATCCTGGAGGAGCTCCACCAGCACACGGAGCAGCTGGTGCAGGTCAGTGGGTCCCCAGGTCACTGCTGAGTGCTGGGACAGCTCCTGCAGGGAGATTCCCGCCTGGAGAAGGGATGGGAGTGAGCACAGCAGGCAGGAATTCCATCAGCACCGCCTGCTTTGGCCACGGGCACAGGGCCAGGGGGTGCCAGGGGTGTTGGCACCTCCCTGCCTCAGGAGGCTCCACGTCCTGGGGCTTCTCTCCAGTGCAGGGAAGAGCCAGGAGCTCTTCCAGGAGCTCCAGTGCAGGAGGGGTGCCAGGAGCTGATCACTCCAAGGAAAAGGAGTGAATCAGCTCCTGGCATCCCTCCTGGCTTTAAGAATTCAAAGTCACTGGAATTCTTAAAAAGAGTTGGTTCTGTGCTCACCCCCTCCTGGCTGCCTTCCCTCCTCCCTGCAGTCCCTGGGAGAACATGGTGTGCCAGGGTTTTACATGGATTCTGCTCTTGGGGCCTGTGGAGAAAGCAGCAAACCCAGTTCTGATCCAGTTCCCAAATTGCCACTCACATCCCAAGGCACAAACTGGTGAAATATGAGCTGGTCCAGGGCCCAAGTCCTGTGTGCTCCACTGGGAAGAGGGAAGAGGCTGGGCATGGACATCAGGCCATGCCTGTGGTACCCTGAACTGGAAAATAAATATCCTGTGGTCTGAAAATTCCCAAATTCAGAGCAGTGTCCCATAGCCAGACCCGTGGCACACCCCTCCAGGACATGGGATTTGGTAGGTTTGAACCTGGAGAGGGGAAAAAACCTGGGAATAAGCAGAATATGGACATTGCCTGTGCAAGGACATCATTTTGAATACTGTAAATTAAGAAAATTTCCACAAAAATGCATCATTTTACCACCTGGTACCACCCTAGAATGCACATTTTGCAGAGAAAGTATTGATCTGATTTGTACAGTAAATATTATAATTAATCTTTAGTTGAACTTCTAACTCGGAATGCACTTTGGGAATCAGTTTTCTGGGAATGCTTCCAGTCCCTTACCCACCTGTTGTGCCCATCTCTGCTGCCTCCCACCCAGGATCAGTATGGGAATTACGTTATCCAGCACGTCCTGGAGCACGGCCGGCCCGAGGACAAGAGCAAGATTGTAGCAGAAATCAGAGGCAACGTGCTTGTGTTGAGTCAACATAAATTTGCCAGGTAGTAATTCCTTCCTTAAATTCTCCCTCTGGCAGCATGGACACATGGAGGGGCTGCAGAAGATGTAGGGGTGGGTGTAGGGGAGGTGAAAGTGACTTTTGCTTCATAAAAAATGTTATTTATAATAGTTATAAACTGAGGTGTGTCAGCCAGTCTGTCATGGAGGAGGATGGAGATGTGAAAGGGTAGCTGTAAACCAAGCTCCTGAATTTCACCAGGAGTTCTTGTGTGTTTTGGTTTATCTGATTTATTTTCATGGGGTTTAAGTTGTCACTACCCCTTGGATTTTAAGAACATTCACTGCCCTGGGATGCTGTGTCCAGCCATGGGGAGATTTGGGAAATCAGTGCAGCACAATCCATCCCGTTTTTCCCAGAGGAATTTCCACTCACTGAGTCATTCCCAGCTTTTTGCTGTGTCCCTTTGGAGTCACACCCAGGGAGGGACCCCTCCAAGGGGAGCTGCAGCATTCCCAGATGCTCCAGAGCCACACGTGGGTGAGGCAGGATCCAGGTATTGGTGATGTCAGGACAAAGCACTGCTTCCCACGTGTGTGAATCCCTGCTGGATGAGCTTCCAGCCCTCAGAACATGAAGGCTGAGCTCTTCAAAGGCTCAAAATTCCCCCTTCCTCTGATGAGAGTACCCATGGACACAAGGGAAGTGGAACATTAATGAGAATTAGGAGAGCGTGGTCTTCATGTTGTTATTTCAGGTTCTTCCTCCCTGCTTTGCCTGGTTCTTTTTTCCCAAACTTCTTTCCAGCTCCATTAATTAGTGGAGGGTCCCCTGAGCTGAGCAGACCCTCTGGGTGGTGCTGTGAGTCAGGCAGGGGTGTGGGATGAGCCCAGCACAGCTCGTGGTCCCCTTTCATGTACCCTACTTCTGCCTCTCCAGAGAGCTCAGGCTGCTCATTAATATATTCAGGAATTCTGGAAATCCTCTGCTTGGCTGAGATTTTTCATTCCTGAACCAGCATTTCTGTGTTGTTCTAACCTTGGATGTCCATTCCCACCACGTTCCAGTGGGGAGAAAATCAAAACAACAACTTGGCTTCTCTAGTGAGAGTGGACACTGACCTCATAGAGCATCACTGGACACTGGCCTGAACTGGTCCAGTTCCCAAATTCCCACTCAGATCCCAAAGCACAAATTGAGGTGAAATATGAGCTGATCCAGATCCCAAATTCCCACTGAGATCCCAAATCTTGTTTGACATTGCTGAGCTCTGCCAGCACAAATCCCCTGCCCTTGTAGCAGCACATGAGATCCTCTTTGGGCTGGGTGAAAAGGTTTGAGGGGACATCCTGTGCTCAGTTCCCTGCTCTGTTCCCAGTTCCCTGCTCCATTCCCAGTTCCCTGCTCCCGTTCCCAGTTCCTGTTCCCATTCCCAGTTCCTGTTCCCATTCCCACTTCCCTACTCCATTCCCACTTCTGTGCTCCATTCCCACTTCCCTGCCGAGTTCCCTGCCCCATTCCTAGTTCCCACTCCCTGTTCCCTTTCCCAGTTCCCATTCCTGTTCCCAGTTCCCATTCCCATTTTCGTTCCCATTTCCCATTCCTATTCCTGTTCCCATTCCCATCCCATCCCCATCCCCCCGTTCCCATTCCCCATCCTCATTCCCTATCCCCATTCCCATCCCTGTTCCCATTCCTATTCCCAGTCCCGTTCCCCATTCCCATTTCCCATTCCCCATCCCCATTCCCCATCCTGATCCTCATTCCCATCACATTCCCCATTCTCCACTCCCATTCCCACTCCCATCTCCACTCCCATCCCCATTCCCGATTCCCCATTCCCGTTCCCCCGTTCCCATTCCTCATCACCGTTCCCCATCCCCATCGCCATTCCCATTCCCCATCCCCATTCCCATACCCCATTTCCCATCCTCATTCCCATTTCCCATTCCCCATCCTCATCCCCATCCCCATTTCTCATTCCCATTCCCATCCCCATCCCCACTCCCCATTCCCATCCCCATTTTCCATCCCCATTCCCCATCCCCATTCCCATCCCCATTCCCCATTCCTGTTCCCATCCCCATCCCCACTCCCCATTCCCATCCCCATTTTCCATCCTCATTCCCCATCCCCATTCCCATTCCCCATTCCCCATCCCCATCCCCATTCCCCATTCCTCATTCCCATCCCCATTTCCCATTCCTGTTCCCATCCCCATCCCCCATTCCCATCCCCATTTTCCATCCCCATTCCCATCCCCATTCCCATCCCCATCCCCATCCCCATCCCCATCCCCATTCCCCATCCCTATCCCCATTCCCCATTCCCATCCCCATTTTCCATCCCCATTCCCATCCCCATTCCCATCCCCATTCCCATCCCCATTCCCCATCCCTATCCCCATTCCCCATTCCCCATTCCCATCTCCATTCCCCATTCCCCATTCCCATCCCCATTTCCCATCCCCATTTCCCATCCCCATTCCCATCCCCATTCCCCATCCCCGTTCCCATCCCCATTTCCCGTTCCCGCCGCGCTGACGCTGCCGTGTCCCCTCAGCAATGTGGTGGAGAAGTGTGTGACGCACGCGTCGCGCACGGAGCGGGCCATGCTCATCGACGAGGTGTGCACCATGAACGACGGCCCCCACAGTGCCTTATACACCATGATGAAGGATCAGTACGCCAACTACGTGGTGCAGAAGATGATCGACGTGGCAGAGCCGGCCCAGAGGAAGATTGTCATGCACAAGGTGGGCACTGGGGCTGGGGAGGGACAGCCTGGCACTGCTGGGCACTGAGGGAAGTGAAGGCAGAGGGGTTGGAGTGTTTCAGTGACTGGGAGGTGGAAATTATGGAAGGGTTTGGGCTGGAAGGGACCTCAAAACTCATCTTGTTCCACCCCAGGGACACTTCCACTGTGCCAGGTGCTGCCAGCCCCAATGCCCAGCCTGGCCTTGGGCACTGCCAGGGCTCCAGGGGCAGCCACAGCTGCTCTGGGCACCCTGGCAGAGCCCAAACCTCTTGAACCAGGCCTTGCCAGGCTACAAACCCCCTGTGGCAAATGGCACTGGGGGCACCTGGAACCATGCAGGAAATCATTCTTTCCTTGCCTTTCTCCATTTGCTGCAATGGTTTTTGGTGCTGGTTTCCATCCTGGATTGAGGAATGGGAATGCCAGAGTGGTTTGGGTGGGAAGGGATCTTCAATGCCAGCTCATTGCAGCCCAGGGCCACCTCCCACTGTGCCAGGTGCTGCCAGCCCCAATGTCCAGCCTGGCCTTGGGCACTGCCAGGGCTCCAGGGGCAGCCCCAGCTGCTCTGGCAATTCCAGCCCAGCCCCTGCCCACCCTGCCAGGGAACAATTCCCAATTCCCAAGATCCCATCCAGCCCTGCCCTCTGCCACTGGCAGCCATTCCCTGCCTCCTGGCCCTCCATCCTTGGCCCCAGTCCCTCTGCAGCTCTCCTGGAGCCCCTTCAGGCCCTGCAGGGGCTCTGAGCTCTCCCTGGAGCCTTCTCCTCTCCAGGGCAGCACCCCCAGCTCTCCCAGCCTGGCTCCAGAGGGGCTCCAGCCCTGCAGCAGCTCCAGAAACTCCTGGACTCTATCCAGCATGTCCAGGTGCTGCTGATGTTGGGGTCCCAGAACAATTCCATCCTAGTGTCCCATCTGCCCCTGCCCTGTGTCCGAGTGCAGCCATTCCCTGTGTGCTGTCACTCCATTCCCGTGTCACAAATCCCTCTCCAGCTTTCTGGAGGAGTACGGAGCTGCCCTGGGCTGGAGCTGCAGCTGGCAGCAGTGCCCGTGTCCCAGTGACCCAGTTCTGCACCGAGCAGGCGCCGCGCTCCTGCCAGGGCCTGTGGCTCCCAGGCTGGGGACATCAGAGTGACACCGGGAGCCACCCGGGCCTGGGGCTGTGTCCCCTGCCTGTGCCCCCATCTCTGTCCCCCTGCTTGTGTCCCATGCCTGTGTCCCCCATCTCTGTCCCTCTGTGTCCCTGGGGCTGTGTCCCCTGCCTGTGTCCCCCATCTCTGTCCCTCTGTGTCCCTGGGGCTGTGTCCCCTGCCTGTGTCCCCCATCTCTGTCCCTCTGTGTCCCCTGGGGCTGTGTCCCCCATCTCTGTCCCTCTGTGTCCCTGGGGCTGTGTCCCCCATCTCTGTCCCTCTATGTCCCTGGGGCTGTGTCCCCCATCTCTGTCCCTCTGTGTCCCTGGGGCTGTGGTGTCCCTCTGGCTCTGTGGTGTCCCTGTGGCCTGTGCCCCTTTGCCTGTGTCCCAGTGTGTCCCCCTGCCTGTGTCCCTAGGGCTGTGTCCCTGCAAGCTGTCCCTCTCTGTCCCTGTGGGCTGTGCCCCTGCTGCTTGTGTCCCTCTCTGTGTGCTCCTGCCTGTGCTCCTCTGTTCCTGATGCTTGTGTCCCTCTGTGTCCCCTGGGCTGTGTCCCTGTGGCAGTGTCCCTCTGTGTCCCTGTGGGTTGTGTCCCGTGGGCTCTGTCTCTCTTGCTCTGTCCCTGTGGGCTGTGTCCCCCTACCTGTGTCCCTTTGTCCCTCAGGCTGTGTCCCATTGTGTCCCTGTGGCTGTGTCCCTGCTGGATCTGTCCCTGTGCCTGTCTGCTGTGGCTGTGTCCCTGTGACTGTCCCTGTGACTGTCCCTGTGTCCCTGCTGGATGTGTCCCTGTGCCTGTGGCTGCCAGCCCCACCTGTCCCTCCATGTCCCTCCATGTCCCTCCAAGGCCACTGGCCTTGCCTGGTGCCACCGTGCTGGTGCCACCTCAGAGCCCACAGCAATTCATCAAATCCTGTTTCTCACTTCTAAATGGATTTTGGTGTGACACTTCCCAGAATCCTGGGATCCCTGAGGCTGGAAAAGCCCCCCAAGACCACTGAGGGCAGCCTGTGCCCTGTCCCCAGCTTGTCCCCAGCAGAGCCCTGAGTGCCACCTCCAGTAATTCCTTGGACACCCCCAGGGCTGGGGACTCCAAACCTCCCTGGGCAGTTCCAATGCCTGAGCCCCCTTTCCATGGAGAAGAATCCTCCTGATACCCCAAACTCCCATGGTTTAGCATTGCCCTGCAGTGTGTGAGTGCACAGCCATCCCAGGAGCTCAGATTTATCCAGAATGAAGCCATTTGCAATGAAATCTGCCTTGCTGCCATCCCCTGTGCCTGCTGCTCCAGGGGCAGGGAGCCCTGGAACAGGGAATATCTTCATTTTCCTGCTTTTAAAGGTCACATTTGCAGGGCTGCAGAATGGCAGTGGATGGAGAATAACAGGCTTTAGATGGGGGTGGGGCTGAGGGGATTTTAATTTTCCTCAGTGACATTTGTTGGGGTTACTTGATGAAAAAGCCCAGGTACAGCCAGAGAAATGAAATCCTGACTGACCCAGGCATGGAAAAGCTGAGATTTATTTATCTTGAATAATGTCAGGCATTCAAATGCTAATGAAGCTTTTTTTTTAAATTATATTTAAGCATCCTTGACTAAACCAGACTGATTTTTCTGGGAAAGCAGTGGTAATTTGTGTGAGGGAGCTGCTTTGACCTCCATATGCACAGAATCAACACAAACAGCTGGAATAATCCTAAGGGAGGTTAAATCTTAGGTTTAGGAGCCACTCAGAGTCATTCTTTTAACCCCAAATCTGTTTTAGTGCACAAGAAATGCTAAAGATAATTAAATAAGGATATCTGGCAAGGGATACACCCAATTTATCTGTGGCAGCAGAAGGGCCCTGGATTTGTTAATCCATAACAGAGAATTGTGTATTAAAAAAAATACAAATTATTGTTCCTAACATTTCTTACTTTCTTTTTCCCATGGAGCAAAGCCCTTGGATAAAATGCAAATTAGATTATCAGTGGGGCTGTCAAAAATAGCTCAGGGTTGACAGCTAAGTGGGCCTGAGTGAATGTGATTTCAGCTGTGATCCCAGGCTTCAGGAAAGCCTGGAAAAATGGAGCCAGGGGCTGTGGGAATGGCTGCTGGTTGTGGAAAACAGCAGCTTGGGATGGGGCTAAAAATGAGATTTTATTTAAGATTTTATTTTAAAAAATGAAATTGAAAAGTGATTTTCACAGTTGTGTCAGTAAAGGGGGAAAGTGAAAGAGATGAAGCTGGATAGAGAAGGAATGGTTGGAACTGGAGCTTCTCTGCTCCTGCTGGGCACAGGAGTCATTCCTGCTGGGAATGGGGTCCAGGTTGGGTTTGTGCTTTGGGAATGGGGTCCCTGGAGTGCAACAGGAATGTGAGGGACTGGAGGCTGAGCTGCTGAGCCAGGAGCAGTTGGAGATGAGGTCCCTGTTAGGGGCAGTGGTGGATGTGGACAGCCTTGGAGCAGGGAATGCTGCACATCCACTTGGAGAGGAGAAAATGTGGAAATCATGGAATCCTGGAATGGTTTGAGTTAGAGAACCCTTAAATCCCACCCAGTGCCACCCCTGCCATGGCAGGGACACCTCCCACTGTGCCAGCCCCAATGTCCAGCCTGGCCTTGGGCACTGCCAGGGCTCCAGGGGCAGCCCCAGCTGCTCTGGCAATTCCAGCCCAGCCCCTGCCCACCCTCACAGCCAGGAATTCCTTCCCCATATCCCATCTGACCCTTCCCAGGCAGTGGGAATCCATTTAATCCAAAGCCCCAGTGCTTGCCTTGTGCAGAATCCCACTGGGAATTGGGGAACACTGCCTGGATTCCAGAACTGTGTGATGCTGATGCCTTGGGAAGGCTGCCCTAGAGCAGAGGCTGGACAGAGCTAAAGAATAAAGCAGGGATTTCTTATAAGGATAAATTAAAAGGATAATGGATGCATGGATCCACCTTGGGCAGCACCAGAGCCCAGCCAGGGCTGCACCCAAGATGAACCAAAATGGCCCCAAAATGCACGGCCGGGCACGGGGTCTCTCCCTTGGATCAGTTCTGCTCCATTTGCACCTTGCAGTTCATTGTCCCATCCCAGCTTTAGCCCCTGCAGTCCCACCCTGCTTGTTTTTCTCTCTCCAGCCCACGGGGTTTGTGCTCTTGGGCTGAGATTTGGATCATTTGTCCTTGGTGCCCAGCTGGAGCAGGAATTGTTTTGTCTCCCTGCTCTGTGCACAGAGCTCACCATCCCATAATGTGAACTCAGACCCACACACCAAAGCAGAACAGAATCTGAAAAATAGAAAATCTAAACCTGAGGCATCAGTGCCAGCCAAGACTTCTGGGGTCTGGGGGGGTTGGTTTGACCCTGGGGATGGGTGTGACCCCACTCAGGTTCCTAAATCCTGAGGGGAGCAGGACATGGGGAGGGGCTGGGGCTCTGCTGTTCATGGAATGTTCAGTTGGAGTTTGGAGCTTCACTCCAAGGGCAGGAGCAGGACACAGGGAAGAGCTGGGGCTGTATTTTTCATGGAATTGGAGCTGCAGTCCAGGGGCAGGGCATGGGGAAGAGCTGGGGCTCTGCTGTTCATGGAATGTTCAGTTGGAGTTTGGAGCTTCAGTGTGGGACCAGGACACAGGGAAGGCTTGGAGGAGTGCTGTTCATGGAATGTTAAATTGGAATTTGGAGCTTCTGTGTGGGAGCAGGACACAGGGAAGGGTTGGAGCTGTGCTTTTGTGCTTTTCATGGAATTGGAGCTGCAATCCAGGAGCAGGACACAGGGAAGGGGTTGGAGCTCTGCTTTTCATGGAATGTTGAATTGGAATTTGGAGCTCCACTGTGGGACCAGGACATGGGGAAGAGCTGGGGTTCTGCTTTTCATGGGACATTTAGTTGGAGTTTGGAGCTTCAGTGTGGGAGCAGGACACAGGGAAGGCTTGGAGCAGAACTGTTCATGGAATTGGAGCTGCAGTCCAGGAGCAGGACACAGAGAAGAGCTGGGGCTGTGCTGTTCATGGAATGTTGAATTGGAATTTGGAGCTTCCATGCGGGAGCAGGACACTGGGAAGGGCTGGAGCTGGGATGGAGAGCAGGGCAAGGGGCCTTTTTCATGGCATTATTTCTGTCTTAAATCCCATTTTTTTGTTGCTTTTGCCCAGATCCGGCCCCACATCGCCACGCTGCGCAAATACACCTACGGCAAGCACATCCTGGCCAAGCTGGAGAAATACTACATGAAAAATGGGGTGGATTTGGGGCCCATCTGCGGCCCCCCCAATGGCATCATCTGAGCAGGGGCTGCTCCAGAGGCACTCCAGGATCCCAGGAATCCACCAGGAATCCACCCCAGAACCCACCCACACCACCCGCCACGGTTGCTAAAAAAACACAAACAAAACCCAGAGGAAAAAAAGAAAAAAAAAAAAACAAGCAAAGAAAAGCAGAAAAAAAAAACCACAAAAAAAAAAAAAGAGAAGCCTTTGTAAATTTCTTTAATTTTATTATGCATAACATGTACTAATTATTTTTTTTAATTAACTAATTGCCCTGCTGTTTTACTGGTGTATAGAATTCTTGTACATAGGTCTCAGATGTACATGGAAGGCCACATTTTTGTTCACTGTTGTATCTATATTCCAAATGTGGAGACTTTCAGGGTGGTTGGTTCGAAGACAACAAACAAAACAGGAAAAAAACCCCTGTTTTTAATTCATCCTTTTTTGCAAATACCTTTTTTTGGGGTTTTTTTTTCCTCCTTTTAGCCCAAAAATCAGCAAGAAGTTGGAATTTTAGTTCAGTGACACCACTGGTAGAAATACTAAACAGAGAAAAATTCAACTTGCTAAAGTTTGGTTTTAAACAAAGACACCAAAATTCCGGTTTTGGGACTTTTTAATGGCTTTATTTCTATTTTATTTGTGACTGACATGCTGAAGGAGGGAGCTTAGCTGGCGTTTTGAGAAAACACCTAGAGATGATCTAAAAGTGGAGGATTTGGGGGGTTTTTTATGCCCACTCCTCTGTTCACCTGGAGAGACACAATTTGATTATTTAGCATGAGGAAAAACAAAAAAATCCAACTCGGCTTTGGTCTTGCTTCTATAAATATATAGTGTATACTTGGTGTAGACTTTACATATATAAAAATTTGTAGTATTTTCTTGTTTTGATGTCTGATCTGTATCTATAATGTACCCTAGTAGTGGAACATACTTCTGACTGTACAATTGTACATTTGTAAACCTCTGTAATGTAAATGTGGAGAAGTTTGAATCGACATAAAACCCGTTTTTTGGTAAGAAAACAGGAAAAAAAAAAGAATTTAGCAAAACCTGTGCATTTCAGTGTATATTCACACCTTTTATGGTCGTAGCATATAGTGTTGTATATTGTAAATTGTAATTTCAACCAGAAGTAAATTTTTTCTTTTGAAGGAAATGTTCTCTTTATACAGCCTAGTTAATGTTTAAAAACAAAAAAGGAAGAAAAATAAACTGCTTGGTTTTATTTGTCACCTAGTTGGACGGTAGAGATCCTTTCTAAATGTTCTACAGACCTGATTCAGTTCCAAATAGTGTTTTTTTGAATCTTACAAAGTAATGTTTTGCTTCTTTTGTGACAGTAAGAAACAAAAAGTGCAAAAGTACAGCCCCCTCCTAGTTTTCCTTACAATCAGAGCCCCTTTTCACCTTGTAAAGTGTGAATCACCTCCCCCTTTTTTGTACAGAAGATGAACTGTATTTTGCATTTTGTCTACTTGTAAGTGAATGTAACATACTGTCAATTTTCCTCGTTTGAATATAGAATTGTAACACTACACGGTGTACATTTACAGAGCCTTGTGTATATTTCCAATGAACTTTTTTGCAAGCACACTTGTAACCATATGTGTATAATTAACAAACCTGTGTATGCTTCTGCCTGGGCGACTATTTTTTGTAACTCTTGTGTAGATTGTCTCTAAACAACGTGTGATCTTTATTTTGAAAAATACAGAACTTTGGAATCTGGTTCGGGGTTTCATGGAATTGTTTGTTGGAGTTTGAAGCCTCAATCCAGGGGACGAGGGGAAGAGCTGGAGCTTCTCATGGAATGTTGAATTGGAATTTGGAGCAGGAGCAGGACACAGGGAAGAGCTGGGGCTGTGCTGTTGGTGGAACTGGAGCTGCAATCCAGGGCCAGGACACAGGGAAGAGCTGGGGCTGTGCTATTGATGGAACTGGAGCCTCAGTCCAGGGCCAGGACACAGGGAAGAGCTGGAGCTGTGATTTTCATGGAACTGGAGCCTCAGTCCAGGGCCAGGACACAGGGAAGAGCTGGGGCTGTGCTTTTCATGGAATTGGAGCTGCAATCCAGGGCCAGGACACAGGGAAGAGCTGGGGCTGTGCTGTTGGTGGAACTGGAGCCTCAGTCCAGGGCCAGGACACAGGGAAGAGCTGGGGCTGTGCTGTTGGTGGAATTGGAGCCTCAGTCCAGGGCCAGGACACAGGGAAGAGCTGGGGCTGTGCTATTGATGGAACTGGAGCCTCAGTCCAGGGCCAGGACACAGGGAAGAGCTGGAGCTGTGATTTTCATGGAGTGCTGTTTTGGACTTTGGAGGTTTGCTGCAGGGCCAGGACACAGGGAAGGCTTGGAGGAGTGCTTTTCATGGAATGTTGGAGTTTGGAGCTTCCATGTGGGAGCAGGACACAGGGAAGGGCTGGAGCTGTGATTTTCATGGAATTGGAGCCTCAATCCAGGGGCACAGGGAAGAGTTGAAACAGCTTTTCATGGAATGTTTAGTTGGAGTTGGGAGCTTCACTGCAAGGGTAGGAGCAGGACACAGTGAAGGCTTTGGAGCTGTGCTGGTCATGGAATGTTGGATTTGAGTTTGGAGCTTCACTGTGGGACCAGGACACAGGGAAGAGCTGGGGCTCTGCTGTTCCCAGCATTGGAGCGCCAATACAAGGGCAGGACACAGTGAAGGCTCAGAGCTGTGCTGTTCATGGAATGTTGAATTTGAGTTTGGAGCTTCAGTGTGGCACCAGGACACGGAGGGGCTGGAGCTGTGCTGGAGGGCTGGGATGGAGAGCAGGGGAAGGGCATTTTTTTCATGGCTTCATTTCTGTCTTTGCAAGTCTGACGTGCTGAAGGAGGGAGCTGAGCTGGTGTTTTTTGGGGGGGGAAACACCCAGAGATGATTTTAAAGTGCAGGACTGGGGGCCTGTCCTAAACAGGCTCCATGAGCACAGGGATGCGGGATTCTCCTGAGACCCCACCTGCAGAGCTGCCCCAGCCCTGGAGCCCCCAAAATCAAGGATTTGGAGCTGCTGGAGAGAGCCCAGAGGAGCCCACGGAGCTGCTGCAGGGCTGGAGCCCCTCTGGAGCCAGGCTGGGAGAGCTGGGGGTGCTGCCCTGGAGAGGAGAAGGCTCCAGGGAGAGCTCAGAGCCCTTGCAGGGCCTGAAGGGGCTCCAGGAGAGCTGCAGAGGGACTGGGGCCAAGGATGGAGGGCCAGGAGGCAGGGAATGGCTGCCAGTGGCAGAGGGCAGGGCTGGATGGGATCTTGGGAATCAGGAATTCTTTCCTGGGTGCTTCTCCAGGCTGCTCCATGGATCTGATGGTTCTACCCCTGCTCATCCCCTGCTGCCCCCATGATGTCCTGGTCTCCCTTATTCCCCCAATTCCTTATTTAAGAAGCTCCAGCTCCCCATTTCTTTCCCTGTGTGAACAGAACCCCAAAATCAGCCTCTCCTTCCCACCAGCTTCCCCCATTTGCAGCATCCAGGACCTTCCCTATCCCTTTGTTGCCCTTTGCTGCATTTAAAATCCCTTTTCCAGAGGGACATTTGGAGAATGCTGATTAATCTGGGAACTTGTGGAGGCAGGGTCAGTGGCCAAGTGATAGAGGGCAAGAAAATGCCCATTTTACAGGAAATTACTTATTTTGGCTTAGCACGTGGAAAGGGTGGGTTTGAAGCCTGGACTCTTCCCACATCCCATTCCCATCCCTCAGCAGGGCCAGCACCCCTGGGACCCCACTCTGGGATTGATCTGGGATGCTGTACTGGGATCGATGATCCTTTACCGGGATTGATCTGGGACTCACACTGGGATTGATCTGTTCCCACTCTGGGATTGATCTGGGATCCCTACACCAGGATTGGTCTGGGACTCACACCAGGGCTGATCTGGGATCCTGGGATTGATCTGTTCCCACACCAGGACTGATCTGGGACCCCATACTGGGACTGACCTTTTCCCACCCCATTGGTGTTAAATTCAGCAGATTTGAGGTTTGACTCCATTTCTGCCCAGCGTTTCTGCCCACCCTGTGTCCCAGCATGGCTGGCAGGGGCACGGACACTTGAACTTTGGGGTTTTAGAGCTCTTTGGGTGTCTCTTGAGCTCTTCACCACCTCATTTACCTGGTGGTGCCTGTGGAGCTCAGTCAGCTGCAGGTCTGGGGACAAACACGGTGAAAATGAGGGAGATAAATCTATTTTTTAATGTTTAATTCAGCACTGAGCATTCCATTCTGGCTGCAGAGGAAGGGAGCGTGCCCAGGCTCTGTGTTTGTTCCCCAGAGTCCTGCGGGTCCAGGGCCAGCCCTGGCACCGTTCCCACCCCGAGGAGTTGGGGAGCGAGATCAGAGCTGCTGGCCCTGCGGGTGACACAGGGGACACGGCCCGGGAAGGACACGGGGGCTCTGTGCTGAGGGACAGAGGGGACACGGCCCGGGAAGGACACGGGGGCTCCGTGCTGAGGGACACAGGGGACACGGCCCGGGAAGGACACGGGGGCTCCGTGCTGGCCCTGCCGGGTGACAGAGGGGACACGGCCCGGGAAGGACACGGGGGCTCCGTGCTGAGGGACACAGGGGACACGGCCCAGGAAAGACACGGACGCTCCGTGCAGGCCCTGCCTCGGTCCCTCCTGAGCACGGCTGGTGATTGCGGCTGGAGAAGGGATCTGAAGGCACCTGTCCCCTCAGCCGGGACCTGTCCCCTCAGCCGGGATCCCTGTGCCACCCCCTGTCCCATCGCTCTGCCCAGACCCGAGGGGACACGAGGGGACCGGCGCTGCCGCTGTCACCGCGGCCGCGGGGGGAAAAGGCCCCGCTGGCAGCGCCCCCCGCCCGCCCCCAGCTCCTCCTGTGGGGTCCCACAAAGCCCCGCCACCCTTCAGGGGCCACCCCTGGGGTGCCCCCCCTCGCTGGGGACCCGCGGGGACCCTGCGGCCCTGGCCCGGTCCCTGCAGGGGTGGCGGCGGCCACGGCGGGGCGGTGCAGGCCCAGCAACGGGCCCGGGCCGGGCGGGGCCTGTGTGGGGACAGCGGAGCCCGTGTGGGGACACCCCGGCACCGGGACCCCGAGTGGGGACAGCGGCCCTGCCTGGGGACACCACCCTGCCTGAGGAAATCCCGGCACCGGGACCCTGAGTGGGGACAGCGACCCTGCCTGAGGAAATCCCGGCACCGGGACCCTGTGTGGGGACAGCAGCCCTGCCCGGGGACCCTGCCTGGGGACACCTCCCTGCCTGGGGACACCCCGGCACCGGGACCCTCTGTGTTGGGTCGACAGCCCTGTCTGGGGACATCCCTGGCACTGGGACCCCCATCCCTGGGACCCTCCAGCACCGGTGGCCCCTGCTCCACGATCCGCCCTGCATGGCACCCACCTGTGTCCCCGGGACTCCCCTGCCTTGTGACACCCCTGGCTCGGTGTCCCCGGTGTCCCTGAGTCCCCCCCGGTGTCCGCGGGACTCCCCCACCCCAAAGCCACCTCCTGTCCCCGGACCCCCCATGGCCCCAGGGACACCCCCGGACCCCCTCTCTGGGCGCCCCCTGCTCCGGGACCACCCCACTGTCCCGGGGATCCCCCCACTCTGGGACCCCCCCGGTGTCCCTGGGATGCCCCTGGGACCCCTTTTCACCCTCAGCCCCTCCCCACCTTTCCCTGGGTTTTGCCCCTCCCTTCCCACTTCTCACTCATTCTATAAATGTACTTTAAAAACAATTAATTTGGATTCTGCTAATTATAGGACAATTAAAACCCAATGGAGTCTCTCAGGTGGGGGCCCCCAGAGCCCCCCCGATGTTTCCCACTCCCCCCCGGGTGTTCCCTGAGTTTCCAGTCCCGGGGCAGTGGGAGGATCCTCGGGGGCATTTCTGGGGAGCCGAGTCCCTGCTCTCTCAGCCCGAGGGGGTTCAGCTCCATTTTTGGCTGAATTTTGTTGATTTTCCCTCCTTTGTTCCAGTAACCTCCCTGCCCTACCCCGAGCCCCTCCCGGGCTGTATTCTGGGGGTAAATGAGGGGTTTTAGGAGAGTCCCTGTCTTTTTTTAGGCCCCTGACAGGAAAGGAGGAATTCACGTGTGGAAATGGCTCATTCCCATCCCATCCTATCCCATCCCATCCCATCCCATCCCATCCCATCCCATCCCATCCCATCCCATCCCATCCCATCCCATCCCATCCCACCCACAGCCTCACCACCCCCAGGGGTGACCAAACACCCAAATTCAGAGCGGAGCCACTCCCGCGACACCCGGCAGGTGTGGGGGTGTCACCGTCATGGTCCCGCAGGTGTGGGGGTGTCACCGTCATGGTCCCGCCCTCTGATCTCACCGCCCTCCCGGGTTCTGAGTGGGGAAACTGAGGCCGGTTCAGCTGTCGGCCCGGGAGTGATTCCCGGAATGCCCGAAGGTTTCCCCTCCCATCTATCCCTGAGTACCCCCTAGGTGTCCCAAACACCACCTTGGGCTCCCCATATCTAATCCTGGGTGCCCCCAGACCCTCCCACCTCCCCCTGGATCTCCCTGATGTGCCCCAGATCCCCCCCCAGACCCCGGGCTGCCCCCAGTTTGCCCCGGTGTACTCCTTCACCCATCCCAGTGCACCCCATCTGCCCCAGCCCCTTCCACCCGCCCCAGATCCCTCCCCATCTGTTCCTGCTCACCCTCCAGTCTGCCCCAGCTGCCTCCTTCCCATCAGGCTCCCCCCATTTAACCCACAGCCACCTAATATACCCCAATCCCCCTCACGCCCCCAGTTCTGCCCTCCCCAGGTCCCCCAGTCTGCCCCAGACCCCTCTCAGATGTCCCCGTTGTCTCCCTCATCCACCCCACGTCGCCCCCATCTATCCCTGGCTCCCCAACCTGCCCCCACACGTCCCCCTCACTCCTCCCCATCCACCTCAGGGTTCTCCCAATTTTCCCAGACCCCCCCTCCATCTGTCCCCCGAGGTCCCCTCATCTACCCCAGGGTCCCCCAGTCTGCCCCAGACCCCTTCCATGTGTCCAGGACCCCTCCAATCTACCCCAGGCCCCCCCATCTGTCCCAAGTCCCCTCAAGCTCCCCCCATCCACCCCAGGACCCCTCAATCCACCCCAGCCCCCCTCGGTCCCCCCCAGGCTCCTCCCCCGTCCCCTCCCGCTGTCCCCGGGCCGAGCCGTGCGGGGCCGTGCGGGGCCGGGGCGGGGCGGCGGCGGGGCCGGGAGGGCGGCGCGGCGGCGGCGGCGGCCCCGCACCCAGCGCCCGCACCCACCGCCCGCCTCCCGCGGGCGGCGGCAACAAAGGCCCTTCCCCGCCCCCGCCGCCGCCTCCCGCCGCCTCCCGCCGCCGCCGGCAGCGTCCTTGCGGCAGGAAGATGCCCGGGGAGGTGCCGCCGCCGGCGCCCCGGGGGCTGCGGAGCCTCCCGCTGCTGCTGCTGCTGCTGCTCAGCGCCCGCGCCGCGCTGGTGAGTGCGGGGGCACCGGCGGGGGCACGGCCGGGGGACACCGGCACCGCCAGGGGGGCGGCGGGGACCGGCACCGAGCGGGGGCTGCGGGGAGGGATCGGCACCGGCACCGCCAGGGGAGCGGCGGGGACCGGTGCAGGGCGGGGGGCAGCGGGGACCGGCACCGGGAGGGGCAGCGGGGACCGGCACCGGCACCGGGAGGGGCAGCGGGGACCGGCACCGGGAGGGGTCAGCGGGGACCGGCAGCGGGAGGGGTCAGCGGGGACCGGCAGCGGCACCGGCAGTGGGGACCGGCAGCGGGCGGCACCGGCCCCGCGGATGAGCTGCCGTGGGCAGGGGGGTGGGACCGGCCCCGGCATCGCGCGTAGATCGGTATCGCGGGGAACGGGGGTGTGTGCGGTGGCACCGGTACCGTGCACGGGCCGGCCCCGGGCAGCGACACCGGTCCGGAACCGGCCTCGGTACCGTGCGTGGATCGGCAGCGGACGGGGGGCGTGGGGCCGGCAGCGGTACCGGGGGGGCACCGGCACCGTGCGGGGCCTGGCAGCGGCAGCGGGCGGGGGGGCGGCAGCCCCGGGGACCGGGACCCGGCTTGTGGGGTCCCCCAGCTCCCGAGGGGCCCCGCTCCCCGCCCCCTGCCCCGTGGCCGCCCCTCGGTCCCCTCAGAGCCCCCCCGAGCCCAGCAGGCGCTGCCCCCGGGGCTGTCCCCTCCCCTGCGACCCCCGGGCGGTGCCGGGCAGGGTGGCGGCCGTGGGGAGGGGGCTGCGGGCTGCTGCCGTTTGAAGGTCGTAGCGAAACACGCCTTAAAAACCACCCTGAGGGGCGGAGAGGGAGGAACCCCCCTGCTGCTGCTGCTGCTGCTCGGGGGCAGCGGGAACTTGTCCCCCCCGTCCTTCCCCTCCGCCTCCCCCTCCCCTCGGGCATCCCCAGCCCCGGTGGGGCGGGGGGCGGCAGACGCAGCCCGGGCTGCGCAGGCAGCGCCCGCTCTTCCCCCTCCGGGTGGCCGGAGGAGAAGGGGCCGGGGGTGCTCGTGGCACTTCCAAAGCCGCTGCTCCCCCCGGGATCCATGGATCCGAGGGATCCACGGGAACCTCCCTGCCCCGCCTGCTCCCTGCCCCGAGCCCGGTGTTGGAGTTTGGGGGATTGGGGCGCTGCTTTCCGGGAAGGAGCCCGAGGATGCTTTTTCCTCCCAGCCCGGGAGCAACGGGATAGGGTGGTGGGGAGGAAGGCTGCTCCTCCTCGTCATCCTCCTCTCTTGAAGAGGAGAAGCCCCGGGGCCTGGCTGCTGCATTGAATCGCCCGGAGCTCATCCCCCTCCTCCCGGGGCTCTGGTTTGGGGGTGCTCCGGGCTGGCTCCCCCATTTCTGCACCAGGGCCGTTCTCCCCGGCTCGCCCAGCAGCAGCGCTGCCCCTCTGGAGCACAGACACAACTTCGGCGTCTCTGAGGGGACGTGAGACGCTCCTCCAATGCCTCTGGCGAATTTGCACGGATCCAAGGGCGCTTAATCCAGCCCGAAATTCCCTCTGCCATGGATCCGGGGAAGGCTCTGCTCCTCCGGGAGCTCCCCCCGTGCCCGGTGCCCGCGGTGCTGGCGGTGAGTGAGGCTGTGCCGGTGTCCCGGCACCCCGGGGCTGTGGGGGCGGCTCTGAGGGTGCTCATCCCCCCTATACGAGCATTTTCCCTTCTGCTTTTGGGGAATTGCTGATTACTGGGTGAGGCTGTTGGCGTTCCCGGGGGATTTGTCCGTTTAGGGGAGGCTGTGGGGCTGTTCAGTGCCGGGCTGGCGGTGATGGGATGAGGGATGCTCCCGAGGGCTGGAGGAGCTGCTGCCTCCACCTGGATGGGATCGAGGCCTCTCCTCTCCCCCTCTCTTCCCTCTTCAGTCCTTCGTTCTCCTTGGACAGACTCAGCTCCTCCCCTGGGCCACCGGGAGGGAAGCGGGGGCTTGGCACAGCTCGGGCACGTCCCTGACGGTGGGATGGGGACGGATTTGGGGATTCCTGTTCCCCCAGTGCCGGATCCTGGGCCCTGCCAGGGAACCTTTCCCTGGAAGAGCACCCGGAGCGGGCCTGGCTGCTCGGAGGAGCCGCGATGAGCGAGCCCAGCCCCGCAGGCACCGCTCCCGTGAGCTCCCGGGGCCGGGTCCCTGTGCCCGTCCCACGGGGACAGGGGCAGGGACAGGGCACGGCTGTGTCACCTCCCCGGGACGCGATGCCTCCCTTTGATCAGCTGCAGTCCGTGACCCCTCCCGGCCCGGCCTTTGGGGAAGCTGGGATGGATCCCCTTGGGATCAGTCCCTGTAACCCTTTACGTGCCAGCGTGGGAGAGCCGGGGCACAGGGGCTGCTCCTGTCCCTGCCAGAGGGGTATTCCCAGCAGTGCTGTGGACAGGTTTGGGTTTGGCTGTGATTTCCCAAGGCTCCTCCCTGGTCCTGCCTCATCCCTTTGGAGCTGGATATGGACCACAGGGAGAGGGGACAAGGGACACCCAGGCTCCTGCATCGGCCATTCCTGGGACAGGGATGGGCTCAGCCCCTGTGGGACAGCCCAGATCCCCAGGAGAGGCTCCTCTCCATGCAGGGGGTGGGTGCAGCCAGCCCTGAGTGCCCCCTGCTCTGAGGTCCCCAAGGTGAGGCTCAGGATGCTTTGTTGTGGCTCTGGCTGCTGTCGGAGCCCAGCTTAGGGATCAGCTCATCACCTTAATTACCGAGAGCGTTGATTGGCCCCAACCTTTCCCAGGTCCCTGGAGCATTGCAGGGGTGGCTCTGGGGCCGGCCAGGTCCTGGCTCCCCATGCAGGAGATCGGGGATGCTCTGGATTTACTCTGGGGCTGTTTCACTGTGGAAGGGCTTCCCTTGCTCCCTGCCACAGCCCCGGACCCTGCCCTGGCTCGATCCCGAGGGATAATGAGGGACACAGCCCCAGAGAGGCCCTGCAGGGGTTTGGGGTGAAGCACCCCCTGCCCTGCAGGGATTTGGGGGGTTCAGCTCCCCACAGCTCCGGGTCCCACCAGGGCTGGGGGTCACACAACACCCTCATTCCCGTGATGATTTCCGTGTTTTGGCCTCGGCAGCTCTCTGGTTTCCAGCCTGGCCTCGGGGCCATGGGGAAGGGTCTGCCGAGCTTTGGGGGTGCTCTGGGGTTTGGTGTCACGGCTTTGCAGGGCTCAGCCCGGCCCCCAGGGGTGGGTTGGATCTCCCTGGTGTGAACTGGAGTCGCACAAGGTCCAGCCCAGCCCCGTTTGTAGGGTCAGCCCAGCTCTCCCAGTCCAGCCGTGCTCAGCCCCAGCTCCTTCCTTTTTCACGGAGAAACTGAGGAAAAAAATTTATCAGTAAATGAAGGAATGGGTCCCCAAGGGGTGCAGGGTCCTCTGGCCGCTGTCACCTCCTGCCCCTGCCTGGGAGCAGTGGCAGTGGCGTCCCCGGCTGTCCCCAGGGCTCCTTTCCCTCGGGAGATGTGCGGCAGCCCCGGGAGACGGCAGCGGGGGCTGGGGAATGCCGGTCCCGGCAACGTGAGCCGGGTACCAAACCCTGCCGGGCCCGGCGGGGCTCTGCCAGCAGGGCACCGCTCCCTTCCCGAGCCCTCGGAGCCTCGAACCCGGCTCCGCTGCGTTCTGTGCCCGTGTCCCGGCCCCTCCCGGCTCTCCCGGAGCTGGGGCCGGTGCCAGCCTCGCCTCCCGCCCGGTCTGGGTGGGTTTTGCCGCTGCTCTGCTCCTGGATGCTCAGTCCCGGCACTCTCGGTGCTTGGGAGATGCAGAGCGGGGATTGGAGCCCTGCAAATGTGGCTGGGCCCTGCATCCTCCCTCCCCTCCTCATCCTCCCCAGCCAGCCCGAGGCTCCCTTGGCTCGGGAGCTGCTGGAGAAGGGTTCCTCCTCAGGAAGGGGCCGTGGCCCTGCCCGGTGTCACCTGGTCCCCGCTGGTCCCTGCCGGGCTCCGGAGCCACCGCCCGGCTGTGGAGGGAGGAGCGGAGCCTTCCCGGTGCTCTGTGCCATTCCCGGCTTCTCCCTCTTGTTTTGTGCCATTCCCAGCTGCCCATCCGTGGTTTGTGCCATTCTCAGCTTTTCCAACTGTTTCGTGCCATTCCCATATTTCCACTCATGGTTTGAGCCATTCCCAGCTTTTCCACCCCAGTTTTATGCCATTCCCAACCTCTCCCACTTGTTTTGTGCTATTCCCAGCTTTCCCACCCATGGTTTGTGCCATTCCCAATTTCTCACCCATATTTTGTGTCATTCCCAGCTTTTCCACTTGTGTTTTGAACCAATCCCAGTTTCCCACCTGAATTTTGTGTGATTCCCATCTTTTCCACCCATATTTTGTACCATTCCCCACTTTCCCACATGTTTTGTGCCATTCCCACTTTCCCCCTTGTTTTGTGCCATTCCCAATTTCCCCTCTTGTTTTGTGCCATTCCCAACTTCTCCCCCGTGTTTTGTGCCAATTCCCAGCTTTCCCACCCATGGTTTGTGCCATTCCCAATTTCCCACACATATTTTGTATCATTCCCAGCTTTCCCACCTGTGTTTTGAGCCAATCCCAGATTTCCACCTGAGTTTTGTGCCAATCCCAGCTTGCGTTTTGAACCATTCCCCACTTTCCCTTGTTTTGTACCATTCCCAGCTTTCCACCCATGGTTTGTGCCATTCCCAGCTATTCCACCTCAGTTTTGTGCCATTCCCAGGTTTCCATCTGAGTTTTGTGCCATTCCCAGCATGTGTTTTGAACCATTCCCAGTTTCCCACCTGTGTTTTATGCTATTCCCAGTTTTCCACCTGAGTTTTGTGCCATTCCATTTCCCCCCTTGTTTTGAGCCATTCCCAGTTTCCCCCCTGCTCTGTGCCATTCCCAGTTTTCTACCTGAGTTTTGTGCCATTCCCAGCTCGTGTTTTGAGCCATTCCCAGTTTCCCACCCATATTTTGAGCCATTCCCAGTTTCGCACCCATATTTTGAGCCATTCCCAGTTTTCCCCGTCCTGTGCCGTTCCCAGTTTCCCTCCCTGCCCCGGTCCCTCCCCTCCCCCGGAGCGGAGCTGGAGCCGGAGCTTTGCGTGGCCACTCCTCCCTCTCTCCCCATTAATTAATTTGACATTTAAGGCGAGCTCCTCGTGCAGAGCTCTCCGTGAGCAGCTCCAGGACGGGAATTCCAGCCGGGAGGGGGGGACGTGGCCGGATCCAGGCTGAGGAGGCTCCTGGGGCAGCACCTGCCCCCCAAACTCTGTTCTGGGGCCTTCTGTGGTCAGGAAGGAACGGGAAGTGACTGTGGGAAGGTGAAAGCAGTTTTAGAGCCGGTTCTTTCAAGGATTTTTATTAAAATTGACTCAAAAAAAGTTAATTCAGGTCTGGTTGAGCCAGCGTTGAACCCGAGCGTGGCTCTGCTGAGGGGGCAGCACCGATATGGGGGGACCCAAACCTCCTTTTCCACCTCAGCATCCCAGAGCAGCTCCGAGCTCCCTCCAGGACGTGCTGGGATGGACTGGGACGTGCTGGGATGGACTGGGACGTGCTGGGATGGACTGGGATGGACTGGGATGGACTGGGACGTTCCCTCTGCCCTGCCCACGAGCCCGGCTGTGTTTTCATCTCTGTGGCCACACAAAAGCCTCTCCCTCCTCTCTCAGCACAGCTTGGCCACAGCTCAAACTCTTTCTTTTGAGATAAAAATAACAGCAGCAACCTCAGGGCTGCTGCTTCTGCCCCGGCTGGGGGAGAAATTGGGATTATTTTAGGAAAAAAGGGGGAAACCTCAATGTGGGGGAGCCTGGGTGCAAATCCCCCCTGGCTGCAGCCCCAAAGGGGCACCTGGAGTGGGGAGGAGGAGGCTGGAGCCAGGGAAAACTGGGAAAAGCTGGGAAAAGCCTCATCTCCCAGGCAGCACGGAGCACAACTTGTTGGCAAAACACTTTGTTTGCCAAAAAAATGATGTTTTCTGGAGGAGGAGGAGGAGGGGAATGGAGCTGGTTCAGGAGCTGCTGAGGGAAGGGGGGGCCTAGCTGAGGGTTTAGGGGGGTTGGGAGGGAAACTCAGGCAGCAAATGTCAAAAATCCAAGGCAGGGCTGTGTTTTGGGGCAGGGGAGTGGGAGTTTGGGGCCAAAGCGGGCATTTAAAAGAGAAAAAAAATCTTATTTATTTCTCATTTCTGCAAGTTAAGCTGGAAGGGAACAGAAAATCGCTGTGTTTGTGTCCCTGCAGAGACAGCAGGTCTGGGAGCACACAGGGAGCTTTGCTTCCCCACACTTGGTGTTAATCCACCATTCCCAGCTTTTTTAAGGCAAATTTAGGCCCCTCACACTTTTTCAGGTGCTGGGAATGGCCCTTGTGCCCCTGCAGAGCTTCTCCATGTACCAAATAAAAACCAAGCAGAAAAAAATGGGATAATGTATGGGAAAAATGGGATAAAATAATAATTTTTTCCTGCATTTTGGATTTTTTGGGGGGAATGGCATCATCCAGGTTCTTCTTTCCCCTCTCCCTCAGGCTCCAGCGCCAGGTGAGGGAGGTGTGGGGATCTCCTGGAGCTGGGACAGCACCTGGGGTGGCCTGGATTGCTCCAAAGCCCCGGATCCAGCCCTGCAGGAAATCCCAGAGCTGCCAGGGACTGGGGGATGGAATGGGGGATTTGAGACAGCTGGGACCCCTGGGGGCAGCTCAGAGGGTGAGGGTCTCTTTTCTAGTGAGGTCCCTGTGATTTTGGGGTGATTTTGGGCTTTGGTGCCACCGCTGCCTTTGTCAACTCCTTCTCCTCCTCCAGAAATAATCCAGGATTCCATCATTCCCATTTCCTGCCCAGTTTGGTGTCCCCAGCCCGGGCTGTATGTGGGGGCTCTGATGAGCGCTAATTAAGCTCTAATTATCCCCCAGGGGCAGCAGGGCAATGCCCTCTGTGCTGACAGGTGTTAATTACCCTGGTGTTAATTAGGGAGAGCACTGATGGGGATATTGGGGGTCCATCAGGGCTCGAGGGCACGGAACTGGGATGAACCGGGATCCTGGGCAGGGTTTATTGGCCAAGGGGCCTCTTCACCCCCCCAGCCTCCTCTGGGGTTTGAGAACTCCGTCCCACTGGGACACCCAGGGTCTAAAATCCCAGAGCCACCGAATTCCTCAGCTTTGGCTCCCTGGAGGAGCTGTTTTCCTCACTTACCAGTAATGAACTGGTGCAGGTGGGAGCTGGGATGGGCTCCCCTGGATGCCAGGGTCAGGGGATGGCTCTGGATCCTGGGATCACCCTCTGGCTCTGGATCCCAGGATTCCCCTGTGGGAATGGATTCCCCATGGCCCTGGGACATTTCCTGCAGCACTGGGGGCTCAAGGCTGGGCAGGACCCCCTGGATTTTGGGGTGTTTGCAATTGGGGTGGCCCAGCCAGTTCTCCCCCTTTGCCCTCCTGCCTTTAATTGGGATTAGTTATTTAGAATCATTTATAATAATTGGGATTAATTAGCCCTCCTCCACCTTGGAGGGCTGGGCCCTCTGCATGGCCAGGCCCTGGCAGGGTGTCCCCAGGTGTCCCACAGATGTCCCCAAAGCCACCAGGGCGATGCCCAGGGGTGCAGTGGGAAGATGCTGGTGGGATCTGTGGCTGGGGTGCTGGGATGGGAGCAGATCCAGGATTTGGAGCATCCTGAATCCTTTTCTTTTCCATGGCAAGAGCTCTTCAGCAGCCAGGAGGAGGAGGAGGAAGGAGAGAGGGAGTGTGGCACAGCTGGGTGGGCAGGGAGGGACATTGTCCCTCACAGGGATGTCCCTGTGTCCATAGGGATCCCCTGCCCCAAGAGGAGATGGGAACTCCTGGGAGTGGATGGGGCTGCAGGGAGCAGCAGCTCCAGGCCCTCTCTCCCAGCCCCCGCAGGAGTTTGGGGCTGAACTGGGACCTTTGGGGGCTGCTTCCAGCCCTGGAGCACCTGGGAGTTGTGCTGGGAAGGGATCTGGGAGGAGCATTCCTGTGGGCTCTTCTGTGCAGGTTCTGTGCACGTTTTTACCAAGATTTGGTAAAAATCCTTTATTTCTGTGAGGGTTTGGGGATTTTTTTCCCAAGGAGCTTTTTGGCTGCTGGTCCCACTGGCCTGGGGTGAGGCTGAGGGTCTGCCTGGGACCATCCCAGGGGAGTCCCAGGAACCTGACTGAGGGATTTTCCTGCTGATTTTCCTTCTGATCCCACTTCAGCATTCCTGAGTGCTCCTGCCAGCTCCAGCCAAGGCTGACTCTGTGATCCCAGTGCTAGAACTCCTGGATGAAAACATTCCCAAGGCCCAGCCAGGCAGCTGCTGATGCTGCCAGGGGTTCCAGGGCAGGAAGGGCAGTGGGATTGGGATGCAGAGTTGGCTCCCAGCTCGTTCCCATCCCTGCACTGAGAAGTGGCTGCTGCCCCTGGGCCTCCCCATCCCATCCCCTCCCTGCAGCCGAGTGGGCTGGGTCAGGTCAGGGTGTGAGGAGCAGGGATGGGAGAGGAGCTGGGCTGGACACTGAGGGCTGGCAGGAAGGGACCATTTCATCCCTCCTGCTCGACTTTGGATGCTCCAAG